ATTGAGCTCGTTTTCCTTGAGGAGGGTGTCGAGGAGGGTGATCGCGGCAACCGCATTCTGTTGAGGGGTGCGGAAAACCGGTGTCCCTTCAACATCTTGTTGGCCGATGAGATCACGCGCTCGGCGCCCTACTTCCAAAGCTCGCTGCCGTCGATCCTCAGCCTCCTTCGCGGTCCGCTCACACTCCTGCTGCTCACGCCGTAGCCGTTCTTGTTCTTGTGCTTGATGCTCCTCCTCCAGTCGGCGACGTTCAGTCTCGCGACGTGCTTCGGTCTCCCGGGCTTGGCGTTGCTCCTCCGTCTCGTTATCAGCCATGAAGACGCCGAAGTAGAGAGGGGTGTAGTTGTCATCTAGGCTTCCGTCGAAGTCGTCGAGATCCGGGTCGTTGTAGCGAGAGCTAAACTCGTCGTACTCCACGATGTCGGTGGGGCGCGAGTCGACGGTGGGAGAACTGTAGTAGCCATCCAGCTGATCCGTCGAAACCGTGCCGAGTGGTAAGAGGATGACGCCGACTTCCCTGAAGCTAGGCGAAGTCGGTGTTGAAGCCGACTTCCGCCTAGGCCTACGGGATGGAGACGCTGTCGTGATGGAGACGGCCGCCAAATCGTCGGGGAGCTTCATCAGGATCGGTGGGTAAGCCCCATCATCTTGATCTGGTGACGTTGGAGAAGGTGCGATCTCACCCGAGTGGTTTGAAGCCAACTCGATTGAGATGGTCTTGAAGTAACTTTCAGCCGCGTTTGGGAGTCCAAACGGGGCTGAAATCCGGTTCTCTCCCGACTGGTCTGACACCGAGTCAAGGAGAGAGATCTTGCCGTTGTTGTTGGTGACGAAGTCGAGGCTGCCGAACCGAAACGTCTGCCCGGGTGGGAAGACGAGGTCGTCGATGCCGAAGACGGAACCCATTGCACTGATCGGCGAAAAGCTTGACGCAGCCCCTACCTGGCGTGCCAACTGTCGAAACTAGATTTCGGCAATAATAAAAGGGGGTGGCTATCAAGCTGGAAAAGTGTATGGGTTTGGAGACAAAGGATTTATACAGGTTCAGGCCTTCTTATTGAAGAAGTAATACCCTACTCCTGTCCGGGGATGAATCCGCCGAATGTCTTATTGATTATATGATTTGGAGAAAATCAACATCTGCCGCTAGAGGCACCCGGACCCCCCTTATATATGGGAAGAAGTCCGTGTTACAAAAGATAATCTATATCCCTAACAGAATATGCAGATACAGATAAAATACAGTCGTAGCCGACTAAGTCTCAAGGTATTTCCTTGATGTACAAGTTGAGAAACAAACCCGAGACACAAATAAGATATTCTATCTATATTTGGTATCCTGTATTCAGTCCAAATACCATCGCCGTGTAGATATGGGATATCCATAATCTCCACACATCTTTAGGAAGCATGAGCTTCAAATTGGGGTCTGACGATCTCACGGTGAGAATACTATGCTGGAATCTTGTGTAATGTTGAGCAAACTTCTGTGCAAGGGGACTCACGTTTTGCACTACAACTATATGCAGATGTTGAGGAATGCAAGCATTGAAGAGGTAATGCGATTGATCCTAAAGGCATTTATCATTTTATTGGGAAACTACACCTAGATAATAGTATGACAATAAATCTCTCATGAATTCTGACAAGAAATTATCATGCCATTTCGGGCATTACCATGATAATGCTTTTCTAGTGAGAGGAGTAATGATTCATCTAAAATTACTCCATAAGAGTTCTTTTATTTTATTCACACCGTTTTCTGGCAGGTGGGGCCCGCGCACCTTCGCACTCTCTGTTGTTCGTGGTTGCCGCCGTGCCGCTGGTATCGAAAGGGGAAAAAAGAAGTGGTGGCTTGAAGAATAGGCTAACTTAGCTTTGGCTTTGGCTAGCTCGCTTTCGCCACGTCGGATGGCAATTCTTTTTTGTTTTTTTCTTGGATATGATTTATTTCTCTCTCTGTTTTTTTTTTGTTTTAGGATTTCTAAGTACTGCTTCCTCTATTCCAAAATGTAGCTATTTATAGCACAGTAGCTTGTCCTAAAATGAAACTATTTTTTTTCATCTACCTCCTTCAACCAATCACAACCATTTTTCATTTATTTATTTCATCAACTTTCTATTCTTAACCAATCACAACCTTCCTTTAATCATTTCTATCAACTTTCTTGATACACATGCCCATCTTAAAAATGCCTACAATTTAGGATAGAGATGTGCTAGTGGTTCTTTTGTTATTGACACGTCACCTCACTCTTGGCGTTGTCATATGGTCAATTTCAGCGACATATCTGTTGAAGTCACAAAAATATATACTCCCTCTATTCCAAAATATAAAGGATTTTGGATAGATGTGATGCATTTTAGTACTATGAATCTGGTCAAGAAGGAATATAAGAACTTTTAGTGTTGGACACGATTATTAAAAAAGTAGGTAGAAGTGAGTGGTAGAGGGTTGTGATTGGATGAGTAGTGGAGGTAGGTGTGAAAAGTGAATGGTTAAGGGTTGTGATTAGTTGGGAAGAGAATGTTGGTGGAGAAGTTGTTATATTTTGGGACAAATCCCGAGGGCTAAAAGTTGTTATATTTTGGGACGAAGGGATTATATTTTAGGACGGTGAGGTATATAAGAAGATGATGTGATACATAGGACAATCAAACAAATATTATAAATTGATATTAAAACATAATGCATTGGGGGTGTTCAGTCTTTCCTGCAAGCTGCAATTGCCACCGTGAACTACTAGCGAATACCCCCATTGACTAACGTTGTGGCTGATTGTCTGTCCTCATTTGTCTAACGTGTGATATCAGTCTATGTGTAATGCTCTTGACACAAACATCACAACGTTTGCAATGCTCTATCAGTAGACACAAATAGTCAAATAGGTATAAGAGAAGCGTATGCTAATTATGGGAAGAATGCTTGATGTGTCTATAGACATAAGTTGAAGTATCCTGGAGCACGATTGCTTGATTTCTAAAACAATATTTTCAACAACCACAGGTGCTAGCTTGCAACATATGGATTTTCCCACAACGGCGTTTGGATTGAATTGTTTTTAGCTATAGGATTGAATTGTTTTCAGCTAGGGTGCCCATTATGTTTTCAGCTATTTGATGATCTCCTTTTCATGAACGTGCAAAAGGATTACACGTCAATACATTAGAAGAAGCATATTTTTTTAAAAAAAAAGAAAATACACGTCACAATGGCTGAAGGCCATTGTCAAGGAACAAAAGGAAAAAAAAGGCTTTTCTTGGCTCTTCTTGCATTATGCTCTATCAATATACTTGCAACATATGTTCTTTTCCACGACAACGTTTGGATTGAATGCTTTTAGGTATTGGTTTGAATTGTTTTCAGCTATTTGATGCTCTTCTTTTCACGAACGTACAAAAGGATTGTACGTCAATATATTAGAAGCAGAGTTTTTCAAAAATATGCATGACGCAACAACTGGATGCCATTGTCAAGAGGAACGGGAGAAAAAAAAGGCTTTTCTCCAGGGACATTGCGCAAAAGAATAAATTTGATGCTCTCATGTTCTATCAATATATAAGGCAATCTTCTTGTTTTCTTTTCAAATTTTTTTTCCAAACTCAAACTCGTGTCTCCACTGCTATCCAATAGAGGTCTTTCTCTAGTGCTAGCCAAGTGTTGTCCATTAAAATTTCAACTACTTAATCAGCACGCACAGACCTATATCAGTCCCTAGTATTGGTTCCAACCGATCGAGTGATGTGCTCTCATCCATTCATTGCCAGATTGTCCGTGCAATTGTTTATTTTCATTGTCAAATATATGAAACTTAAGTGATAAAAATGTTTTTTTTGTTTGTGTCAATCGCATTGTTTCTTGGTTAATTCTCTAAAAGTGATAAAAGTTTTTTTTTTTTGAAAGTGCAACCTAATGAAATACTAGATTTTGACATGCATCTTGTGTTTCTCGTGACTGCAAGAATATCAACCTGTCACTAGAGAAGGAGAATAGAGAAGATTAAAAAGATATGCAAAATGAGGTGTACCATTAGCGTATGATAAATTGAGTATTAATCATTTTAAACCTGAAAAATGGATTAATATGATTTTTAAAACAACTTTCCTATAGATTTTTTCTTAAAAAACACACCGTTTAGCAGTTTGGAAAGCGTACACATGATAAACGAGGATATTTTCTTTTCAATGTGCTTGAAACGACCAAGGATTGTTGACATGTCCTTTGTTTTAGACTGGGCAGTGTTTTGCCACTAAGGACAAGTGGCTTTGAGTACTAAAGTTAACTAGATGATGTTAGATATTGTGAAATGGTTAAATGATTTGGGTTGAAATATTATGAAAATGATTTGAGAATGATGATTTAGTATGTGTATGTTTAGTTTTAGAATGAAATAAATTGTAGATATAATTAGTATATGCTTACATGTTGAGCCTTGTGTGTTTAGTGTGTTGATGTGATATGCTTGCATGTTAGATTTTAGGAGTGCTAATAAATACTATGCTTGTATGTTGAGCTTTAGGTATTTAATGGGTATTAGCTTTATAGAAAGAATAAGGGATTAGTGTCTACTAGGTGTCATTGTCAATCTGTCATTGCACAACTTCTGCTAAATATGCTAGTTTTTATAATGTGTAGAACTTGAGATATCTTGTTCTATGCATTGCATATCACTAGTTAAACTCAGTTTTACCAAGAAGAAGCATCGTTCTCTAGTGCATATTGCTGGCTTGATTTAGTTGTCTCGACGTTGTTCAGGTGGTCTCAACCTTTTTCTTGGTTTATTAGTCATGCCCTAAACAATAAACAGTAACATAGATCATCAGCCACCAATTAATTAAAAACAGCTTTGTTGTTCACTCGAAAAAATATAGGGGAAAGGAAACTGCCACGTGCCCAAGAAGTGAGTGTTGCCCCGTCATTGTCGCCAGAAAGCCAAGAAAAGAAAAGCAAACACATTTGTTTCTCTCTCTTTCTCTTCACTCCAAAAATAGCAAAGCAAACACATTCGTTTCTCTCTTTCTCTTCCCTGCTACTCGCTCCTCCTGTCCTACCAATTTATCCTCGAAAGAAATCGTTGATTCCTCTTTTTTCTTCAATTTGTTTACGTGCAATTCAGTTCTTGGAAATAAAAGGTTGGATTTTTACTCTGAACAAAGCGAAAGGTAAAACCATCTCTTTTGTAATGCAGCAATTTATGTATATTTTGGCATCCTTTCAGTTAATTTGTTTGATTAGGTGTGGCAATGGGTGCCAGCGGAAGGCTGATCTCCATTTACCCAGAGGATCTCACTTTCCTATGTAAGTTCATAGGACTTTTTAAAAATATCTAAAGTTATTAACATTTACAAATGGTTAGCCTTAACTCCGTTAAATTTTCCTGTGTAGTTGAGCTAGATAAGCCATGCTATTGCAATCTCAAGGTGGTGAACAACAGCGAGCATCATGTTGCATTTAAGGTCCATGGCCTTCCATTTCATGACCAATATTTTCTGAAACTTGGCAAGAAGGTTTGATGAAATTTTTTTTTCAGGTCAAGACGACATCACCGAGGAAGTATTTTGTCCGGCCGAACGCGAGCATCATCCAGCCATGGGATTCTTGCACAATAACAAGTAAATACATGTTTCCAGTTTGGCTATTTTATGGCGTGCCAAGCCATGGCTCTCTTTAGGCTCATTATTTGGTCTTGATGTTTGGATATATATATCTGCATTGTTGTTCGGTGATGTAGTTACGCTCCAGGCGCAGAAAGAGTACCCACCAGATATGCAATGCAAGGATAAATTCTTGATCCAGAGCACCAAGGTAGCTGCCAGTACTGACATGGACGAGATCCCCCCTAACACGGTGAGCATACAATGCAAATATAGATGATTTGCAAGCTTTATTAGTAATGTATTATTGTTACAATGACATTGACTACTGATGCACCAACTATATTCCATGCATTTTTGTGGTTCAGTTCAACAAGGAAGTCGATAAGGTGATTGAGGAAATGAAGCTTAAGGTTGTTTATACAGTTCCCAGTGGAAGTTCTGACGACTCTGGTATTACATCTTTAGGCAGCAGGAGCTTCAAATTGGGGTCTGACGATCTCACGGTGAGAATACTATGCTGAAAACTTGTGTCACGCTGATCAAACTTCTGTGCAAGGGGACTCATGTTTTGCACTGCAACTATATGCAGATGCTGAAGAATGCAAGCATTGAAAAGGTAATGCAATTGATCCTAAAGGCAGTACCATTTTATTGGGAAACTACACCAAAATAATATGACAGTAAATATCTCTCTAATGAATTCTGACAAGAAATTATCATGATTCATGGCTTCCTAATATCATCTTATGCATGGATACTCTGCTGCCTCTACATGTGTATAATGCTTTTCTAGTGAGAAAAGTAATGATCATCTGAAATTTCTCCATAAGAGTTCAAATGCAAGACACGCTTGTGAAGTGATATTGAGATGCTGGCATTGATTAGAAAGTTCATGTCTGAGAATTAGGAAGATAATGAAGCAACGATATAGATGGTTGAAATGATCATAAAGTAGTTTCCTTTATCTTGACTGACATATTCCAAATAAGCAATTTGGATAAATTTTTTGTTTCCTAAATCTGGATAAAGAGTTTGCCTTATTAAATGTGCCTTGTCTTATGGCAATTCTCTACAATTTTAACCAAGCTTGTCTGAGCAAAGAAACATCTTTTGTGATATGTTCTGTTATCCTTTTTGTTTCTTACTTAGTTCCTTGTTTTCTTCTATCCAGATACAGACAATACAACGCCTAAAAGACGAACGAGACACCACCCTGCAGCAAAATCAGCAAATGCAACGTGAATTGGTCAGCCTTTTTTTTTTCTTTTTTGCACTTCATTTTGTTTTGTGATCATCACTTTATTTCATTGTAGCTTTTATGTTTCTCAATATTGACACCTGAACTGTGAACCTTATACTGCTCTTGCTCATTTGTTATCATTTGAATTCGCGATGAAAAATGTTTAGCATGGAGAAAAAACAATTGGTTTTGATTAAATATATATGTCTGACTTTGAGAAAAATGCAAAAGAAATTATTGGTCCTTGGTGGATAACAATTTTTATATTTCTACAATTGTGATCGATCAACTTTTCATTCATAATGCAACTTTAGTTTGCTCAACATTTATTTCTTTAATGGGTCGCTGAAACAAATGTGTCAAGGGAAACAAAAGCAAATCAATAAACGTTTCCTACTATTTTACAGTTGAAACTGAATAATTGTAGGAATGCAGATGTGAAAAAAATCCCATTGCTCCAAGCATTTCATGGATGTAAAATATCCTTGTTAGCAGTAAAGAATTCAAGATGAATCGTTTGTGTACCCCCTTTCTCCCTTATATTGTATTTTCTATTTATTATTTGCATTATATATATTTTTTTCAGGATGTGATCAGGAGGCGTAGAAGCCGCAAAAGCGATGCGGGTTTCTCCTTAACGTTTGCTGCTTTTGCTGGGCTCATAGGTGTCCTGATTGGGCTCTTGATGAGCCTCATCTTCCCTCGCCCACAGGCTGCTGCTTAATAAAATGCCAATTTCACAACCAAGTGATACATGTTCAGCTTAATGCCCAACAATGTGGCCATTATCGATCAAACAATCATAGCTAGGTTAATAATCGAGTCAGCTGCTCTGGGGAGGAAAAATATATGGAAAATTCTACTTTAGTCTCAATTATTCTTTTGTTCTTTGCATTGTAGTTAATATGCGTCACATCAGAAAAGGGTCACAATGTTTCATCAACCCAACTCCCCCTTCCTTTTTTTATTAAAAAAATTGTATTTTCCCTTCTTATGTAATCTTTTTGTACAATTTAGTTTGACATAAACATATATCAGGGAGAAGCTGTATGCATTCACCGATTGGATATAAGGTCATGCTCAGTGAAGGACAACTTCATGAGCTCTCCTCATGTCCCTATATGTTCGATTCGATAAACTAGGATAGGTTTGTACGTGTTCGATATGATAAACTGGTCCTCTCATGAAAAAATATTCTCTAGAAGAGTGGTAAGAGGGCTGCCTGGGCCACCATCGTTAGCACGGACCGGCGATCATTTGCCACGTCAAAAAAAAGATCTCTTGGAACCCAAGGATGAGGGTTATAAATCTGTAATGCTCCTATAGTTTCTTCTGTACATAATCAGCCGTTGCCAAGATTTGAGTTTTAAAACTTATTTAAAGTTGATTTGAAAGTTTTTATCCGAAGTTTATTTTTCAGCAATGGCACTTAAATAGTTAAGAATAAATATATAAAAATTTGATTGACAAATTATTAATTTAGCCAAATATTAACAATGCGCCAAATGACATATTAGCAACAACAATAATAATAAAATACTTTTGTAAATATGAAAAAAATAAATGTAAAATTTAAAAAAAGTTCCCCTCATCCCCTCCCCCCCTCTCCCTTCCCCAATCCAAAACCTCCCACCGAACAGCGGCAGCGACACCCCCCCTCCTCCCGCCTCCCATGGCGACGGCCCCGCTCGCCTTCCACCTCCCATTCCCCTTCCCCTCCGCCTCCCGCCCGCCGCCTAGACTTCTACCCCCCTCACGCCGCCCTCCCGCCGCCCGCCTCGCCGCCACGCGCCGCTTCCGCCCGCCCACCGCCGACGACGAGCCCCCCGAGGCGGCGGAGGACTCCTCCCACGGCCTCAACCGCTACGACCAGCTCACCCGCCACGTCGAGCGCGCCCGCCGGCGCCAGCAGGCCGAGCAGCCGGAGATCACCCCCGACCACCCGCTCTTCTCGTCCCCTCCTTCCTCCGGGGAGGCCGGCAGCTACGACCCCGACGACGAGTTCTTCGATGAGATCGACCGCGCGATTGCCGAGAAGCGGGAGGAGTTCACGCGGCGTGGGCTGATCAAGCCGTCCGCCCCGGCGCCCTCGCAGCCCGAGGAGGAGGACGGCCTCGCCGACGAGCTCTCCCCCGAAGAGGTCATCGACCTCGACGAGATTCGGAGGCTGCAGGGACTCAGTGTCGTGTCCCTGGCCGACGAGGAGGACGAGGAGGCGAACGGCGGCGGTGGCGGGGTGGATTACGGCGACGACGGGGTGCCCCTCGACGACGACGGCGAGGTGTTCGATGTGGCCGATGAGGTCGGCCTCGAGGGGGCGAGGGTGCGGTACCCGGCCTTCCGCATGACGCTGGCCGAGCTCCTGGACGAGAGCAAGCTCGTGCCCGTGGCGGTGACCGGCGACCAGGATGTCGCGCTCGCCGGGGTGCAGCGTGACGCCAGCCTCGTCGCGGCGGGGGACCTCTACGTGTGCGTTGGGGAGGAAGGGCTTGCTGGGCTCACCGAAGCTGACAAGCGCGGGGCGGTCGCCGTCGTCGCCGACCAGACCGTCGACATCGAGGGCACCCTTGCTTGCCGCGCGCTGGTCATCGTCGATGACATCACGGCAGCTCTCCGCATGCTCCCCGCCTGCCTCTACAGGCGGCCTTCGAAAGACATGGCGGTGATCGGTGTCGCTGGCACGGATGGGGTCACCACCACGGCGCACCTCGTCAGGGCAATGTATGAAGCCATGGGTGTGAGGACTGGCATGGTAGGCGTTCTCGGGGCCTATGCGTTTGGCAACAACAAACTGGACGCACAACCTGATGCCTCTGGTGACCCCATTGCCGTGCAGAGGCTGATGGCGACGATGTTGTACAATGGCGCTGAGGCGGCTTTGTTGGAGGCAACCACCGATGGTATGCCGTCATCTGGTGTGGACAGCGAGATAGATTATGACATTGCTGTGCTGACTAATGTTAGGCATGCCGGCGATGAGGCTGGCATGACCTACGAGGAGTACATGAACAGCATGGCCTCTCTGTTTTCTAGAATGGTTGACCCTGAGCGCCATCGTAAGGTGGTGAACATTGATGATCCAAGTGCTCCATTCTTTGCTGCACAGGGAGGGCAAGATGTTCCTGTGGTGACATATTCATTTGAGAACAAGAAGGCTGATGTGCACACTCTGAAGTATCAGCTTTCCCTGTTTGAAACGGAGGTCCTGGTACAGACACCACATGGGATCCTCGAGATTTCGTCAGGCCTTCTTGGGAGGGACAACATCTATAACATCCTTGCATCTGTAGCAGTTGGTGTTGCTGTCGGTGCACCACTGGAAGACATAGTGAAGGGCATCGAAGAGGTGGATGCAATTCCAGGCCGGTGTGAGCTAATTGATGAGGAGCAAGCATTTGGGGTGATCGTTGATCATGCAAGGACTCCAGAGTCTCTTTCGAGGCTTTTGGATGGTGTAAAGGAACTGGGCCCACGTCGAATTGTCACAGGTATTGTACTTTCGTCCATAGCTTCATTAAGATTGTGAATATGTTGGACATCTTCTCTATTTTGTTGTAGTATTACGCATTGAAGTTCCTGCTATGATGTTTGATGTAGTTATTGGATGTTGTGGTGAGCGAGAAAGAGGGAAGAGGCCAGTGATGACAAAAGTTGCAGCTGAGAAAAGTGATGTTGTTATGTTGACATCCGACAACCCAGCAAATGAAGATCCATGTACGGTTCTTTCTATTTGATTATGATATCATATTGTGATGTAAATGCATTGGGGGAGCTGAAGTTTTACACAAATTCTGTGTCCTATTTCTTAGCAGTGGATATCCTGGATGATATGCTGGCGGGAGTAGGGTGGACCATGGAAGAATACTTGAAGCATGGCACAAATGATTATTACCCACCACTGCCGAATGGACATAGGATATTCCTACATGATATTAGAAGAGTTGCTGTACGAGCTGCTGTCGCGATGGGTGAACAAGGAGATGTAGTTGTAAGTTTTCTATGAAGTTCTTATTGTCAAGTAACCTTCTTACAATCTTACTATATATAACCCTGTAGATTGATGAAACATGCTACACTTGAGTCACCATGCATATACTCCTGTATAGAAATGCTTAATAGAGGCTGGACTTAAAATTTCAAGAATGAAGTAGTTCAAGTACCTAATCCCATTAGATGAGGAATAAAAACTTGCAAAATAGGCTATTGTGTTGCAATCTATCTGTTTTTGGGCAATTCTATCTAGTAATAAGCTGCTCTAGTTTTTGTATATTTGCACTCTCTTTCCATTGGAATTGCTAGTTAAGAGTGAGTTGGTAGCATTGATCTTCTGAGATAACAGGCTTGGTAGTTGAAGTAATTAATTATATGGTTTTAGCATTCACCATCTGCCCCGCTCTCCAGTTGGGAAGTAAGGGTTGGAGAAGGGCAAATGCTCATTCTTCAAACCAACATTTAAGATCAAAGAGACAGGTGGAGCACTTCTTGTTCATCATGCTGACAGTTCTGCTTCTCCTTCAGGTTATCACTGGGAAAGGGAATGATACTTATCAGATTGAAGTCGATAAAAAGGAGTTCTTTGATGATAGGGAAGAATGCCGAGAAGCCTTACAATATGTTGATCAATTGCATCGAGCTGGAATAGACACCTCAGAATTTCCATGGAGGTGTGTTTCCTTTTAAACCGCTAATTGTTAGGGCTTGTTCACTTTCTAATACTTTAGGCTTTGCCTTTGTTTTACCAAAAGAAATCCAGAAAATTTTCCAGACAATCACCACCTTTTCATCTAATGCACACTTTGTGTTTTAGTTTAGCATAATTTCTTGTTTTTAAGAAAAAGTTTGGTATAACTTGCTCAGAGTTCTTTTATGAAAAAGTTTACTTCAAACCAGACCCTCTGTTATACTGATTCCGTCGCTCGATTTCTTTTGTTTCATGTGAAAACCACCAAATCGCTTATTTTGCTTCGTTGTGATTTCCACAGGTTACCTGAAAGCCACTGATTCTGATGTATTCAATATAGCCGGGCTTCTTCTTTGCTTGCTCAAGGAGCAGCATTTTAGATTCTCCCTTTTTGCTATGGTAGGATGTACTTCAGACCAGCGGGTGCTCAAGGTTGACTACTTGACCCCCAGTACTAACTGCTAACTTCTCAGTGATACTCAGTAGGTACAAAATATATGCAATGCAGCTTCCCCTTAATTTCTGCTGCCATTTTCTATGTTCTTTAGTCTAAGTTTTTCATGTCCCATAGTCACAATCCAGTAACTCACACACAAATACGTACAATGAAATCCTGATTGTGGAATATGTGCCAAACATCATTCAACTAATTCTGATTCATCAGAATGGAAGATTGGCAGGACATACCGAGGAAAGCGAATACTTGTATGGATAAACTAAAGGTGCAAAACGTCATGATCAGAACCAGAGGCCCCATTGGCATTTATCAATCACCATATTATAGTCCAGCACCAAAAGGTCACCTGGGGGATCAGGCATTTGGATATGCAAGATGCCAAATCCCTTATCTTATTCTTCTCTTACAACAGCCAAATTCAGAGATCACATAAATTTTAATATCCACTTGAGCGGTCAGCACACAAAGACATTGAACTTGGCTGTAACTGGATCCTCTACATGATTTTTAATATAAACAGGGGCATCTTTTTAATCCAAAGAAAAAGGCAGAGAGACATGGTATGAATGATTATGAAATTGCCCACGTTTTGGTCTGATTCTGAATTTCCTGATAGGATTGCGACAAGTTCAGAATTCCGGAGGAAAGTCGCCTCCTTCGTGTCCCACTTTGTCCATGTATATCACTGTTCCCCGTGTTGCTGCTGCTGCCTGGGGCTTCAATTCCTCTCTCTCTCTCCCCTCCCATGGCGTCACTGTCGCCTTCTCCTACGCGAATTGAGAGGACAGCTTAGCTCGATGGATCCGGCGACGCGGGCGGCGGCGGCGGCGGTGGAGAAGGTGTTCGTGGCGCTGCCGGCTGAGAAGGGGAAGACGACGCTGTCGTGGGCGCTCGGACATTTCCGCGGCAGCGGAGCCAAGCTCGTCGTCACGCATGTGCATGTGCCGCCGCAGACGATCCCCGTCAGTACGTGCCCTGCCCCCCCCCCCCCCCCCCCCTTGATCGTCATTAGATGTTTAACTGTTCGGTTTAAGAATGTGTCGTCTAATGATCCTCCATGGCTGCCTGTCCTATCAAGGAAGCTCGTGTACATCGTGAAAGATTCGTGGACTGTGACTCTTTTGTTCCTTGGGGAAAGACAGCAGTAGGATGTTCATGTTGTCCTCTTTTGCAAAATACATTCTCTAAATATTAACTAAGATTATCTTCTTCTTTTAATCTCAGTGGGAGTTCAGTTTCATGTTAGTAACGTGAGTCCGGAGCAAGTAAGCTTGTTCAGAAGAACTGAGCGTGAAAGGGTGAATAAGCTTTTAGACGAATACGTCCATCAATGCTGGAAAATGAAGGTGCTATCCATTTTCCCCATCTTCCTCCATTTCTCCTGCAGTTTCATGCACCTGGCATCAGATTTTTGTGCAGTAGTTATCATTAAGATGACCTTTTGGTTGGTTGCTGCCACATTAGTAGTAGTACTTTTTTTTTTCGCGAACACGCAAAGGATTGCACGTCAATATATTAAAAGAATAGAGTTTTTGTTACACGACGCACTCAGCCAGACCGGCCTATGCCAAGGAAGGAAGAAAACAAAGATAAAAAACAAGGAGGAAAAGGAAAAAAAACTCGATACGACGGTAACTCTACTCCAAACAGCGGGAGGGAGCAGAAGTAGTAGTACTAATTACATTAACCGTTGAAACTTTGCACAGAATCAAAATGTTTTCGAAGGTGAAGATTCATGCTTAACCTTGATTTACAATGGTTCGTATATTTCAGGTCAAATGTGAGAAACTAGTCATTGAGAAAGAAGATGTTGTAGCTGGTCTTCTTGAACTTATTGCCTCTCATGGCATCACCAAGTTAGTAATTGCAGCTGCTGCAGACAAGCACTACTCAAGGTACATCTAGCATTACAAAATTGTTTCGGTGTAAAGATTCAATTGTGCTATGTATTTGGTAGAATTAGGAAGTTCAGATTATATTTATCCTTCTCGGTTTCAGAAAGATGGACAAACCAAAGTCCAAGATAGCAACAGAAATCATGCAGAGAGCTGACGCATCATGCCAGATTTGGTTTGTGTGTAAGGAACAGCTAATCTGTACCAGGTATAATCTGATGTGTTGCACACTTTTCGATTTCTGATGACTATTGAACATCGAACCCTCAGAATCTCTGATTCAGTTCTCCATGACAGGGACAAGAAAGTAGAAACCACACAATCAGTTACACCTCTCAGCCAACTTTTCAAGATTGATACTCCTCCCAGCCCTGATATTGGTCAGACCATTCTGCAACCGTCAGCTGAACAGGAACAGGTTTCATCAGATTATGCAGTAGATATTCTGATTTTTAAAATTGTATCTTCAAAGCATGAGTATAACATGATAGCGGTGCTTTTGTTTTCAGAATGACAATGAGATGGAATTGGGGTTTTCTGATGAGCTCAATGATGCACGCGTAGCAGCTGAGAACTTGATGGAGAGAGCTTTAAGCGAATCTTTGAGGCGCCAGAGAGCAGATGAACAAGTGGTTTCATCTCTTCAGAAAGTAATTATGCTACCCATTTGACTGATTTCTTCATAAATGCTAAACTAAAAGTTGGCAATACTATTTATTTTAAAAGATTTTGATAATAACTCTGAACCTCCCAGGTCAAACAATTCGAGGAGTTGTACTTGGAGGAGGTGAAAAGGAGGAAAGAATTGGAAGGAGCTCTTGTCAAAGCAAACTTAGAACTTACACGGTTAAAACAAGAAATGGACATACCTAGGAATCACCAGAGCACAATCTTGGGGGATCGACAAGAAGTGATTACCGATAAATTTATCTTGAGACAACAAACTGTCGACATGAAGAGTGATTTCGGAGCCACAGGACAACTAATCAAGCCACAGCAGGAGTATCTTCAGTTACATCCTGACCATGACAATGGTGTCAGACAACCGGAAACGTTGCTACACCGAAGGAGCCTGACTGCATTTTCTCCAGCATCAACTGTACCATCACAGTTTGATAAAGACTCCATTCCTTCCCACTTCATCTGCCCGATTTCTCAGGTTTTCATATCCTCAGACAAACAAAATCTCAAAATTCTGTACTTTTCTTTACAGTAATATAAATACTTTTGACAAATTATGTTGCTTCAGAAGAGACGTTTGAGTTGACCATGTTTTGATTTGCATGTAATTGCAGGAGATCATGAGGGAACCCTGCATTGCAGCAGACGGGTTCACCTATGAAGCTGAAGCGATCATCAATTGGTTTGATGAAGGGCACGAAGTGTCTCCCATGACCAAGCAGCCTCTTGTGCACCGCGACCTGATCCCAAACTTTGCTCTTCGTTCTGTAATCCAAGATTATACAAGGAGAAAACAGTATTCATTTTCCTGATGCTATTTGCTCCTTTTCCCCTTCTCTGACTCACTCAATTTTTTTTGTGAATATTGTTGTGGGTGACATCGCACTGACAAATGGATTCAGCTGAAAGCAACAGCATTTTTAAACAGTTGTCATGTGTTGTTTGTTTTGAGCTGTCAGCTAGTGCAGCAACAGAGATGCTGTGTTGATGACCTTTTTTTGCCTCTTTGATTTATAACCAATCAGGTCAGACAAGATTATGTGCTGGCATAAATCATAATATCCCTGAATGTCACATTTTGCACGATGAAGCCTAAACAATCACATGAAAACATGATGGAAATGCAGCCCATCGTTGATGGCAAATATAGTGGAAAGCTGATACTTTCTCTCCATCGTTGCCAGAGCACAGGAAGATATTTGAAATAATAATAATAATAATAATAATAATTAAAAATCAGATTGAGAATTGTAGAATCAGTTGATGGTTCAGAAAGGAACACAACAATTTCAAGGCAGCGAAACAACTCTGTTAGCATACGTGGCACCTCATTAGCCAAGAAATACAGCTCTTAATGCTGAACCTAGAAGGTCAATTTCCATGTTTGTTGACAAACTTAATACCCAAATTGTTGTATCTGAGACGCTAATTTATATCAGAATTATTCAACCAAATCAGAGTACTCTCACAAGCATTTCAGCGCACTAAATTAAGGGCCTGTTTGATTCAGCTTAAGATTATTATAATCTGGATTATTATGAGCAAGCTGAAACAAACAAATAACTTATTATAATAGATTATTATAATCTATAAGCCAGATTACTATAATCTGGTAATCCACTCTAAAGATGTTTTTTTTAATTATTGGGTGGCTAACAACTAATAATCCAGAGAATCAAACAGGTAACAGCTTATTTTTTATTGGCTTATTATAATTCAGTTTATAGTAATCTAATTTAATAATTTATATTATATAATTATCTTAAGCTGAAACAAATAGATCGTAAGGTCTCTACGGGAAGAAATGGAGGAAACGAATTTTTGGGAAGACCAAACATGTGTTCCTCCCTACATGGCCATGATCATGAGACTCCAATACAAGTTCTCTTCCTCTTCGTTGCTCCCTCTTTTCTGCTTACACGTAGGCCGTGTCATTGAGTTATGTGCTTGCGATCACCTCGATTGAAGGAGAGGAATGGATGGGTGCTTTGTTCTGTACTCCATGCCTCAGCCTCTTCTTTTCCTCCTTGTTGTTTTCTCCTTTTGCTTTGGTTCTTCTTTTGTTCCTTTCTCTTTTTCTCTCATGTAAATCTTGATGACAGGTATCAGAGGATGCCTTTGTGTCGTTTCTCTTAATTTATTTCGTGTAAACCTTCTGCTGGTTTACCTTCTGATTTTCTGAATGAGAAAATACACCCACTGAAATAGTGAGTGATTTCATGCACTGAATAAGCTTATCACTTAAAAGAAAACTTTAATTTTGGAACCTAACTGTGGAGTTTCTTTTTGTCATACTCTGTTTTTCAGCTTTAGCTTTTAAACCGTAAATAATATAGATATAAAAGATTTACTTATAAGCTATTTTTATTATTTCATTTATGTTTTCATGACTTATCAACTAAAGCTCAAACGATCAAAGCCTAAAGGCACAACAAATCACTTCAGCTTGGCCGCGTTCTTTTCAGTGGTTGGGTTTGGACGATTAGCCAAATGTAAAACGAGAAACACGAATAACATATAATTAGTTAAGTATTAATTATTAAAAAAATTAAAAAATAAGTTTATTTGTTCTTTAAAACATCTTTTATAAAAAAAGTTTCGCACAAAATACACCGTTTAGTAATTTGAAAAACGTGCTAACGAAAAACGAGAAATATCTAAGCGGAACTAGCTGTTTAGAATGTGGACCCTTTTTATATCACGTGTCGTTTGTCAATGGCACGTATTTCTCATGTGATTACACAGCTCCAACCTTTCACAGCGATGATATAAAACTTTCACTCACTGACAGCATATATATTTGTAGTCATTGTTTTTTTGAGCGGTATATTTTTAGTCATTAGCCAATAAGAAAAACAACTTTTATCCTGGAGTAAATAGTAATTAGCTGGTAATCACATGGGCAAAGTTGTAAAATTACCTAACAGCGGGCCCCATAGGTCAGGCCCCATCCCATCAGGGGTTTAATCCAGCCGAAACGGCGAGTAGTTCTCGTTCCCCTGAGGCCTGATCACCACCCTCTCTCCTCCCCTTTCCCTGACCCCGCGACCGCGCCGCGCGAGGCGAACTCGCCACTCCGATCTCTCTCTCCGGCGACGCCGCCGCCGCCGCACAGGTTGGTAGTCACCGGAGCCCTCCCTTCCGATCAACCCTTGCGCGCAATCTACCCATGCATGTTCATGGACATGACCTGCTGCGTTTGTTTTTCACTGTTCATTCTGATGTCTCTCTCTTTTTTTTTAATTTAATTTTATTTATGTTGTTTGATCCGTTTTTGTTTGTGATGGTTGGGGAGTTAGGGTTTTGCTCTCTCTCGCGCGGAATGGAGAGCGGCGGGGTCGACGGCGAGAGGCCCCTGCTGCGCGAGGCGGGGGATTTGGGTGGCGAGGACGGCGGCGCAGGCGGAGTCCCCGAGGAGGGGGATGCGAAGGGCGATGTGATGGCGGCGGCGGCGGCGCAGGGGGGCGATGGCGATGAGGGTGTGGAGGCGGTAGATGGGGACGGGAGTAACGAGGAGGAGGAGGTTGTGCAGACGCCCGATGTGAAGCAGACGCCCGGCGCCGCGGCCGCGGCGGCCTGGCGGGAGGCGGCGTGGGAGGAGGCTGACGGCGAGGAGTTCGTGGATGTCTTGGAAGGGGACGTGGATGAGAAGCGTGAGGATGGATCGGCCTTGGAGAATGGGGAGGATTTGTTGGCCTCCCGTTCTCTCGCTGTCGAGGGTGACGAAGAAGGGTATGGTTCTTGTGCTGATATTGGTATAGAAGAAGACGCTGAGGGTGATGCGAGTCGGGAGCGCTTGGAGGAGGAAGCCATGACGGAATCAATCAGGGAGTATGTGACAGAAGCTGTTTTGGCTGACCATATCCAGGAGCAACCGGACAAATCGAAGAGTGAATCTGAACATGTGAAGGTTGCTCAGCACAAGTCGCAGATTGCGAAGAGCAGGGAAGAGGGACCCAAACAATCTGGAGGCGAACCGTCCGTTGTTGTCGAGGAATTGAATGGATCAAGCTCGTCTGATGATGAGAGTAAAGCTACCTCCGCTCCTCCTGCACGATCCATTAGTGGTGCTGCAGGTCGTTCTAATGGCCCCTCTTTGCCATCTCGTCCTGCTGGGCTTGGAGCATCGACTTCCTTGTCGCAGCCCTCAGCTCGACCTGTTCAGCAGACCCGCGCTAATGGTCCAGTCGCTGTGGACAGAGAAACTCGGCAGGATGTTGAATCTCCTGAGGATGGAGACGAAAATGATGAAATCCGTGAGAAACTCCAGATGATCCGGGTTAAGTTTCTGCGTCTTGCTAACAGGTTTGGGCAAACACCTAATAATATGGTGGTTTCTCAGGTTCTTTACCGACTTGGGCTGGCAGAACAGCTTAGAAGAAATACAGGCCAGGGTGTTTTTAGTTTTGACCGGGCACAAGATATGGCAGAACGTCTTGAAGCTGCTGGAAACGAGCCCCTTGATTTTTCTTGCACCATCTTGGTTCTTGGTAAAACTGGGGTTGGCAAGAGTGCTACCATCAATTCTATTTTTGATGATGTCCGGTTGGAAACAAATGCTTTTGATACCAGCACTAGAAAGGTTCAAGAAGTAGTTGGTGCAGTTGAGGGAATCAAAGTAAAAGTTATCGATACTCCTGGCCTGTCATGCTCATCTTCAGACCAGCACCACAACCAGAAGATTCTCAATTCTGTCAAGCGACTTATCAGCAGAAACCCTCCTGATATTGTTCTTTATTTTGATAGACTGGATATGCAGACCAGGGACTATGGTGATGTGCCTCTTCTGCAAACCATTACAAGAGTCTTTGGAGCATCAATCTGGTTCAATGCCATAGTTGTGCTAACTCATGCTGCATCTGCACCACCTGATGGTCTGAATGGAATTCCCCTGAGCTATGAGATGTTTGTAACCCAAAGGTCTCATGTAGTCCAGCAAGCTATAAGGCAAGCCGCTGGTGATGTCCGTCTTATGAATCCAGTGTCCCTGGTTGAAAACCACTCAGCGTGCAGGACCAATAGGGCAGGCCAGAGGGTGTTGCCAAATGGGCATGTCTGGAAACCACAGTTGCTATTGCTTTGTTTTGCCTCAAAGGTTTTAGCAGAGGCCAACGCGCTTCTCAAGCTGCAGGACAATCCTGCTGGTAAACCTCGTATGAGGATTCCTCCACTTCCTTTCCTATTGTCTTCGCTTCTTCAGTCTCGAGCCCCACTGAAGTTACCAGAGGAGCAGTTTGGTGATGATGATGATATTGAAGACGATTTGGCTGATGATTCGGATTCAGATGATGGTTCAGACTATGATGACTTGCCTCCTTTTAAACGCCTCACAAAAGCTCAGCTTGCAAAGCTAAACCATGCTCAGAGGAAGGCATATCTTGAGGAGCTGGATTACAGAGAGAAGTTATTCTACAAAAAACAGCTAAAGGAGGAAAGGATGCGCCGTAAAATAATGAAGAAAATGGCAGCAGAGGCCAGTGCAAGAACAGATGACTTCAGTAACAGCAATCTTGAAGATGATGGCAGTGCTCCAACAAATGTTGCAGTGCCTATGCCCGACATGGTATTGCCCTCATCGTTTGATTCTGACCATCCTAGCCATCGCTATCGTTTCCTGGACACACCAAGTGAATGGCTTGTCAGGCCAGTGCTGGAGACCCAGGGATGGGATCATGATGTTGGTTATGAAGGTCTAAATGTTGAAAGGTTGTTTGCTGTGAAAGGTAAAGTTCCTTTATCAGTGTCTGGTCAACTTTCAAAAGACAAGAAGGATTGCTCCCTCCAAATGGAGGTCGCAAGTTCACTTAAGCACGGTGAGGGGAAAACCACTTCACTGGGGCTTGATTTGCAGTCTGTTGGCAAGGACATGGCATACACTCTTCGTGGCGAGTCGAGGTTTAAAAACTTCAGGCGCAATAACACGGCTGCTGGGATATCCGCCACACTCCTTGGAGATTCTGTATCCGCTGGTGTGAAGGTTGAAGACAAGCTTGTTGTGAACAAGCAGCTCAGGGTTCTGGTTAGTGGAGGCGCTATGAGCGGGAGGGGAGATGTGGCTTACGGAGGGCGGCTTGAAGCAACATTGAAAGACAAAGATTACCCAATTGGCCGCATGCTTTCTACCATAGCGCTCTCTGTTGTTGATTGGCATGGGGATCTTGCTGTTGGCTGCAACATCCAGTCTCAGATTCCTGCTGGAAGAGCTAGCAATTTGATTGGTCATGCGAATCTAAGCAACAAGGGAACTGGTCAAGTTGGCATTCGCCTCAACAGCTCGGAGCATCTTGAGATCGCCCTTATTGCCCTCGTGCCAATATACCAAAACATCAAGAAGTTATTGCAGAGTTAATCCGTATCAACCAGTATTTATGTAAGCGAGAAAAGGCAGCAAGATAAATCCATTAGAGTTAATGCAAGCATAAATTAGAACTAGAGTTAATGCAAGCATAAATTAGAACTATCTATTTATTTTCTTCTTCCCTTACCTACACGTAATAGTGTTTTCTTCCAAGTTTTTTTTTTTTTGATGAAGTTGGATTTGCAGAACACATCCTTTTCAGGATTTTTGTTGTTATCCTTGTACTCTCAATAGCTGATAAGAAAAAAAAATGCACTGCTGTTTTGAAGGCTGCAACCGCCGAGTATCAGATCGTTTTGCTATATTTGTTAAGATCGTTTTGCTATATTTGTTACTCATATTAAATTGTATAACCATATATTCTTGTCCCAATCGACTTGGAAAATACTAATACTCCACATTCTATTGTGTATAGATATTGTTTGGTCTTATGATTCTTGTGTTGTCATTATTGCCTCTAGTGGAATGGTTTTCAAGAGTGATGTGATAAGTTACAAGAATAATTTGTCTTCAGTCAGCTTGACTGCTTCAAGTGTGAAAGCAATGAATTAGCCCCATCATTTAGCAGTTTGGTTGTTTGAAGGCAAAGGCAAAACAACATATTTACAATAAAAAATAATTTATAAATAAAACTTTTATATACGTGTTCTCGACGATCTAGAAATAAAGATTAAAAAACAAACAACAATGAAAAAAACTCTAAAATTAACTCTAAATTAATATTAAAAATTTAAATTTTAGCTGATAAATATAAACGAAAAGAGATGGTGCCAAATATGTATATTTTCACAAGTCTTCCCATACAAAACCAATTAACGTCTCAATTGGGTCCCACTGCCTTAGGCAGTTGACTACTTGACTTTGATTCCCGCCAAGTCTTCGAGGGCCCCACCTGTCAGCCGTGGACCCGCGCTTCTCCCCCGAACAAAATGAAAACGACTAATCTTTATAACGAGCAGAGTAGCATCATATCTCCAGTTTGTTAGACAAGTTAGGATCCTTAAATAACGTCCTAAACTAACCCAATCTGCGACATAATCTCGTTTAGTTCGTGGACTTAATCCGCGTCTCCGTTGGTTAATATAGTTACAGCTCTAGCTCTGGATCATCGCGAGGGAGTTAGTTTAGTTAGTTAATCAGTTGGGAACACACACGTCGGCCGTCTCGTCTCGCGCCATTTTTTTTGATGGGCTCGAGGGGCGGCGACGCCGACGCGTGGGAGACGGCGAGCGCGCGGAGCGGCGTCTCCTCCTCCTCCTCCGGCCGCGCGACGGCCGCGGCGGCGGCGCCGGCGCCGGAGAACAAGGTGTTCGTGGCTCTCCCGGCGCAGCACAAGAGCGGCAGGTCCACGCTCGCGTGGGCGCTCCGGCACGTCGCCGAACTGGCTCCGGCGGCGATCGGCGGCGGCGGCGAGGTGGTGGTGGTGGCGGCGCACGTCCACTCGCCGGCGCAGATGATTCCGATGAGCAGTACGTGTGTCCTCCCGCTTCTTCGCCTTCTCTCGTCGTCGCTCTGCAAACCCCCACGCCACAAGCTGCAGGGCTTATATCAGCCGTTCGATTAGCTATGTACGGTCAGGATTCAGACGGCCCTGATTGGCTGATGCATTTTTTGTGAGGAAGCCCCTGTAGTTTTTACGTATTCCATTCTGATGCATTTTTGTGAGGAAGCCCCTGTATTTTTTTCGTATTCTATTCTGAACTCCTTTTTAGTTCACTACTGAGTCCCAGTCCTGAATCCCCCAATGCGGCGCCCCCTGCCTCGCCGGGGACGGCGGCGAGGGGTGTCGCGACGGGAGCTCACTCCGGCGACGGCGAGCATCTTCGCGCGCACAATTATCCCGAGGATGTGGCTGGGCTAGGATCGTGCAGAGATTCCCGCTTCCTTTTGGTCCAAATGCGACTGGGTTTTAGCCTTTTAGGGCAAAGGGGAAGTATTATTTCCTACTGAGTTGTTCATCGATTCGCTTGTCTGAATTGCCAAAATTGTTTAGTGTCTAGGTGATTGTATTCGGTTTTTTTTTTCAAACTCTTAATGCGAACTGATAATTTCTAGTATTGGTGCCCATGGATGCACGCTGAGTCAGTTCAGAATAGAACTGAAGTAGTGGTCAGTCTCAGTCCACAGTTCACAGTAAATATTCATTTTAGAAGAACAAATCGCGTGAAGGTTGATTAGATGTTGACCTCATGTGTTAAATTTCAGCTAAATCTGCTATTGCAACTTCAAATGACATACTTTGTTCGCGTGGTGTACTAATTACTAAACAACTCATCTAATTACATGGTAGTGGGAGGCAAGTTCCATGCAAGTAAATTGAGACCGGAACAGGTCAGTACTTACAGAAAATATGAAAGGGAGCAGGTGGAGAAGAATTTGGATGAATACCTCGAGCAATGCACAAAAATGAAGGTTCAGGCAATCTTCTCATTCATTCTTAGTAATGAAGTCTGAATTGCTATGGGGAACAAGTTAAGTGTATTATATTTTTCAGGTCAAATGTGAGAAAATTGTTATTGAGAATGAAGACATTGCTAATGGGATTACAGAGCTTATTTTGCTGCATGGGGTAAGTAAACTCGTCATGGGAGCAGCTGCTGACAAGCAATACTCCAGGTGTGTCTTCATTTCTGCTACCGATTTGTACTTTTGTTGCATCATATATCTAGCTAAGTGATGCCTCAAAACTCTAATTTCAGGAAAATGAAATTGCCCAAGTCCAAAACAGCACTCTCAGTCACGGTTAAAGCAAATCCTTCATGCAAGATTTGGTTTGTTTGCAAGGAGCATCTGATATACACTAGGTATTAAGAATATGATCATGAGCAGTATGCATGCCATACCTCTGGACCGACCAGTCATCTGTATATTCATTTCATACCGACTTCATATATTGTTTCCTAGATACTAGCCATTCTGTTAGTGTTCTCCCTTTTCCAAAATCATTTTGAGTAATTCTCTCTTTAAACTGTGTTCAGAGATTTTGTTGCTCCTATTTCTCCAAATTCACAATCACCTGACACTATCAGAGGCTCAATATCCAATCTAGCTGCACGGGGAGGAACTACAAACCAATATGCAAACAATGCAGTTAACGGTTACGTACAGAGGTCCATGTCTGAAATGGTTGTCCCTGCATCTAGCAGGGTATCATTGCAACTGCATTCTCGATCATCGTTACAGGAGTCCCTTAGCAGGCTAAACATGGAGGGCACCTCTGTTGATTCCTGGGATAGCTTCCGCAGAGGAAGCTTTCCAAGTTCATACCGAGCTTCTTCTACTGTGACTGAAGAAGTGTTGAGCGATTCTAGTTCATCTGGAATACCTAGAGATGGCATCTCAACACTTGCAGGTTGTGACTTTCCAAACTCAGCACTGCACCATGAACAGGTAAGCTCTAATACCAAATTTAAGCTTTGGATGATTAGCTAGGAATCTTATTCCATTACATGGTGCTGTATCCAGGGTGACGCAGGTTCAAATGCTAACCTATTTGATAAACTTGAAGAAGCCTTCGCAGAGGCTGAGAAGTATAGGAAGCAAGCATATGATGAGTCACTGAGAAGACAAAAGACAGAAGAAGAATTGATTTCATATCACCAAAAGGTAAACCCTTCACTAAGTTAGCATAAAAAATTGCAGGTTTTTTTACACAAAGATCTAATGGACCTGGTTACAGGCCAGGAAATCTGAGGATTTGTTCTTAAATGAGGCCAAGCAAAGGAAAGAGGTTGAGGAAACCCTAGCAAAGGCAAATGTGGAGATACAATTATTGAAGGAAGAAATGGATGCACTGAAACACAACCGAGATGACCTCAGCAGTAAGCTTTCCGACGTGAGTGAACAGAAAGTGACACTAGAGCAACAGGCCGTGGAATATGGAAGCATTATCATTGATCTCAAGGATACAGTTGCAGCAAGCCAAGCCCTCATTGATTCAATGCAAATGGAGTTTGAACAATTGAAGCATGAAAGAGACAATGCACTCAAACATGCAGAAGAGCTGCACAGAGAGAAACAAAACATGGTATCGAGCTCAGACTTGGAATGGAGCACTGAATTCTCTTTGTTGGAGCTGCAGCAGGCAACACAAAATTTCAGTGATGCAATGAAAATTGGAGAAGGTGGGTTTGGGTGTGTCTACAGGGGTCAGCTTCGTAACACCACTGTTGCAATTAAGATGCTTCGCTCTCAGAACTTGCAAGGGCAGTCACAGTTTCAGCAAGAGGTAATAGATTAATAGCAACTCTGAAACCATAATTGCAAATTGATTTTGTATTGCTTTAGTTGTACTAAACTAATGTTACTGGGCAGGTTGCTGTTCTTAGTAGAGTAAGGCATCCAAACCTTGTAACTCTTGTAGGTTATTGCTCAGAAGCTTCAGGTCTTGTGTATGAATTCTTACCAAATGGAAGCCTTGAAGACCATCTAGCCTGTGAAAGCAACACGTCTCCGCTTACATGGCAGATCCGTACACGGATCATCGGTGAGATATGTTCGGCGCTCATCTTCCTTCACTCTGACAAGCCTCACGCAGTCATCCATGGTGATCTCAAGCCAGCAAACATTCTTCTTGATGCAAATTTGGTCAGTAAGCTTGGTGACTTTGGAATCTCTCGCCTCCTAAATAGGTCTAGCACAGTGTCCACGAGCTTCTACCAAACAACAAATCCAAGGGGAACTTTTGCTTACATGGACCCTGAATTTCTTACAACTGGGGAACTAACAGCACGGTCTGACATATACTCATTTGGCATTATCATACTGCGACTGGTGACTGGGAAGCCAGCTTTAGGCATTGCAAGGGAGGTGGAGGTTGCACTTGATAAGGGTGAGTTGGAGTTGCTTGTTGACCGATCTGCTGGAGACTGGCCGTTTGTGCAGGCTGAGAAGCTGATGCTTCTTGGCCTGCAGTGTGCAGAGCTTAGCAGAAGGAAGCGCCCTGATCGTATGAATCATGTGTGGAGCGTGGTCGAACCCCTTGTAAAGTCTGCTTCGCTGCCAGTAGAACCAGAATCCATTGGACATTGGGTGAATAAGAACCGCACGCCATTCTACTTCATATGCCCAATTTCTCAGGTATGCATGTCCAACCTCTCCGCGGTGCAGTAAATAACATGTCATAGACTCATAGTTGCATTCACGATAACTGGGATTACAAATGTGGTAAGCAAAAGCTGTGGATGTTTTGCTTCTTTATTGCAATCGAGTATGATGGAAGCACAACACCATCCATGTTTCTCAGTACTTGGCTGTGAACATCCGTTTGGATGTAGAGGCCGGTTTAATCCATTATCTAAAAGCAAATGTTTCTCAGAACTATCCAAAAGTTATTGTGTTGGCGGTTCTGTGTATAGTACGACTGAATTTAACTTTGATATTTTTAGACTTATGGCATGTTAGTTTAGAAATACAGCATCTCGTGCTTAAAAATCACCCATGTTCAAGGCTTAAAGATACTAGGAGCTATCTCTGTTCTAAAACAAGTTCTGGTTTTACCGAGAGTTGCTTCCTTGAGAACTGTTGCCACACTTAATGAGGGACAGAGATCGGAACTTCTTTCTGAGGGAAAATATGAATGTTAACAAGTGTGCATGCTTTGATCTCTCAGATTTTATTGTTGTTCTGGAACTATTTTTTTTTTCTGATATAACTTTCTGAATAATTATATTATGCTTGCTGAAGTAGAATATTAAAGTTCCTTGCAGCATTTTTTGGTGGGGAATAATAATATGCTACTAACAGTCTAACAGCTGCTGAGCTTGGTTGAAACAATATTGTAGGAGGTCATGAGGGATCCTCACATTGCAGCAGATGGGTTCAGTTACGAAGAGGAGGCCATCAAAGGATGGCTCGGCAGCGGGCACAACACCTCCCCGATGACAAAATCAACTCTGGAACATCTTCAGCTGATCCCGAATCTCGCTCTTCGTTCTGCCATTGAGGAATTTATGCAGCAGAAGCAGCAGCAGATTCCATCATAGTAATTAGTTCAGTGAACTTGATTATTCTTAGCTTCATAAGTTGTAAAGTTGATAGCTCATTCTTTGTTCAGAAGTCTGCTCGTGTAGTGTAGCTGTTTTGTTTTGTGAGCAGCAACTTACAATAAATCGTGCATGCTCATATGAGCAGGTGATGATCAGCTAGCAAATGTTTGATGTCAGATTGTGCTTGAACATAATTGTTTCAGGCCACTTAGAATCATGGGACTTATCAGTTTACTGTTGTTGGAAATTGGTAAAAATGAATATGGAGATGATTTTTTCCCCCTCGAGGTGATGTCTCCTAGTGGGAAGTATCCGGTGCAATCACCCAATTCGGTGCAAATATGCAACTCTCATCCTACACCGTTGGATCAAGAAATGGACGTCCGAGATTCGTCCACGTCACCATGAGTTAAAATATAACTCGCAAATTCACTCATGAGTTAAAATTTACTGAGAGTTAAATTTTAACTTATGGTGACGTGGACGAATCTCGGACGCCCATTTCTCAATCCAACGGTGTAGGACGAGAGATGCATAGTTGCACCGAATTGGGTGATTGCACCGGATACTTCCCCGTCTCCTAGTGAGAATATTTTTAGCAAGTGCATCTAGGGTATGCATGTGGTATAAATAGTTAAATAAAAATATAAAATAAAATTAGCAAGATATATTGTGATAATATAATTTGGTACACAAACATGCAACTACAAATTCGATCTTCAAGTAAATAAAAATAACAAGTTGTGTTTGTATTTTTTTGTTCAAATTTTGTTATTTTTGTTTCTCAAAGGAGATCATATTTAACTATACATGTATATATACTTCTAGCATCACATCAATCTAAACCTTTTTTTAAAAAAAAATGCACGACTATTTAGATGACATGCAAACGTTTGCATAGGTGCGATTCCACCTAGCTAGGAGTAGAAAATCCATGTCCGTCTTCTCTTAGCGTACGTGTAATATTATAGGAACAAATATTACCGTATAATATTTTTTTCAACTTGTATGTATTGAATTTGAGTTTTCGCAAAGTGACACATATTTATCAAAACTTTTCATAAGTATTAGGATAGCATACAATAAACAAGGGGACACACATAGTAAATCAAACTGTTGTTTATCATAGTAAATCTTCCCGGAGAATCAGATGCTCAGAATTCATAGTGTTCTTCAGCATCTTACAACTTACAAGATGGCGCAGATATACAAGCGCAACTATCTTAAAGTAAGCTGTAGGAGGAAATGGAACCATTTCTAACAACGGGAAAAATATAGGTTATAGAAGGAAACCATTTGAACAAATTAATAGGGAAATAAATTAGGAGGATCGTTTCCGTCCGATCTCAATAGAACTGGACGTTTGATACGTAGATGGCGTCTGGCATCCAGTTGACCGGGATGACGTCTTTGGCGATGAGGCTCTTGCCGGACTCGGTGGTGACGCGAATGGAGAAGGGTGCCTTGAGTGGCGTGGCGGTGTCCATCCTCCAGATGGCGCCCCACGACAGCTTCATGGGCCTCCACGCTGGCAATCCGGCCTCCTGGAGGTCCATCTGGATGACGTCACCGTCGTCGGCGACGAACTTGACGAGCACGGCGAGGTAGTTGGGGTTGGAGCCCTTCTCGACGTGGAAGGTGACCTTCTGGCCGCCGGGGTACTTGCAGCGCACCCTCCTGAACTGCATGTCGATGATGCCGGCCTTGCGGAGCTCGGTCTCCTTCCCCGGGCAAGCCATGGCGCCGAACGCCTTGCCGGAGAAGTCGAAGTGGTACGCCGAGATGGGCTCGTAGTTCATGTCCGTGATGAACACCGTCACCGGCTGCTTCGAGCACGCCGCCGGCTGCTCACACTTCACCTGTACTCAAAATGTACTCGGCCAAATTAATGCCCAAATCAAAATGTACCTAACGTAAATCGATGTCCATTAATTTAGCAAAATTCCATATATATATTGCATTGAATGTTTGTGAAATATAAACTGCCAAAAATGTTTGTGAAATAGCAATGTATTAAACATTGACTTGTTGATAAGATCAGGCCGCCTTAATTTGAAACACAAGAGTTTTACTGGATATATTTTCATTATATAATCACTATAGTTCTAAATTAACCCTTATGAAATTCTAAAATGAAATTCCTTTGTTTCGAAGGAGATGTACGAATGCATGTCCTCGGGACAATGATTGGGAGAGTACGAGACGATGAGGTTGTGTTAATTAATTGGTGAGGTTACCTCGTAGCATGAGCCGCATCCCCTGCCGTCCTTGAAGATTGGGACGTTGCCGCAGGAGATCATGCCGTTGTAGGGAGGCAGGTTGACGTTCTTGATCCCGCACGCGCCACCTGGAAAAAAACAAAACTCAACCAATTAATCGATCGATCGCCATAGATCATGGATGAGCTTCACAGTTACTCCATCGCCATGGATTTAGACACTGTTCAGATTCGTTATTCTATCGTACTATCTTGAGACAAAGATAGTAACACTACATGATGAGCCAGTAAACTAATATTTTGAAGAGGAGATAGTAACATTACACGATAAGATAGTAACTTTACCGTTGTCGGCGGAACTAATATTTTGAGGCGGAGAGAATAACATTACACGATAAGATAGTAACATTACCATTGTCGGTGGAGCCGGAGCCGTAGGGCTGGCCGTACCAGGTGGCCCTGGCGGGGAGCCACGGGGCGTTGTAGTTGGTCGTGATGTTCGGGCCGGGTGGCACCTTGGGCGGGCCGCACGACCCGCCGCCGACCAGCGCTGCCACCACGGCGACGGCGAGGACGATGTTGGTGGTGAGCGATCCCATTGTCGCTTTTATTTGGCTTGGTGTGTTTTGTTTTTTTTTCCTTTTTTTTTTGGTGGTGAGATGGATGACAAGATCAAGCAGATGCCTACGTATTTATAGTCGGCGAGGTGAGGGCGCGGGTGGACGGCCGGTGTCGCCGGCGTCGCGCGCGATCGTGTCGTGGGGTTGGGCGTGCGTGCGTGCGTTCGTACGTGCGCGCCGCCGCCGCGCGCGGGAGCGATTCTTCTCCGGTGGTTTTGATTTGGTCATGCGTTTTGTACGTAATTTGTGCCTGTGCGCGCGCCGAGTTGACATGTACGATGGGTGGCTGAGAAAGCTAGCCTGAGATGGAAGGCCAGTGTGCGACGGTGAGACGACAGTTAAGCTGGCTGCTGCGTTTATGCGTACACTGTCAGTGTGTACAGTGATCAAGATGGAGAGATATATATTCTGCTGGAGAAGGCGAAATATTTGGTGATTAATGTTGAGTCTTTTCCAGTCCCGTATTTCTTATTGCTTTCCAGTTTTGTAGATTTGCTCATGAAATCAATACTATATAGTATGTAGTACTGGTATAAGTAATGACAAGGTTACTTCCTAATGGATGAACACGCTTACACGCCCGCATGCAGGCTGTCATGCATATATGCAGCGCAATTAGTAAGATTTTGCATGCGGCAGATACGATCTTGCATTAATTCTTTCATGATCCTGCATCCATCCATCGTAGGTACTTCGTCCATTTCACAATTCACAATGTAAGTCATTCTAGCATTTCCTACATTCATATTGATGTTAATGAATCTAAATAGATATATATGTCTATATTCATTAACATCAATATGAATGTGGAAAATAGTAGAATGATTTACATTGTGAAACGGAGAGAGTAGTAGCTATCTATCCCGATGTATCGCGTGCAAGGCGGTGCAAACGCAGAGCCGGGTCGGCGGCGGCGGCGTGCTCGCTTCCGGCGGAAGCTACGGCGGCACGGCCACCGGCCGCCGCCTTGCGGGAAGCCGAATCAAACCGCGGGTGCTACGCGAACGCGGCCGATCCTGCTGAGTGATCTGGAGATCTGGACCGTCCAAACACATGCGACATGGGCCTTATGTCCTCCCTTCCCAATCATGCTCCGGAATAAGTTCATCTGAGGTCCCTTAACTTTACACCGAATCCGATTTTCGTCCCTCGATCGGAAAACCAGACACAACGGGTCCCTCAACTATCAAAACCGGTGCAGATCAGGTCCCTCGGTGGTTTTGAGGGCGGTTTTGGCTGACGTGGCGCCTAGGTGGCTAATTTGACTCGGTCTTCGTCCAACGTGGCATTGACGTGGCGCTTTACGTGTCAATTCGACCCGGAAAAATAATAAAAACCTAGGGACCCACATGTCAGTCTCACATAGAAGATAATAAAAAATTGTGGGACCCACGTGGGCCCCACATGTCAGTCAAACTCACCCTTCCTCTTCTTCCTCCTCTCTCCCCATCTCCCTCTCTTCATCTTTCTCCCCTCTCCTCTCCTCTTCCAGCGAGAGTGGCGAGCTGGAGGGGGCGGCGAGACCGGCGTCCGCCGGCGAGAGTAGCGAGCTGGAGGAGGAAGCTGGGGCGATAAAAGGGGATCAGCGACGGCGATGGGCAGAACAGATCGACACGGGCGGCGGCAGGTCCCCCCGGAGCAGCGCCGGCAATTGAGATCCAGTAGTGGCGGGCAGGAGAAGGGCGGTGGCCGGCAGGGAGAAAGGGCGGCGTGCAGCGATGGCCGCCGGAGGAGGAGGAGGAGATGCAGCCATGCGGGGAGGCGTGGCGGTGGCAGCTGGAGGAGGAGGACGTCCGCCGTGCGCTGCTCCCCTCGGTAGTGGCGGCGGCACAGGGGCCCTAGGAGTCGCCGAGGATGCCGAGGTCGACGTCGACGTCGTCCGCGGCCACGGCCATGGCTTCCCCGTCCGCATCCGGCGTGCACCACAGAAGCGGTGGCATGGGGAGCGGCGCCGCAGCTACGGTGGCGGCGGCGTCAATGGGGGGAAGGGGAAGCGGAAGCTCCTCGCTCCGGTGGGCTGCCGCTGACGAGCTCGGTGGTGGTGAAACGCGACGGATCGAGCACCATCATGGTGGCTGGGGGCCCTCCTCCGACCTCTGCTCCAGACCACCGCCTTCGTCCTCTTCACCCATCGCCGGCTGTCGTCCTCCTCGCTCCGGTGGGCGGTCGCTGACGAGCTCGGTGGTGGAGTCAAATTAGTCACGTAGGCGCCACGTCAGCCAAAACCGCTCTCAGAACCGCCGAGGGACCTAATCTGCACCGGTTTTAATAGTTGAGGGACCTGTTGTGTCTGGTTTTCCGATCGAGGGACGAAAATCGGATTCGGTGTAAAGTTAAGGGACCTCAGATGAACTTATTCCATCGTGCTCCTGCTACCTATAATGGGCCGCACCCCCGTTCTGGCCCAGCTAATTATGGGCCGCATTTTGCTCGCTGTCACGTTCCGGGCCGAAAATACGTGCTCGGACAGAAAAGCCGGCCCATCAAGATCGTTTTTCATGAAAAATTCTCTAACATTTTTTGCCTGCACAGAACGTTGTTCGACTGATCTCTGAGTTTTGGATGGCCATCGCACTTCGCAACGGAATGGAGGATACACATTTGCCTCTTACTACCATTTTACGTGTTGTAACCCAAGCGAATAATGCTATGCCTGCATTTAAACTTCTTCAGAAAGAGGCTGACAAACTCGCGACATAAAGATCTGAAAACTACACTCATCTTTTGCACTGAACAAAAGTCGGTATGAATTTGGCTAGTTCTGAATAAAAGTCAGTATGAATTTGACTAGTTCTGAAGAAAAATCTGTATGAATTCGGCTAGTTCTGAAGAAAAGTGATCATATGGATATGCTGTGTTTACTGTTTCCTGTTTTTGTGCTCAATTTCTTTTCTTTTGTCCGTACCTTGGAATGATCAGTAGATGTTGAATGTTAAATGGACAATAACATGCTTTGGGGGTAGATGCTTGGCCACGGGATGCTGTCATGCATTTTGGGAAACTTCAAACCATGCTTGGAGAATTTTCCTCCGTGTAGCGGCCATCAACAGACCTCTTAACCAAACTCGCTTGAGAGAAGTTCAGAGAAGAAGAAAGAAAAACTGACTCCTATCTTGTCCTCCCCTATTACTATCAGATTCTCTTAAGAAAACATGAAAGATGCTTTTTCAGATAGATAGTTCCTTTCTCAGTTTTTCCTGGCTTCTAGCCTGCTATGTTTTTGCTATGTTTAGCTCAGTAAACAACTGGTTTAGCTAAATTGAAGCTAGTGTTTAGTTGTCTTGCCAGGAAAAGCTGGTCTAGCTCAGCATGCTCTACAAGACAGAGTGATTTGCTAATTGCTACTAGAAAATCACCCATTCAATAGGACCATTTCCTGTGAACTACTGATCAAAGTGGACCTAAAATAACTGCTGTTTCTATCAGTGAGCAGCTCATTTAGCTCATAATAACACAATATGGTATTATAGTCATTTATATTTCTGATGCTATGTCCTATGAGGCTATGATGATGGATCAAATCCATCTCTGATACAGTCAGCTTCAGGTGTGTAGAGCTGCTCGTGTTTGGATCGTTGCGCCTTACAAAATCATGCATAAGGAAACACCATTTTCTCACAGATTGAGGTGAATTAATGCAGCAGCTTCAGTTGATCATTTCCAAAATTTCTTGTTATCTCCTTACATCTCTTCATATTCCATTTGAGGAAACTTTGCTGCTAATGCTTGTGATAGAGTATGAGTGCTCAGAGCAATTTTGGTATAGAGCAGTGAATTACTACTATGATATCGACAATAAAAGAAGAGCATATGCTACAAACATTGAATTGTTTGGCCAAAATTGGCAGCTAATTCTAAAGGCGCAAAAATGTACGATAGAGAATTATATGAGGAAACTAGTAGCTAATAACCAATATCACTTTCCAGTATAACTGGGTTTCACAAACCATGAGCAATCTCCCAGAGTTTATTATCACAAATTGTGCCTTTTGTGGCTGCTTAGTTATTCTTCAATAAAATGTTGTTCATTAAAAAATCAGAAGGAAAAGCATTCACATTGTGGCGGACGCAAGATTAGCAAAACATCCAGAGTAGGTACTTGAAAGTTGAAGGAACTTATACAGTTATATGCTAGTTGAGTAGTATATATGAAATTGTTCATTTTTTCCTGGGACCTCAGGTTTACTACCTTACCTTAGTACGATGCACGAACATTATGTGAGCGAGCTACAAATCAGAACTAAAACCTACTGGAAGGAAGTCCGTTACACAATTAGTCACTTAACAAAAGCAATAGGACAAAATTAAATCAGTTACTAAGCGTGATCTGGCCACGACACTAAGAAAACGGTTAATTTCTCCCAAATTTTAACATCAGTAGGCATAAAGTAACAATGCTGAGAAAATCACAAGCTCAATTTTTTTTAGAATATCGATCACAAGCTCTAATGCTTCAATTCTTAGACGATTACACAGAGATACCACCAGTAATTTGTTTTCTTTGGAAGAAAATACTACTAGTACAAGATAATTGAGCAAAATAAATACCTACTGGGCGCCGTCCTCGGGGAAGCGCGTGTCGACCCCGCCGTGGCCGTGCTGCCCCGCAACGCCGGAAGCCGCAGCCGCGGCGCCGCCCCCGCCGCCGGGACCCGCGGCGGAGGCACCTCCGGCGCCGTGCTGGAGCTCGATGACGAGCCAGCGGACGGCCTTGCTCATCTGCTCGAGGCGGACGGCGCTGATGGGCTTGATGCCGGGGGCGGCCAGCGCCGCGGAGGAGGAGGAGGAGGCGCCGGTGGCCTCGTCGACGAGGCACTCGGAACCGATTCGCTGGCGGATCGACTCGACGAGCTCCTCCGCGTGGTCGCAGGCGACGCGGAAGAGCTCCCACCGCTGCTTGAACGCCTCGAGCGCCGCGTCCGTGGCCGCGTTCTTCTCTCCCCCCGACTGCCCCCGCGCCTCCACCACCGCCGCCGCCGCCGCCACGAACTCCTGGTACGCCTCGCTCAGCTCGTCCACCGTCGCCTCCATCTCCCCTCGCCGCCGGCGGCTTCTCCCCGACACGCTCCACCGCCTCCGCCGCCTAGATTCCCCACCAACTTGACCTCTACTCGTCACAGTGTCAAACTCCCAAACCAGTAGCGTCAAAAAAAAAAAAATTCCTCGTGGGCCGCAGATTCGCGGCCCACTTTAAAATGGGCCGTCTCGTGCTGTATCTTCTTACTGGGCCGCACGTTAAAACTTGGGCTGGGACGCGAGGCGAGGGTTTTTCTCGAGGGATAAATATGGGCCTCGCCGCTCGCCGGAGCGGCGGTGGCTTCCCCCTCGCCGACGGCGAGGCGGGCGACCCCGGTGGGATCCTGTGAGCCGGCGACGGCTTCCCCCAACTCCCGCCTCGCCGCGCGCCGATGTTGCCGTCTCCCTGCGCGATTCCGCCGCCGCCGCGATGTATTTATTCGGTGTTCGCCATTTCTAGTCAATCGTCAAAGGTGATTTGACTGTACCACGATGATTTAATTTCATATGCAGTACTGGTGATGATGAGATGTTTGCTTGTTGTCAATTTTGTTCGCCTCAAATTTCATATGCTATTATTGCTGAATCGTCACTACCCGTAGGTTGTTTCTCCCGTTCATATGGAGTAACTGAAATATGAGGCCGAGATCTTTAGATTAGATCACCAGATAGACTGATGGCTCTATCACTGGCACACAATCGATGCACTACATCTTTTTTTTATTAGAAATGAAAGGCAGGGAATTTGTGGTGAGCAATGGGGGTGAAGGATGTGAGAAAGGTAGAGTCTTACATTAATTCATAACATGTCCCTGTTCCCAGCAAATTTTGCCGTGTTGTACTGGCATGGCATGACAGCGTACCAAATGACTTTCCTCAGATAATCCATTCACTGCGACTTGGTAGTTGAGTGTTGCGTTGTCTTCCGATAGTCTCAGTCAAGAGTCAACCTTTTTACCTGGTTAAACTGGAATCTTATTCTTTAATGCTAATACGCAGTGTGTTCCCTCTTTTAGTTGTCCAAAGTGGGAAACGCAAACTGGTAGATAGAAGTATCTCTTAGTTCCATCTTCAAGGCCTTACCAGTTGCATGCATGAGTATGATGCTCAGGCAGAAAACTCTGTTTAGAGACAAGGTTTATGTTGCTCTCCCTGAGCAACCCACCGATGGCAAGTCCATACTGTCTTGGGTTATCGATCATGCATCCAGTAGCACGGAGATCATCATCATCCACATAATTACTACATCGAACTTTGGTTAGTTATGTGCAGTGGCTTTATCTAAAGTTATTTTTCTCGATGTCAATAAAGGAGGTGATATAGTCATATAGCTATCTTATGATGTTTGTACCATAATCTTTAGCTTCTGGCTTTCTGCCATATTCTGGTTTATTTCCTCTAACCATTACTTCTTGTTTCTATTGTGTTTTCGGTTGCATAATCCTTAGCAAAGTTCTATTGTCTTAGTTGATTCCTTTTTTGCTGAAGAAAGCCGGATGCAAAATGTGGACAACTATCTGGACCAGTGCTCAAGAAAAAAGGTGCAAGATAATGATATTTTATTTTGTTTTCTGAAAAGTTCATGTAAAAAATATTTTTATTCACTCTCCCCACAAAGACTTCTATGAGTAAATAACTAATTATAGAACATAAGGAAAAAAAAAGTAACACCAAGCAAGAGTGAAAATGGTTATTTTTTTACTTGATATGTCCAAATACTGATTGTTCATATATTATAACTGAAGATAGTTCTTATAGTAGTATTATCATTGCACAACCAAAGCCACGTCCAGGTATTTTTTTTCGTCTAAACAAAAACAGTTGGTATTGAAGTAGAATTATTTTACAAAGGTACAAAAATCCACTCCGTGCTAATGAAGGTTGGGGACATCTCTTCCATAAAGACCATTCGTAGGAAATTTATACAGGGTATCTTGTTTTGGGTAGAAGCAAGTTTTGGAAGAACTAGGGGGATTTTCTATTTTATTTTATTTTATTTTATTTTTGCTGAAGCTTTCACCATATCTATTTTTGCATTGATTTTTTTTTTCTGAATACTATAATGAACCCTCTGGTTCCATTTTTTTATGTGACAAAACTGTAAAAAATCCATATTTCAAACCCTGGTTAGGTAATAATCCAAAATTTTGTTTTAAACTGATCGAGATTAACAGGGCATCAAGGCTTTCTGCCACTTGTATGCTGAATCATATGAATCACTGAGGTTTACATATTGAAGTCAACTTGTTTGACTATCTATGGATGCATGTTCTGCAATTCTGTTCTATCTATTTTATCCATGATGTTGAAAACAAAAAATCGATTGCAATAAGTTAACATATTTTGTAAAGAAAGTTTAGGGGGAAAATTAATGCAAAAAGTAATATTTACTTCATCAGAGGGCAAATTTCTTATTCTTCCTTGACCAGGTTAAAGCTGAGAAAGAAGTGTTCTTTTTTACCAAAATTGACGAAGGACTTCTTCATCTGATAGAAATATATGGGGTCACTAAACTTGTTATGGGTGCTGCATCAGACAGACACTACAAAAGGTTTCTCTCTCTTCTCTTTCTCTGAGTTCTAACAATCGTGGTACAGTTTCACGTTATCAGTTCTTATTGATTGTGACAAAAATATGACTATTTTTGTTGCCCAGAAAAATGAAAGCACCACAATCACAAACAGCAATAAGTGTGATGCAAAGAGCACATTCATACTGCAATATATGGTTTATTTGCAACGGGAAGCTAACATGTGTCAGGTAGGGCTTCAACTACCAAATGGGACTCTTATATAAATCTGACTTTATTTTATTGTATTTATCTTAAGCCCCAGTTTTGGCATTATTTCACAGCAAGGAATCTCAACATAACAGTACAATATGCAGCTTAAAATAATCACATGTAAATCTTTCAGTATAGGGCCTATAGGCAGCCATATGATTGATACTTCAGTTTTGAAACTCCAAGGCACCGAATCGGTATTAATTGGACAAATAACAGAAGGGATCACAATCTTGACTGTTTACCAAGCATGCTGTATGTAACTGAAGGACGAATAGTTTTCCAGAATCAAAGATCACAAGCCTATTGCAGCAGATAAATTCTGGCAGAACTTCACATATTTAGAATGAGTAGAACTGAGAAAAAAACATGTGTACATTTATTTTTGCCTTGTATATTCTTTCTTTGCGAATACTTTGTCCTGTATATGTTATTAGGACAGTCTAGGTTATGGTCGAGTTTGTACCATATTTAGCTGATCTACAATTCGACATGCCTTATCTTATAACTATCTGCATTTTGTCATGTAAAGTATCTGTTATTTTTCCATAAGAGAATGATTATCACAAGTTTATTGAAGCCTAAATAATTCTTAATTTTTCACTACTTTGAATTTTTCTTCCACTAAACGTCTCTGTTTCTTTTCGCCTAGGGAGGCCAGTTGTTGCCCTGTAAAAAGGTCAAAATCAGCACGCCTACCTTCTTCTGTAGACAGTTGCAAGGTGGATCTTCAAAGTTTGCTTGAGCCTAATATAGAGGTAAATACCACTTTGTACTACAATTAACATGAGCTTTTCTAGCGCGGCTTAGTAGATGTTCACACAGGAAGACCATTAAGCATGTACTTCAGAGATACCAAGAGGTCTCTAAAACTGTTCTGAAGTTAGGAATGTGGAAATGCTATAATAAACTCGAAACAAAATGAAACAAGGTAGTCTTGGCTCAGCAGGAAGAAGTTAAAATAGTTTTACTCTGTGTTTCAGATCCTTTGCGCTTGGTATGCCGTATTATATAATATCCAAACTTTTACAGTATTTTCTGTTAACAATCGCTGATTGCATTTGCAGGCTAAAAGATTGGGATGCATGTATATTAATGAAATGGAACTAAGGAAAGAGACAGAGGCAAAACTCTCACAAGAAAAGGAAGAGTCAGAATCTCTCAAACATGCCACTATGGTGCTCCAAAATGACCTGGACTGGCTCAAATATCAGTTGAATGAGAAAGCCAATAGATTACAAGATCTAAACCAACAGAAGCACCTCCTTGAACACCGCATCTCAGAGTCAGACTCAGTTGCCACTTATCTAGAAGAGAGCATGAAGGTTACGGAATCTCGTGTCCAGTCACTGAAGTTAGAGTACAGTAAAATGAAGCGAGAGCGAGATGATGCAGTTAAAGAGGCAAGGAGCATGCGTATAGAGAAGGAGCTGACGAATTCTTGTGCCTATGGAGCAATAAGCTCTGAGTTCTCCTTGATGGAGTTGGAGCAGGCAACTCAGAATTTCAGCAATGCACTTAACATCGGTCAAGGTGGATTTGGATCTGTATACAAAGGTTCTCTGCGCAATACGACAGTAGCTATAAAGATGCTTAGTACTGACAGCTTGCATGGCCAATCTCAGTTCCATCAAGAGGTACTATTCAAAGGCCTATCATCCATTTGTATAATATTGCATTGAAAAAACGGAACTAAGATAAGCTAATCATTATTAAAAGTTAAGCTAATGCATTCTGCCGTTCCAATTTGTTTTCACAGGTTGCTATACTCAGTAGAGTAAGGCATCCAAACTTAGTCACCCTTATTGGAGCCTGCACTGAAGCTTCAGCGCTTGTTTATGAGCTCTTACCAAATGGAAGCCTGGAGGACCGACTCAACTGTGTTGACAACACCCCGCCACTCACTTGGCAAGTGCGCATCCAGATCATCACGGAGATTTGCTCTGCACTTATCTTCCTTCACAAGCACCGGCCTCACCCAGTGGTGCATGGGGACCTCAAGCCAGGCAACATCCTTCTTGATGCGAATTTGCAGAGCAAACTCAGTGATTTTGGGATTTCACGCCTCCTTCTGGAGTCCAGTGTCACTGGAAGCGACGCACACTACACCTCCAGGCCTATGGGAACACCGGCATACATGGACCCAGAGTTCTTCGCCACAGGGGAGCTGACGCCACAGTCTGATACTTACTCTTTTGGTGTTACCATCATGCGTCTCTTGACCGGACGGGCACCTCTACGCCTGATTAGGACAGTGCGGGAGGCGCTGAACGACTATGACCTGCAGTCAGTGTTGGACCATTCTGCAGGTGACTGGCCATTGGTGCATGTGGAGCAGCTCGCACACATTGCGCTGCAGTGCACAGAGCTCAGCAAGCAGAGGCGCCCTGATCTTGAGCATGATGTGTGGGAGGTGATTGAACCTATGAAGAAGGAAGCTCATTCGCCATTGTCCCAGTCTTTTCGATCTATCTGTAGTGCCATTGAAACTGCCACCCCGTCCTACTTCCTTTGCCCAATCTCTCAGGTACTACAAGTTAGAAAGGTACTCCCTCTGTCCCAAAATATAGCTACTTTTAGCTTACAAATTCATAAGCTAAAGGTAGCTAAATTCTAGGATGGAGGGAGTAGAATTTATAAGTTGCTGCCGTTGTTTCGTTAGAAACTGTTACCGATGCTTCCAGCATTGCTTCTCGTCTGAAACTCTAATAACGATTTACTGCAATTGCATATCTTCAGGTGACCATGAGAGATCCTCAGATGGCAGCGGATGGCTTCACCTATGAAGCTGATGCTATAAGAGATTGGCTGGATAAGGGACATGACAGGTCTCCAGTGACTAACCAAACACTTGCTAACTGTGACACTATCCCCAATATCGCACTGCGTTCGGCCATTCAAGAATATCTCAAGCAGAACAACATGAACAAGTCATTTGCACTATATGAACAGCAGCATTAGTGGCCTGTATTGAGTTTCATCTGTGCTTCGACTGTAATAGATCGTTTCTGTGCCAGTAAGAAACTAAGGAGGTAGTGTTAGAATAGTGTTTTTCTTTTTTCAGTTGAGCTGTAAACCTAAGTTAAAACTTAGGAACCAATTCTTTTCATTTTACCTGAGTTTTTGAAAATTAAGGGTTGGGTCTTCTTTGAACTAATTCATGTGGAAATCCTACAAAACTGTGTGTTAAATTCCAGCATTCTAAATGAGATCTTAATGGATATACTGAGTTCATGTTCATCTTTCCTTCTGGATTTCTGATAATGGAATGATGAAATCATGTATCATACCCATTTCATTAGTTAAACAGAAAAAAACGAACTATTTCAAGATACAGCAGAAATGATTTTTCTCTATCAACTTTTATTTGTTTCTGAATTGAGTATTGCTATAGATATGACCCATTTGTACAACTAAACACATGCTACCAAAATTGCTATGCATACGACTCAGCTGTCCGACTCATGTATGAATGAATTTGATCGTACGTGAGTCGGACAGTTCACGTACAGTTAGGTCGTATGTGTAGCAATTTTCTTTTAATCGCGTTCATGGAGGAACATAAAGGGTTTAACAGACTGACATGTGGGTCCCACCACATGTAGTGGTAGGGTCGATCCAATCTGCTCTACCTGGAATTGGAAGGGCTAAATCGCAAAACCTCCCTGCCGCTTCGTTTCCTTTCCCCACACTTCATCCCCCCCACTTCCACCACGCCGCCGTCGTCGCCGCCGCCGCCGCCGCCGGCGGTCGCCCGACCTCGCCGGCGATATGCCTGAAAAGGTATCCCACTCTGTCCATCTCTCACTTCTCCATCTCTCTCCTCACTTCCTCTGGCGCTCACCCTTTTTGGTTTTCTCCTCTTCAGGCGGCGGAGGCCAACCTCCGCAAGCAGCTGGAGCAAACCCTCGCCGGCGAGCCATCCAGCCCGCTCCACCACTACAACCTCGTAACCTTCGTCATCCCGTTGCACGAATCCTCGCCGTGGCTGCGGCTCTCGCTCCTCCATTGCGGGCTTATCACGCGGTAGTCGTGTGCGTGCAGGGCGTCTTCCTATGGGACCGCGCGGAGGCGGCGGCGAGGGAGGAGGGCGAGGAGGAGGAGGAGGTGAGGCGGCTCCGTGCGGCGGCGGCCGAGCGCTTCCTCGCGGCGGCCAAGCTGGACCCCAACGACGGCGTCCCCTTCCGCTTCCTCGGCCACCATTATGCGCTTGCCGGCGACGCGCAGCGAGCGGCCAAGTGCTATCAGCGGGCGGCGACGCTCAACCCTGATGATGCCGAGGCTGGGGTGGGTTGGAATGCATATGAGCGTGTGCCTCGAAGGTGTTTGTTCTTTTGCCTGTGAGGGTGTTTTGGTATGATATGCTGTTTGTGTGGTTTGGTGCAGGAGGCGGTCTGTGATTTGCTAGATTTGGAGGGCAAGGAAAGCTTGGAGATCGCTTTGTGCAAGGAGGCAGCTGGCAAGTCACCCCGGGCATTTTGGGCGTTCCGGAGGTTGGGGTACTTACAGGTATCTATCTATCCTTGGTTGGAGTTGCTTGACAGCTTGAGTATATTGTTGATTGAAGTAATCATGTCCGTAATACTTGTGATCAACTCTGGCTCCACCTAAAGGGGCAAATTTGCAAAATATTATGGCTTCATTCGATGGAATAGATCCATATGGACTGGTTTTCAATCACACCATCTCAGACACACCCAAACAAAGCCTACAGGTATTAGTTACTGTGATCCCAAGTCCCAACACTGTTGAGATAATTAAATTCTGACCCAATCTAGGGCTAGTCCAAGCTTAAGTCCCCATATGCATGCCTTTCGATTTACCAAAATGTAATACCATTCATATGCCATTAATATATCCAGTGCCAGTTTCTTTCACGCCATGACCACCAGGGTATTCACCTTCCTTCACGTCCTTTAGCCTCATACTAGCAGATAGTATTGGCGTATTGGCATGTTCCTGTCATTTTGGATTAGTTGATAGAGAATATGTGGAAATCTATAGGACAACATGGCTAGTTTAGGCTTGACATTTCGCATCTCTGCAATACCTAGTTTTGGAGCCTTATCTCTAATCAAAGCTGTGACTATATCAGCCTGTCAGGCCTGCTTTGATAGGGAGAATAGGATCCAAATCCTTAGGATTTGTATCATCCCAAAGGAAAAAGAACACCCCGTTCTTCTTCAAAACAAACCCTAAATTAACAATGTCCATTGCCCAGCTATAATCTCCAACTTTTGCTTGCTTAGGAAAATGTAGGTTTTTTCCTGGAGCAAGGAACAAGTAGACTATGTGCTTTGCTTAAAGCTAAAGTTATGCGGTTAACATCTCTAGATTTTTCTTCATAGTTTTCTTGTTTATGCATGCTAAATTATGCACTGATGTATTTTCAATAAGTATTGACAATTATGGGGCATTTAGGTTCATCAGAAGAAATGGTCAGAGGCTATACAGAGCCTTCAGTATGCAATACGAGGTTACCCAACATGTGCAGATTTATGGGAAGTGGGTATTTTTTCCCCTTGTTTCCTTTATTTTGTTAATGCTGGTGAAATCTAAGTCAGGCATGCTATTTGTATGTAATTAATATTCCATATTATGGTATTAGGCACTCGGTCTGGCATACCACCGTTTGGGCATGTTTACTGCAGCAGTAAAGGTGTGTTACTTTTTTTTAGCATCATTAGTGAATGCTGCAGTATACTATATTGAGGCTTCTGAATATGCTTAATTCAGTTTATGCTGGCAGTCGTATGGGCGAGCTGTTGAACTGGATGGTTCCAAGGTCTTTGCGTTGATAGAAAGTGGAAACATCCAGCTAATGCTTGGTTATTTTAGAAAGGTAGGAATTTTTTTCACTTAATGGAACTATTATATTACTAGATATACACAATTTTATCAGCACTATGTATAATTTACCATTGCAAATTCTATGCCAGCCCTTTACTGCTGCTACCGCTAATAATTTCCATGATCTTATACGTGTTGGGAAATACGCAATGCCAGGGTGTTGAACAGTTCCGCTCTGCCTTGGAGATGGCTCCTCAAAATCATTCCGCGTACTTTGGTCTTGCTTCTGCATTGCTTGCTTGGGCAAGGCAGTGTGTAATGACTGGGGCCTTTGGCTGGGCAGCTAGTCTGTTGAAGGTATTTGGACACTAGTCTTGGTTTCAATTGAAACATATCCTGCTATATTGTCTCAGTGTAGTTTGTTCTAGGAAGCATGCAAAGCTGCCAAAGTTTGTACTTCTTTGACTGGAAACCTTTCCTGTGTTTGGAAACTGCATGGAGATGCTCAGGTATTCTCTATTTTACTGTTAATTAATCATTTAAATTTCAGTATCCTATAATTTTAAGCTTTCTTGCTTTATGTCAGCTCGCACTTGCAAGATGCTTTCCATGGGGTGATGGTAATATCAAGGGGGGTATGGATGATGGTACTTTCAGGACTACTGTACTTGAGTGGAGAAATACATGTTTGTTGGCTGCAAATGGTGCAAAATTCTCATACCAACGAGCTTTGCATCTCACTCCCTGGGAAGCTAATATTCACAATGACACTGCTATATGTCTTGATCTCATTTATACCATTGAGGAGAATAATAGTCTAGATCCCATAACTTGGTAAGTCTTTTATTCCACATTAATAGCTTAGTAGCATGTGGCATCTGTTCTTAACAAGCGTACATGATAAAATTTTATTTCTGTGTACAACAGGGAACTGCCAGAGAAAATGTCGTTGGGTGGGTTGATACTGGAACCAGTCAATAAGGATTTTTGGGTTACATTGGGCTCGGTGTCAAGTAATCAAGCTTTAAAACAGCATTCTTTTATCAGAGCACTGCATCTTGATATGTCTCTCTCTGAAGCTTGGGCATACCTTGGAAAGGTAGTACTCCCCCCGGACACAAAAACATGTCGTTTTAGTCATTGACATGAATACATCTTTGGCTGCTAATTTTGGTTGCGAAACATTTGACAAACCCCCCAAAATATATAATATTGTGAAATTACTTTTCGAGGTAAATCTACACACATGATTTTCACACATGGAATACAAATATTAAAAATAATGTTTAAAGTTTTTTTAAGTTTAACTTAAAAAAAAATCCAAAATGACATGTTTCCATAACCGGTGTTAGTACTATTTATGCGGCAGCTGACTGTTCTTCTATTAATTGAGAGGTAAGTGATAGTTCGACCTTCAGATTTACAGGCATTCAGGTGATAAGCAGTTGGCAAGACAAGCATTTGATCGAGCTCGAAGCATTGATCCTTCACTGGCCTTGCCATGGGCAGGAATGTCAGCTGAAAATTACCACCAGCCTGGGTATTTCTCCCATAGAATTTCATAGAAGATTTCATATATTGTTACAGATAATTTCTTATTAAGCTGATTATACGCTTTGGCATGATCTTCAAGGGATGGGCCAGTAAATGAATGTTTTGAAAGCTGCTTGCGGGCTGTGCAGATACTTCCTGTAAGATAGTTCATTTGTATCATACTTGTTGTCAGTATAACATTAATGATTTGGTTAGTTTTTCTCCTTCAAGTTTGTTTTGATTTCATTATAGCGATGTTTTTGTATTAGCTTCCAGAGTTCCAGATTGGTCTTGGAACAATTGCTGCTCGTTCTGGTGAACTTCTATCACCTCAGGTATGCTTTCAAACTCCCCCCTCCCCTGCAAAAAAGAACAAAAACATTTTAAAAAAAGAAGGTACTTCATGGTTGAAATAAGTCCTTTCTTTCCCGCAGCGGTGTGCTTTAGTGGCAATTATCACATGCTCTATTATCATTAATGTTCTAATTGCTGATGCTAAATGCTACTGTTATGGTCCCAGACCACAATAGCTACATATTGCTTCATTATGGTGTCATGTATGCGAAGTGTTACTAGCTGTCCGTGCATTGTCTGCTACTTTAGATTGCTCAGTTTTTTTGGATATTTTAGAGTACCAGACTACATGGTTGACACTTGTTTCCTGTTCTTTTCCCTGTAACACATAATCCCCTTATACTTAGTCCTATTATTTAGGTATTGATGGCTGTAAGGCAAGCTGTTCAACGGGCACCTCATTACCCTGAGTCGCACAACATAAATGGCTTGGTTTCTGAAGTGCGATCAGACTTCCAATCTGCAATTGCATCGTACCGACAAGCAAAATTTGCTTTAGATATGATGCGCAACTCCAAAACAGACTGCAGATGTCATATTGCTGATATTTCCGTGAATCTTGCCCGGTCACTATGTAAGGTAAGAGTATTATCATCCGCTTTGATGACAACAAAAAAAAATCCATATCAGGCAGCTGAAAGATCATGTTACTTCAAATGTTTTATGCGCAATAAGTTTGCATTTTCTGTCACATTATTTACAAATGTTTATGGAACAGTTATCCTTTAACCGTTGCTTTGACTGTAGACTGGTCTTGCAACTGAGGCAGTGCGGGAGTGCGAAGAATTGAAAAGACAAGGTTTTTTTTTTATTTCATGTAGCAATGGAAGGATCTTTTTTTCCTATTTTCTCCTGAATTGCCATGCATGGCAAATAAATTCCTTTAAGTTATTTTCTTATGCTATCCAACACACAGGCTAACAAGTTATCTCAAATTTCTAGGATTTCTGAATGATGACGGATTGCAGATATATGCTCTTTCATTATGGAAACTTGGTCGGCATGATGAAGCTCTTTCAGTATCAAGAAACTTGGCTGAAAACTTATCGAGTATGAAGCAGGAGAGTGCAACTGCAGCTTTAGGATTCATATGCACGTTGACATACAACATCTCTGGGAAGGACTCTGCAGCTGCGGTCATTCATAAACTGCCTGGTCAACTCAATTACAGCACACAGCTGAAATTTATTATCTCTGCATTAGATGCTTTACAGCCAAACAAGCGTTTTCAGTTACCCCAGCTGAGTATGCCTCCTAGGCTTACATCGTATGAAGTCATGAGTGAAGTCCACTCAAATATTGCTCTTGGAAATGCTGTAAGTATGGTTTTCTAAAATTCTTGGCATTCTATGTGAAAAAATGCTTCTTTTGGGAATGTGCTAGAGCATAAATGTGCTGATATAGATTAAAAATAATCCTTGTAGATTGGTGGGGAATCAGACAAGTTTTTAAGGGTTGATGGTGGCCTGTCTTACCTGAAAAAGGTTCTACACATGTATCCCGACTGCAGTTTAGTAAGGTAATGATCTTGCATGCACTGGTAATATCTAGGTTCTAGACTTGTGGCTTCAATCGAAATGTTGTGCACTATATTTCCTTCGTTGCATGCTGTAGAAACCAACTTGGATCTCTGCTACTGTCAAGTGAAGATTGGATGGCTTCTCATAAAGCAGTAAGGGTTACTTCATTGTCCCGGGGATATACATCCAATAGGGGCTTAAGATCTCCACACCAAATTCAAGCATGTGCAGCAGTTTCTTGCTATGCTACCTGCACTTCTTACCCAAAGTTCTCTTTTCCAACATGTGAAGATCAATACCTAAGCGGATACAATGCAATATGCCGCCTGCAAAGGTACATCTTCTCTTACTATATTTACCATGTATCTAATATTCTTGTGTGTGACTTGACCTTAAGCTTGCGGTTTGACTGTAACAATCTTGCACATATTTTCCAAAGAACAATCTATCCAACTAAACAAGCTCTTATGCTTATTCCCACAGGAGATGTAACAACCATTCATGCTTTGTATTTCTAAACCTTCCATTAATAAATAAAATGGCATGAGTCTTAAAAAAGAACTAAGTGTGTGACTTTCTTTGCAGGTGGGTTCATCTAGAACCGTGGAACCAAGATGCACGTCGCCTCCTTGTACTTACCCTTTTCCAAAAAGCACGTGAAGAAAAGTATCCGAAACATATCTGCACCATTTTGAAGAGGCTGATTTTGCAAGTTCTCTCCAGTGGTAGCAATTCACAAGACAATAAGGTGGTTCAGTATGGGAACTACTTGTTACTTCTTGTGGCTTCAGAGGTTAGTTTGCAATCTGGTGACCATGGCAACTGTATTGCTCAAGCTACTGAAGCTCTTGGAGTAACTTCTTCGAGCGTGGATTCTTTCTTTGCACACTTGCAACTGTGTCGGGCCTATGTGATGCAAGGCAATCTTTTGAACTCTAGGAGTGAGTACATGAAATGCCTGCAAAACCGTACAGATACTGAAATTGGCTGGGTAATACTTAAGCAACTTGCATCTATATGTTCACTGGAGGGTACCCCTGATGAAATAGAGATACATCTCGGAGGATGCGTTGAAAGGAAAGGTAGCAATGCATCCAAATGGATGTCTCTTTTTTATCTAGCATGCGCTCAGTGTTCAGTATGGAATGAGGACTTTGCAAGTGCTGAAAAAGCTATTGCTCAGGCATGTGCTGAAGGGGATCCTGACAGCTGTGTCTTATTTCTCAACGGTAATTGGCATGCTACTTATTTACTATAATGACTAACTAAATTGGGATGTTTTATTGTTATTTTTCTTAGTAGTTTACTCTACACTAGCCCGGAATAAATTCTAACTAACAATCTTGATGTTTATTTTTGACAATGTGCTGACTGAAACATTACCCTTGTAGGCGCAATTTGTATGGACATTGCTTGGAGGTTCGCGGCCCCTCAATTTATAGCCCGTGCAGCTTCCAGCCTCAGAAAGGCACAGCAGAAATCACTTGCTTCTTTACCTATTGTGTCCCTCTTACTGGCCCAAGCAGAAGGCAGCCTTGGCTCCAAAGCCAAGTGGGAGAAAAACCTTCGTCTAGAGTGGTTCTCATGGCCCCCAGGTCTGAGCATGGCTTCATACAAAGCACACTGTTCTTGAAATTTCACCATTTAATTTACCTTTTTCCGATTCGTCGTGCAGAATTGAGGCCTGCTGAGCTCTATTTCCAGATGCATCTTCTGGCAACGCAGTCAAGTGCAGCAACTTCCCAGCAGAACCAGCTAGTGGAAACCATGCAAACCCCAGAGAAGTGGCTTCTCAGGGCGATACACCTGAACCCGTCGTGCTCTAGGTACTGGACGGCTCTGATGCAACTCGTGTACGTGTAACCCTTCGAAATTGGAAGCACTGATCTTTGGTGAAACCAACCACAATGTAGCGCATTTCTTGACTCAGCTGTAAGCATATGGATTGGCTGGATGAACTGCCGACCTGTCTGTGATAAGTGAAAAACCTGCATATGCTTGCTTACCGTGTTGAGGGCTGAGACGTGAGATGTTTCCGGAATTACCTTTTCCCTGATAGACTGCAGGCATATTGTCTTCTTGTAAACTCTTCTCACAAACCAACCCCCCCCCCCCCCTTCTCAGTTTGTGTTGTAAACCAATTGGTGACCTTTCAATTAGCAGCAAGCAAGTCGTAACTAACAAAAAAAAAAGCTAAGGAATGTGAGGCCTAAGCCTGTCTATCGGTGAACCCAAAAGCACCCAACTCAGCAGCCTAATGGAGATTCTCAAACAAGTGTCTAGAACCTTGTTCTCCTACCCATCCTCAACACGTACCGTTTTAACCACCTTTTCCTGTCAGATTTTTTTCCATTGATTTTGTGCCCATCGTTTGACAACAAACACAGCCAAGGACGCCACCACGTCACGGCGGCGTCGCGCCGGGAGCCGAGCTCCTGCCACCTCCTCCACGCTCGTAAAATAAACCCAAAGCGCGACACGCGGCGCCGCTCAGAGCGCGACGCGCCCAGAGCGCGCCACGCCGCGCGGCACCTGTCGCCTTAAACCTCGCACTTGTTGTCCTTACGCTTCATCACCCGCGCTCACTTTACTCCCGCTCCGACCAAGCCAACCAACGCGACGTCGCAGCCAGAGCGCGAAGGAATCCGCACCGGGCGCGCGGCGCGCCACCGCTTTGATCACTCTCGTCGCGCGCGGGGCGGCCATGTCAGGCGGCGTAGGGCCGACGTGCGGGGGCGGCATCACGCTGCCGTCGACGGGCGCGCCGCTCCCCCCGCTGCACCCGACGCCGACGTCGCCGACGGCGCGGCCTCACCACCACTACTACCTCTTCTCCATCAAGCAGCTCAACTCGTTCGGCGCCGCGGCCGTGCTCGCCTTCTCCACCACCGTGCCACTCTCCGACATCGCCTTCGCCCTCCTCGTCATCCCTTACCTCGTCGTCCTCTCCGTCCTCGCCTTCCCGCAGAGGCCCGGCAAGCCCAACCCGGGCGCGCCGGTCTTCCTCGGCCGCGGCCGCTTCCTCCTCAGGGCCCACGACGCGCTCGGCTTCCTCGTCGGCGCCGCGCTCCCGGCGCTCTACATCCTCGACGGCCTCCGCTCGGGCGACACGGCGGGCGTCGCCGCGGCGTCCCCGCACGCGTTCCTCCTCGCCGCGCAGATCTTTACCGAGGGCCTCGCCGCGGCGTGGCCCGGGAGGTTCTCCCTCCCCGTGCGTGCCGCCGTGGTGGTGATGTACGGCGCGCGGAGGATGTTCGCGGCGTCGGAGTGGCTCCGCCAGGAGATGGAGAAGCGGGACCAGTTCGGCGGCGGCGTCGGCGGCGCGCCCGCCGTGGCGCGCCGCAGGGTGGTGGCGGGGAGGGTGCTGGCGGTGGCGAACCTCGCCTACTGGGGGATCAACCTCTTCGCCTTCCTGCTGCCGTTCTACCTGCCCAAGGCGTTCAACAGGTACTACTGCGGCAGCGACAGCAAGGAGGACGACGCCACCGCCGCCGCCGGCGCCATTGACGCCGACGACGCCAAGAAGAAGGATTCCTAGAGTGTGTTTGATCGTTCGTCGCTGCTTTCTCACTCGCGTTTGTGCAGCTTGGTGTATTAGCTCTTCTTCTTAATTTTTTTTTTCTTTTGAAAAATTCACGCATGTATTAGCTCTTTTTTTTCTCGAAAATTTCACGCATGTATTAGCTCAACTTGCGTTTCGTTTGGTGAAGACAAACTTTTGAGTTTGAGGGTGTTCGGTGTAAAGAGATTTTTCTTTAAAAACAGTAAATTTTATAGAACCATATATCCTTTAACCAAGCTATCACAAAACTTAAACAAAATATTTAAGCGTTTATTAGAAAACTACAGATTTGACAGTATCACAAAACTACTGATCATTATCTTTAGAAAAATCACAAAACGACTGATTCTACTGATTTTTGAGGAGAATTGTGCAGAGTTCAATTCTCTGTTTTACCGTTATGTTGGAGATGTAGTTTTGTGATTAAAATTGTCACTAAACTTACCATTTTGTGATAAATTTGCTACTTAGTTTTATGATAAATTCGATGCTAAATTTGAAGATCTGGTCTTAATAAATACTAGTATATAGTTCTGCAATAGTTTGTTCAGTTTTACTGAGCTAAATTGTGCATCAAATCCTTGGGCCTAATTTGAATGGGCCTTAGTTCTGGGCCAATCCACTTGTATATGCCCGGAAAACTGAACTAGAAGGCCGACCCATTCACGTAGATGGGCCGGAATGAAGGCCCATACAAACGAGGCATGCTCTGTTTGCTCTTAGATACGGCCCATATATGCAGAATCGTTTCTCCGCGAGTCCGACACGGCGACACAATGAGTGACGCCATGACGGCGACAACAGGATTAGCGAGCTCCACAAGCGAAGAGAGTCAAGAAACTACTATCCCTTTGCGTGGATCTTTTGCAGGAGATGTTGGAAGAAGAAGAGGAAGTGGTTGCGCCGACGACGAGGTGAGCGGGTTGACGGAGGAGGAGGCAGCGCGCGCCGGCTTCGGGTGTCGTTGTCCCTGCTCGCCAGGTGCTCGGTACAATGCCCCACTGTGCGCTTTGTTTCTTCAGAATATTAGTAGAACTCTTTGAAAGAAGTTAGAAGTTAGTACCTTGTTCTCTTCGGAATGTTTGTTTTCCTATGTTCTTAGGGTGCATGGCATCATTTGTGATGCTGTTAGAAATGGTCAAACCACTTAAATCACCAATTGGCATTGGCACACTTGGAATTAACTTGGAAGTGATTTGTTCATGCATATTGATATCAGCGTCTCCATCGCCTGCAGTTGCTCCTCCAGACTGCAGCTAGCGTGACGAGAAACATCTTCTTGAGACGATATCAGAAGGTTTTCTCTACAAGCTTCCCTTCGATCGTGTAGCCAGCATCTGTAGGCTATAGCTCGTTAGCTGTAAAACTTGTGCTAGCTCGTTTATTGGTTCTTTCATTTGTTTCCTGTTAGTCAGTTTCTCCTCCCCCAGTTTTTTAGCTTGTTCTCTTCTGTTTTCCAGTCGAGTGCATGACTGCGATTTGCTCGGTCGTGCACATGTCGAGCTTGACGTGCGCTTAGTCCGCACGGAGCGCGTCGCGCGGCTTGATCCCACGTTTTTACTTTCTGTACTGAATAAAAGGAAGAAAAAACAGAGAAAATGCTGGAACGTTTCTACGCAGCGCCAAAACACACCTGAGTTCATCGTGTTCTTGTGTTCATTCTCTCTCGCGTTCTCTGCTCGAGTGACTGTGGTTGCAGGTTGTCGCTGACATACTGCTGAGCAGAAAACCAGCACCCATCGGCTTAGTACCTGTCTGCTCTGCTGTCTCAGCCTCTCAGGTCAGCTGTCTTTATCTTACTAAATAAATTATTCTGCGAATTTTTGAAGAAAAATCAAACTTTTAGTACTTTGGAAGAGTAGCAAACTAGATTGCTTTGGCCACATCACATGCTATCACTGTCAGAGCCATACCTTAGCAACAGCATTTAGCCTGTATATGTATATATCATCGGAGTAATCTATGCCGAACTTTACTCAGGTTGCAAACCCCATATCCCAGAGCTCGACGCCACCCATGTGGTTTTTCAACTTCAACCGAAATGGCCCCTCTGGCTTCTCCGGCGCCTCCACCGCCGAGGAGGTCACCGCCGGCGTCGACGCCCGGGGCTTGGCCGCCGTCGTCACAGGTACAATCATTCAACCAATGTTGCTGCCATGCCATTTAATTAAGCTCGCAACCTTGGTCAGAGAGATTCAGAGTGAACTTGACGACCTGGCTGCAGGCGCGTCGAGCGGCATCGGGCTGGAGACGACGCGCGTGTTGGCGCTGCGCGGCGTGCGCGTCGTCATGGCCGTGCGCAACGTCGCCGCCGGGCACAAGGCCCGCGAGGCGATCCGGGCGGAGATCCACGGCGCCATAGTCCATGTGCTGGAGATGGACCTCAGCTCCATGGATTCGGTGAGGAGGTTTGCCTCCGAGTTTGACTCTCTGAACCTACCTCTCAACATACTCATGTAAGAACAGAAACACGGGTCAACTCGAACAGCGAATTTAACCTGTGCTATACTGATTCAAACTTACTTTTACGACAGCAATAACGCTGGAATCCTGTCCAAGGACTGCATACGCTCCATTGACGGCCTAGAATTGCATTTTGCAACTAATCACATTGGTATGCGAAATTGCATATGGCATTCCTCGTGCATCTCGATATTGCTTAATTGTGGATTGATTGCTTTTATGACTTGAATGACAGGCCATTTTCTTCTAACGAATCTTTTACTGGAGAACATGAAGAGCACAAGTAGGACAACTGGTGTCGAAGGAAGGATCATAAATGTGTCGTCTTCGGGGCACATTTTGACCTATCCTGAAGGGATATGTTTCGATAGTGTAAAAGATCTTTCGAGGTAATTAATAAATTCCGAGACTCTAAAAATTAGGACTAACTAGCTAGGCCATTTTTGCATTTCAAGGAGCATAGATATGATGTCGATTCTAACAATATAACTCTGTTTTACATTATTCTTAACAATATAACTCTGTTTTACATTACAGACACAAGGAGGTAATTTCCTGTCATCCATTAGAGAATTGGATGACCAAAATCATTCTTCTTTTACATTTAAGAATCAATACATTCAGGAGGGCCATCTCGGCCATCCTTGAGTTAAAAGAAAATATTTCTTCCAGCGGTTTATGTTAATCTGTTCCTTTTATTTATTGGTTAATGTAAGAACTTTAGCTTTTGTCATTCTAATGTTAACATGAGGAATTAAGGGGCCTCCAATTAGTAAAGATAAATATATTTATTGTGCACTTGATTTATCTTACCAGATTCTCCACTTATATTGCTTACGGCCAGTCCAAGCTTGCCAACATTTTGCACTCTACCGAGCTTGCACGAATTCTGAAGGTAGTGTTCTTATTTGCTAAGCATGCCTATGAGTAAATTTTGTATGTTGTCTCTGTTTGCATATGATTATAGCCAAATCTATGAATCATAAGTTGGAAACCGTTAAGTATGAATAGGGAGATGGTGTGAACATTTCAGCAAATGCGATCCATCCCGGTTTTGTTGGAACCAACCTATTCAAGAACTGGACTATGGCTAATGGTAATCCCTAGACCTTTCAATGCAAAATTGTTGAAGATATTTTTGGAATAAATTAGTAGTACTTGAAGAAGCATACTCTTCAAAATATTAATTTGGGATGATTCCCAAACATTTTGATCCTTGCTGTCTGGCGTGGAAAGGTTGCATCTCCTAAACACATGATGCTATTTGTGAATGCATCTCCTTTTATACCATTATACCATTTTCAATTGTTCTTCTCCATTACAGCTGTGGTGAACACCATTGGAAGAATCGTATGTAAAACTGTAGAACAGGTGAACTTTTTTTAAAAAAAATGAAAAATCTCGTCTTTTATATATGTTGTTATGTTGTAGTGTGGAACATCTAGGCGACTCTAACCTCGTGATATTATTTTTTAGGGTGCTGCAACGACATGTTATGTGGCATTACATCCTCAAGTTACTGGAATAAGTGGGAAGTACTTCAGCAACTGCAATTTAGAGACCCCAAGCTCACAGGCTTCAAATGCAGAGTTGGCCAAGAAACTATGGGAATTTAGCTCCAACATTGTGTCGGCTGCCAAACTGTAGTTTGAGTTATTCATATATGCATGCGCTACATTTTATTTCGTGTAAGCCGAACATAAAATTTTCATAGAAAGTCTACAAATAAAGAGAGTGTAGTTCCTCCCAAGAATCTTCTCTGTTATACTCCATTAAAAAAAGAAGTCTGTTTTGACTTTGAGTTGCCTAACTTCGCATAAAAATTGTATTTTACCAATAATATCTTATACATCATTTACTCTGGGTCAAAACCGATGAGTATCCGTGATGGAGGGAGTATATTGCCTAGTTAGTGTGGAGATTCATCCCACCTCACCACGCACTCCATCTGTTCTAAAATATAACGTATTCTGATAATCTGATTGGACAGAACATACTTTAGGCTGCGTTTGGCAAGACTAGTTGAGAACCCACTTTATTTTTCCCGCGTGACCGCTTTTCAAACTGTTAAGCGGTGCGTATTTTTGAAAATTCAAACTGTTAAGCAGTGTGCTTTTTTAAAAAAATTTCTATACGAAAGTTGTTTAAAAAAACAGTTTTAAAAAATCACATTGATCCATTTTTCAAAAAAAAACTAATACTTAATTAATCATGCGCTAATGAATCGCTCCTTTTTTATGTGGGAGAGATTAGTTCCCATCCCTTACCACCGAACGCACTCTTAGTGTTCAAATTCGTAATACTAGAATATAGCACCGTCCAAATTCATAGTACTATGTCTCATCTTATCAAAATACCTTATATTTTAGGTTGGATGGAGGAAGTCCGGTCACTTCATGGGCCGACATCGAGGCTGTTATACCGAGGTCAAACAAGATTTTGACCCAACCAGATGAGCAGCCCCATAGTTTGAAATAAGTCAAATATCATATTTGTAAATAAAAATAATTTATAAATAAAACTTTTACGTACGTGTTCTAAATGATCTAAATCTAAAGACTAGAAAATAAACTATGATAAAAAAACCCTCTAAAATTAACTCTTAATTTAAGGTGAAAAATTTAAATTTTGATTGATAAGGATAAGTGAAAAGACGAGGGCGAGACGTTTGAAGAAGGCGAGGCACACGTCTCGGCGTTTTCCTCCGTTCGGCAGCACAACCAGAACCGTCTCCGGTCTCTCCTTCCCGGCGATGCCCATGGCGACGACGAAGGGTGCTCGCGACGGAAGAGAGGGTTCGTAGGATCAGCGAACTCCTCAGGCGAAAAGAGAGAAGAAAATAGTACTATCACTCAGCCTCGACGCGTCGAGGACCACCATCTGTTAACCTGTTGGTGGGGTGGGTGGCTCTTTGCAGGAGACGTTGGAACTTGGAAGTCCACGGCACCGTCGACGGCGAGGCGATCGGGCGGACGGAGGAGGAGGCGCGCCGCTGCGCCGGGCTCCGGCTTCAGAGCGTATGACCCGCCGGATCCGTTGTGTTGTCTGTCCGTGCCCGCCAGGTGTTCGATACAATGCCCCAGTGCGCTTTGCTTCCCTTCTGGTAAGAAAAAAAGTTTGCGACCTAAGACAAATGGGTACGTCATTTATAATGCTGTTTCAAAGGTTTAGGCAACTCAAATCACCAAATAGATGATTGGATGTAGAGTGAAGAAGAAGAATTGTTATAAAGGGTGATGCTTTTGGAAGCCAGTACATACTTCTGAGTTAGTATACCCGTTTTCTTCAGAAATGAAATTCCACTTCGTCAACGGTAAGCTCTTATATCTACTCAATACTAGAATGTACTAGTATTTCGTTTTGGATTTGGATTCTAGTAATTGGATTACTCACAAGAAATGATGGGACACCAGATATATACTACTACTATATGACTTTGAAGAAAAAAAATGATAATTTGATATACTTTGTCCACCGGTTGACATTGGCACACCTGGAACTTGGAAGTGGTTTGTGATTTGACAATCAATATCAGCATCTCCATTGCCATCGGCTACAGTTGTAACTTGGAAGCGGTTTCTAGTTTGTCAATGCATATCAGCATCTCCATCGCCATCGGCTGCAGTTTTTCCTCCATACTGTCGTCTGTAGCATGCTGAAGAGCATTATTCTTTTGCACCCAGCCACCCACAGAGCTGTAGCTGAACAGAAAACCAGCACCCCACCTCGGCTTTACTTCTCTGCTCTGCTCATCGGCTGTGTGAGGTGTTCTTATCTTATTGAAGTCTTCTGGGAATTTATGGTATAAAAACAATATCTTTAGTACTTTGGTAGAGTAACAAGCTGAAACTGCTGTGGCCACATCACATTCTCTCACTGTCAGAGTCTAACCATATAATTTCAGGCCATCTGGTGCCGAAGCTGAACTCAGCTTGCAAACACCAGTACGCCACTATTCCCTGAGCTCGACGTACGCCAGCTTGGTACGGAGTCGGCGATGTGCTGGTTCAACCGCAAAGGCCCCTCCGGCTTCTCCGGCGCCTCCACCGCCGAGGAGGTCACCGCCGGCGTCGACGCTCGGGGCTTGGTCGCCGTCATCACAGGTACGGATATGATTTTTTTTTGAACGACTCGCGCAAAGATGGTGCGAAGTTCTATTATCACAGGCAGGGGCGGAGCTAGAACAAAATGAAAGGGGTTCCACTCGCTTGCTTTACTCTGGTTTGAATCAAATTTAGCTTGATATGAGTGAAACTGACGGGGTATATATATGGTGAAAATAAATAAGCTATAGTTAAATTTTTTTTAACCAGTTCCTGGGCACCCCCTTAGCTATACTAGCTCCGCCCCTGATCACAGGTACGAATATGATGCTGCTGCTGGTCTGCTGCCATGCCATTTAGCTCACGGTTTCGACGTTGGCCAGAAAAATTCAGAGTGGGCTGATGAGCTGCAGGTGCGTCGAGCGGCATCGGGCTGGAGACGGCGCGCGTCATGGCGCTGCGCGGCGTGCGCGTCGTCATGGCCGTGCGCAACGTCGCCGCCGGGCACAGGGCCAGCGAGGCGATCCGGGCTGAGATCCCCGGCGCCGGTATCCATGTGCTGGAGATGGACCTCAGCTCCATGGATTCGGTGAGGAGATTTGCCACCGAGTTTGAGGCTCTGAACCTACCTCTCAACATACTCATGTAAGAGCAAGAATCTGAACGCTTCTTCTATATGTACTCCCTCCTCCGTTTGTTTTAGCAGATGATGCCGTTTACATTTGACATGACGCTTGACTATTTATCTATTTAAAATACCATTTATTTTGTTATAACTTGTTTTACCATCAAAATAATTTTTTTAGGGAAAACAACACTAGATTGTGTCTTTTCATTGAGTATAGCAGAAGAAAAAACAATCCTTAGAAGCAAGAAAAGTGAAAAACTTTGTACACTTTAAAATAACTTTTAAGGATTGACTCATATTTTTTATATTTGTACTAAAATTTTTTCAATAAGATGAACAAAGTCAAATGTCATGTCAAAATTTAACACCATCATCTATTAAAAGCCGGATGGAGTATTATTATTTTGTCAACTTAAATAATAAATTTTTAACTGTGGTTATAAACAGTAATAATGCTGGAATCATGACAAGGAACTGCACACGCTCCATTGACGGCCTGGAATTGCAATTTGCAACAAATCACATCGGTACGAGAAATTACACAGCATTTCTTCATGCATCTCAATCTTATTAACGGATTAGCTGCTTGAGTGATTTGGTTAATTCTTGAGACTTTCTGGGTTGTGAGAGGATGCTCATAGTGCACTAACTGTTGACTTGAATGACAGGCCACTTTCTTCTAACAAATCTCTTGCTGGAGAACATGAAGAGGACAAGTAGCAAAACTGGTGTTGAAGGAAGGATCGTAAATGTGTCGTCTTCAGCACATTTTGTGACCTATCCTAAAGGGATATGTTTCGATAAGGTGAAGGAGCCTTCAAGGTAATTAATTCTGAGATTCTAAAAATTAGGACTGGACACCCCATTTTCGTATATGACACATACTAGATATCATATGGATAATAACAAAAACAACCCAATTTTACATTAGTGGGTAGTGCACAAGGAGATGATTTCCTGCTGTCTGTGGGAGAACTGGATGATCTATTCTTTTTCTTTGAATTAATGTTAAATTTTTGACTGTTTAATATAAGAATTTTTGGCTTTTTATCATCCAAAAATTAGCGTAAGGTCCCCTTATCAAGGGAGCTCCAATTAGTAAAGATAAGTATATTTATTACGCAGTATGCACTCAACTTATTAGATAATATTAAGCACTTAACTTTTCTTACCAGATTCATCAGTCTTATTGCTTATGGCCAGTCTAAGCTTGCCAACATTTTGCACTCAACTGAGCTGTCACGAGTTCTGAAGGTAGTAGCTTATGCCTAAATTTCGTATGTAATCTCTGATCATATATATTATATGTCAAATCAATGGAGAATAACCGGGAAACCGTTGAGTATGAACAGGAAGATGGTGTGAACATTTCGGCTAATGCAGTCCATCCTGGTGTTGTTACAACCAACCTGTTCAGGCACAGGACTATTATAAATGGTAATTCCCAAACCATTCAGAACAAAATTTTGGAGTGTAATTAGAATTTTGGAACAATTAGTACTTGAAGAAGCACATACTCCATAATGCCAATTTAGGATGATCCCCAACCATTTTGATTACTGGTAAACACAACGAACAATGCTGCTTATAAATATAATATTTCTTAACTGTTCTTGTGCATTGGTTCTCTCTTGCAGCTCTAGTGAAGTCCATTGGAAGATTCGTACACAAAACTGTAGAACAGGTGACTTTTTTTAAAAAAAGTATATGTTCGTGCGTTGTAGGTGTGGAACATATTATGTGTTTCTAACCTCATGGTTTTATTGTATAGGGTGCTGCAACGACATGTTATGTGGCACTACATTCTCAATTCACCGGGATAAGTGGGAAGTACTTCAGCAACTGCAATTTAGATACCCCAAGCTCACAGGCTTCAAATGCAGAGTTGGCAAATAAACTATGGGAATTTAGCTCCAAGATTGTGTCCTCTTGATGTGGCTATCAAATTATAGTTTGTGTTATGCATCATGTGCTACAGTCTATTTTCTGCAAGTTTGAACATAAAATTTTCACATAAACAAACAAAGAGATCCGTGCAATTCCTCCAAGACTAGTTAGAACAATCTGAATTGTAATATATCCGCCTCAGTTTAGTTTAGAAGTTCTTCCTATAATCATGGGCTGGCTCTGGCTATGTATTTCTTAAACTAATGTTTGGACTTTGGAGGCCCACCTCACCTCTTTATGTAAGCCTTACGCTTCATGGACCAACACTCCAGTGCTTCTACTTTCCTAAAATTTACATAAACACTGAGTAGATGTAACGTGCTTGTGCTGAGGTATTGGACTAGAGATATTCTTTTGAGGTGCCATTGCTAGTATAGTGCTAGGTGTGTCATGTGTGTGGATTCAATCCTAGGATCTCATGTTTGACTCACATTCACATGTCTTATTGATTAATTGACAGATAATTTTATCATTCTTAACCATTCACAAGGTACAGGAGATATCATATTTTCTAGTGTAAAATTTAATATCTCTAGATACTAGGTATTTTAATGTGTAAAATCTTAATACTCTATGTACTTTCTGAAGTACCATAAAATTTCTTTTAATCGACACCAAGCTTCTCCTCTTGTGTCCAACTTGTTTTTAAAATATTATTTTACTTAAAATGGGCGGTGAATAGTGATTGCTTGCCCCTTCCCTTGCTTCAGAATTTGTGAAGCTCAGGTTGGAGCAACCTAACCTTAATTGTGTGCATCACCATTCCCTAAGTCAAACTAGTTTGCCTGCAAATTCATTCAGACAATTATTTTACCAATCTTGGTGCTAATTACCCTTGACATAAGAACTTTCCATCCATAGAAGTTAAATTAATCTATTGCTATGACGCACGTGCTTTGTTACGGATATATGGAAGAATCTATATCTACATCCATCTATCTATACCTAATTAAAAAATACGTAAGACTTCCGGAATTATTTTGTCCATCGTCATCGTCATCTGCACACTAATTGATTTTTTTTAAGCAAAAGTGTTTGCTTGTTTAGGGTAGGGCTCGATTCCGAGCTCGATACGAAGCGGATTTGCTTCGATTCTTAGGAAAATGGAAAAAGAATGAGATAAGGATCGGAATTCCCTCAATCGGATTTCATGGAGGAGACGGCTTCCGGCGGTGTCAAGTAGCTGAGAGACTCTGAACGAAGGTAAGGGATAACACTTTAGCAATGGGCCCACGCGACAATGAGAGGAGGAAAAGGGGATACCGATTAGACTTTCAGTTGTTTGTTGGGCCGGATGCATGCTTGTGAGCCAAGGCGGAGGGAAGGAGAAGGGAGGAAAGCAGGCTAGCTTGGCTGCGGGCTGAGAAAGAAAATGGGCTGAAAATAACCCAGAGATAAAGAATGGTTTTTTATTTATATTTTTATTTAAATAAATGTTGAAATGATATTTGTATTAATAAAATTAGCACTTGAGCTCTAAAAATTCTAATAAAATTTCAGATAGTGTAATTAATCACGAATAATTTAATCAAAATTAAATCCAGCCATGTCATTTTATTTCTCACACTTACTTTACTTGTAAATTAATTTTATTCTACACCTACCTAATTAAAAAATACCTAAGTATTCCAGAAAATTTGTATTTTAGTTAATTACATAATCTAAATCTTTCTCAACTTTTGCTCAATTTTCTCGTCTTTTCTTCCCGTTGCAACACATTGGCACATTTTCTACTATATATTAAATATTATATAAATGATAGGTGGAATTGAGCTAAAATGCTATGAAAATAATGTGAGTAATGATGATTCAGAATGCTTATATGTTAAGTTTTAGATTTAATATGCTATATTTCCATATTAAACTTTAAGCACTTAGTGGGTTGGTGTGGTATGCTTGTAAATTAGGCTTTAGGATGTACATATAATTACTATGCTTTTATATGTTGAGTTTTAGGCGCTTAGCAGATTGTAAGAAGGTAAAATTTGGTAATTTGACTTTTTCAAAAACTTATTATAAAAATGAACCATGCCAAAAAGAAATCAGGACCTTAACATCATCGGGTTCGACGCGGAGATCCAACATCTTAGCGCCACTAATTTTGACGCTAACATCTCATCCGAGAGGTGACACATATTTGCTATATTTATCATAGGTTAGCGCCATCCCTACTAGCGCTAGCCTCTATCATGTTAAATTGTTGTGCAACTTTCAGCCTAGATGATGTTCAACCTTTATCTAACTCATTTTTTGAATAAGTTTTTTAGCGCAGTTGACTCTTATAATGAGTTTTTAAGAAGGGCCGGATTGTCAAATTTTCGGTACATATTGGCGTCTCCATCGCCTGCAGTTGCTCATCCATACTGCAAACATCATTATTAATTTCTGAGATAACGTCGACTGCTATTCTTCTTGGTGACCCATACCTGCAGCTTAGCTGTAGCTAAACAGAAGCACCCTTACGGAAAAAAAAACGAATTCCAAATACCTTGGGCAAATCCAGAGAGAAAAAAAATCCGGCTTTAAAAAGCATTCTGCAAGCGAATTTTTGGAAGCAAAATGGAATCATTCCTCCCTCCATCTAAAAAAGATAACCTAATACATACACTACGATAAATCTAGATATAAAATATGTCCAAATTTATTATATTAGAATATATCACATCTTAAGATGATGCTATTTTTTTTAATGGAGGGAGGTACGGTATCGAACTAGAGCTTATTCGGAATGGAGAAGAAACACAGGAAAAATAAAAGATTTTGGTTCCTATGGATTACTTTACTGTGACGTCATTCGGATCACAGGAAAACGTTCGTAGAAAATACATAGGGAAAATTCCTGCGCTAGCCATATCAGTGGAAGATCACAGGAAAAAAAAATCCACGCTGACCTCTTTTTTCTCTCCCTCCGCGTGGGAACGAGGCAAATCATGCCATCAAGCAACTAAAGCATACTATTAGGTTGATTAATGTTGTTTAATTTACTAGTAGCATGTGATAATTTTGTAATAGTGCACCTTTTCTTAAAGATTCCTATGTTTTTACTTTACTCCATCCAAACACATATTCACATGAAATTCCTATGTTTTCAAATCCTCTGTTTTATACTTACATTTTTATCATATTCTAATGTTTTTCCTATTCCTATATTTTTTCAATCTGCATTCCGAAGGAGCCTACTGTTGGCCGGTCGTTGTACTACATCATATGCTATGAATGTGACTGTCAGAGGCTCAGAGGCATGCATTAACATTAGTAGTATTTTTAGCCCCAACTTGGATTGCAAACGCCTGATTCCAAGAGCTCGCCGGAACCGCGGATGTGGTGGTAGCTGAACAGAAAACCAGCACCCCCCTCGGCTTTACTTCTCTGCTCTGTTCATCGGCTGTGTGTGGTGTTCTTATCTTATTGAAGTCTTCTGGGAATTTTTGGCATAAAAACAATATCTTTAGTACTTTGGTAGAGTAACAAGCTGAAACTGCTGTGGCCACATCACATGGTATCACTGTCAGAGTCTGACCATATAATTTCAGGCCATCTGGTGCCGAAGCTGAACTCAGCTTGCAAACACCAGTACGCCATACGGAGTCGGCGATGTGGCGGTTCAACCGCAAAGGGCCCTCCGGCTTCTCCGGCGCCTCCACCGCCGAGGAGGTCACCGCCGGGATCGATGCCCGGGGATTGGTCGCCGTCATCACAGGTACGATCGATCATATGATGCTGCCGTTTAGCCTCAGTGCGTGTTTCAAACAGCTAATTGATATATCGATTAGTGCCATGCTTTTAAGCTAATACGGTTTAAGTAACTTTTTTCTAGCCTTTTTTTTTTTCTGAACTACAGTGTTTGTTAGCTGTATGATTTTTAGTTTAGCCATACAGCATTTCTTAGGGACTCAACTTCAAAAACCGAATATAACTCACCCTCAACTTCTAAAACCGCTCAATTTACATCGCTAATTCCAGAATGAGAATGAGGTGGTTTTCATCTGACTGACGATATGGTGGCAATCTAGTCATCAAAGTAAAAATAAAAATAAAAAAATGTCATGTTCATTGTGAGTAGCCTCTCCCTTTCTTTTCGGTCTCTCCACTGCATACTTCTTGAGAGAATAAGTCAAATGGTATATTTATATAAAAAATTAATTTGTGAATAAAACGTTTATGTACGTTTTCTTAGTGACCTAAAATCAAATGTTGAAAAATAAATTTTCATGAAAAATATTTTAAAATCAACTTTAAATTTAAAGTTTAAAGTTTGGTTGATAAGTATAAGTGAAAAGATGAGGTTGCACCTCTCTTGAGCCGCCGACTACCGCGCCTCTCTACTCGTCGGAGGTTGGCCACCGCCGCGCCTCTTCTTGACCTCTCTACGCACATGAATTTTCCCCTAAATTCTCCCACCGCCCGCTTCGCAGGAGAGGGCGCATGCCGCGAAGACGCCAGAACAGACAAGAAAACGAACAGGAGAAGGGCGAAAAAAAATTGAAATCAGATCACACGAAGATCACAAGAACAGGTAAGAACACGGACAGGTTCATCTCAACCGATATTTCGTCGCAAGTGGGAATCAGAGAGGAAAAGTAAAAAAAGAAACACACACACGGCCACGCGGCCACTCGGGATCCCTCCCCATCTCGATCTCTGCCATCTACCGGAGAATTGCTATTAAAGACCGTAGAATTGCTCATACTATTACTCTCAACGTGATCGGCCGCCGTCGCTCCGGTAGATGGCAGAGATCGAGATGGGGAGGGATCCCGCGTGGCCGTGTGTGTGTTTCTAGGTACCAATAGGTACCAAATTTACAATAAAAAAATGGTACCTCGTGGTACCTCCTCAAGGACCGTAAAATTGCTCTTAATAGTATAGTCAACTACTAGCTCCAAATCATCTATAGCCAATATAATAGCTAATTCATATAATAGCTGCTTATTATACTACTAATATCTGGTCCCACCTATCATACACACATTATGTCTTAGAGTCAGTGCTGCAGCTAGCTACAGATTTATAGCCTGATGCTCTTCTCTTTCTTTCTTTATCTCTTTAAAATATGTTTACATCTGACTTATAACTTGCTATTGTACCTGCTCTGGGAGAGGGGCCGGCTGAGGACAAGCCGGCAAAGGATATCTCCCAATATGTGACCACGTGGTCAAAACCACTCTCATCTCATCGCCACATAAGTTAAAACCACCTCGATCTTATACATAAGGTAGCTAGAGATCGTCCCACAATTTCTTATTCTTTATTTCATTATTGAGTGACTCATTGGTTGTTTGTTTTATGGAAAATAATAGCAAAATACTCATAGTCTGTTATGATAAAATGTACATACTCATGTGTGTGTGTATATATATATATATTGTTCACTTGATTTAAATAAATATTAGATTATTACATAGTATTAGAATATATCAAGAACTAACTTGTAAGGTGGTGGATTGGTGGTAGATATCAGTTAAATGCCTATATGTTCCAACGGGAATTAATAAAGACTTTAAAACCTCAAACACTAAAATAAAATTATCCCCATTGTAAACCATCTATAATATTTTTCACCATTTTGTATCTCACTTTAAAATAAATTTTCCTTGTTTGATGGCTTCTGGTTAAGGAAGGGATAAAAGCCTACCTATCTCACTATTCGGGGGACCAACATGGTAATGATGGTGGGTAGTGACATATTCAGATATAAATATAGATATAGATATATATAATGCATTTCTATTACTAAAAGTTTCAAGCATATTTTTCTGTCATAATAATATATCTAATCGTCGAGTTAGAGTGTTTCCTTGCTCATCTATATCTATACCTATTATAAAAATTCAATGTGTTTTTGCATGAAAATTTGATACATCATCTATGTTAGAATCGGTTTTAATTAAATATGTTTCCGTATCAGAATGTTTGTTTTATCTGTATTTTGGTTTTTTTCCCCTTGGCATAAAAGGGGTGAAAAAAACGTCCGTAAAAAAAGAAAAAAAAAGAGCGAAAAAGGTCCCAAAAGAAAAGTCCGATTCCCTGCGAAAAAAGTCGTTCGTAAAAAAAATAAAAGAAAGCAAAAATAAGATCTGATTCTATGCAACGAAAAAAAGAAAAAAAAGAAAAATACGTAAAAAAAAGCGAAAAAAAGGCCGTGAAAAAAATTATATCCAAAAGGATAAAAAAGGCTAAAAAAACAAGAAAAATAATAAGAAAGGCAAAAAAATATGCCTTTCAAAAAAGAACAAAACATTTCCATCATAATCTTTACCTATTATATAAATTAAAGATAATTTCATACTCATCGTATTTTCGGCCGTTGTCCTTTCATTTTAACGAACCGTCCTATTCCGATTTATATATGTTTTTAGCGTTGTGATAATATTCACGTTTTGCTTTTTATCTCCACATCCAATATGTTTCTGCACATATGGGCCTAAAATTGTAAAAGGGTCCAAAATATTGCCCATCTGTTGACGCGAGGCTGTCTCGGTGAAAAATATTGCCCATCTTCTAAGCATATGTCACATACTATTTATTTCAGATTTGTTTGTGTTTATTTTAATAATTTTGCACACATGCAAATGCAAAGCATACTAAATTTTGTATGGGCGGCTTTCATGCATGTCCGTTTATTTTGTAAAAGATTCATCTACGCATGATTCTTTTCAACATTATTTTTTCAACATATGATTTCGTACGGCTATTTAGGATTAAGTGATTTATTATTAAAACTGAAGTTGTTTCCGCCGGTAGTTTTGGTACGTTGTGTGTATTTAAGTTGGTTTTAAAATTCGTTCGCTTTTAAAAATGCAATGGTTTAAACTTGGATATCAATCTCAAAATAAAAATCACATATACTTTTTTAGAAAAAAAAATATATCTAACAATAATACGATTAAAATTAGTCTTCATCCGTTGTAACGCACGAGCTTTTTTTTCTAGTAAAAGAAAAAGAAAAAGGACGGTTGCAACGTTGATCAGAGCGAGAGCTAATTAATTAACGAGAAGCGCGCAGGTGCGTCGAGTGGCATCGGGCTGGAGACGGCGCGCGTCCTGGCGCTGCGCGGCGTGCACGTCGTCATGGCCGTGCGCAACGTCGCCGCCGGGCGAAATGCCAGCGAGGCGATCCGGGCGGAGATCCCCGGCGCCATAGTCCATGTGCTGGAGATGGACCTCAGCTCCATGGATTCGGTGAGGAGGTTTGCCTCCGAGTTTGATTCTCTGAACCTGCCGCTCAACATACTCATGTAAGAACAGAAATACTCCCTCCGTACTTATAAAGAAAGTCATTTAAGAAAACGACACGGTCTTCAAAACACAACTTTGATTTATTATTTCTATAAAAATATTTATTAAAAAATGATATATGTATACTTTTATAAAAGTATTTTTCAAGACAAATATATTCATATAATTTTTACATTTTCAAACTTAACAACTTGAGAGTTATTCATGATTTATATTCTCAAGGTTTGATTTAAACATTGTCCTAAACGACTTCCTTTACGAGTACGGAGGGGTATACTCCATATTAAAGTATTAATTGTTACTGCCCCTGGGCATAAATTCTTCGGCGTTTAAGACCTAATTGTGTATCAATAACTTCTCAAATGCCTCATTGTAAAAAAAAAGAATGTGTGTTGTTTTGCCTCAAAGTATTATCATAGATAATGAATTTTGTTGTAAAATTGATGGTTAGAGTTTTAAAAGTTTGACTTGATTTTTTCGCATATGTGAGAATATTTATGGCCGTAGAAAGTATTATGATTGTGTCAACTCTAACGGCAAACATTTTACTCTGTTTCCAAACTTCCTGTGACGACAGTAACAACGCTGGAATCAAGGCATGGGGCTGCACACGGTCCGTTGACGGCCTGGAATTGCATTTTGCAACTAACTACATTGGTATGCGAAATTACAATGCATTAATTCTTCATGCATCTCAATCTTGTTTGCCTACTAAGTTTCCTGTGTGATGTGGTTAATTAGTTCTTGAGATTTAAGGGTTGATTATGAGTTATATGCTCATAGTGCAGTACTTTAATGTCAGGCCATTTTCTACTGACAAATCTCTTGATGGAGAACATGAAGAGCACAAGTAGTGAAAGCGGTGTTGAAGGAAGGATCGTAAATGTGTCGTCTTGGTGGCACTTTGCTATTTATCCTGAAGGGATATGTTTCGATAAAGTGAAGAATCCTTCGAGGTAATTTATAAATATATACTACAAATTAGGTCTTATTTGTTTCAGCTTAAGATTATTAAATATAATCTAGATTATTGAGCCAGATTACTATAAGTTAGATTATGATAAGCTAAGTTGTTAGCTATTTGTTTTTTTATTAATAGTTGTTAGCCACCAAATAATCTAAAAAAAACAACTTTAGAGTGTATTACCATATTACAGTAATCTGACTTATAGATTATAATAATCTATCATAATAAACTATCTGTTTGTTTCAGCCCACTTCTAACGATTCAGGTTATAATAATAATAAACTGAATCATACAAGGCCTTAAATACCTCCCTCCATTTCCCAACGAAAAATAATAATAATCTTCCATGCCCTTATTTGTTCTTAACAGTATAAGTGGCGTCCCAATTCTAACAAAAATAACCCCTTCTACATTAGTCACCACCCAAGTGTTTCACGTACTACTGCTGTTGCTATTATAAATACTTCTTTTGAAAAAAAAATATTGGCAATTTTTCAAATTATAATCACTTAAACTAAAGGAAGACATACTCCGCACGTTAGTTACAACTTGCAAACTATTCATTTTATATTTTGGAATTAAAATAGTATAATATAAAATCGAGGGTCCATTATATTTATAACTACATATTTAATTTGAATTTTAAATTATTAATTTTATAAAACTAAAACTAAAGAGATAATGGTATTTCTCTATGCATGTTTTATTTCACATGAACTCTGAAAACAATTTATGATTTTGGAGATCTTAATTTTAATATGGATGCTCTCTCATAGTGCTCAAATAATATAAAATAATATAGATATAGAGATGAAAAATATTTTGAATTGTTTCATATATCCCGCAGCAAAGCGTAGAGCTTCATCTAGGATACTCCATTCGTTTTACACTATAAATCGTTTTAACTTTGGTCAAAATCAAAATGCTCTAAGTTTGACCAAGTTTGTAGAAAAAAATATTGACATTTTAACCCTAATACAAATATATTATGAAAATATGTTCCATTATAGATTTAATGAAACTTATTTTCAATGACTCTTTTTTCCCAACGTGTAAGCATGTGTTTGGTTTGGGGACAAAGTGGGATGTGTTAGACCTATCCTTGTTTTGTGGGATGGGATGATTTCAGTAGTTTGTTTGGTTTACGGTATGTGATGGTTATAGTTTTTATTTGGTAGAAGGGATTGAGGTGGGATTGGATGAACGAATTTGTACTGACCGTTAATGCCGTTTGGGGGTGGAGGAGCTCGGCGGCGCGAGCAGAGGAGAGGTGGTGGCGGGTGCGGACGAGCAACGGCAGTCGAGGAGGCGAGGCGGCTCCTGGATCTGAGAGGAGCGGCGGCGGTCGCGGAGGTGGCGGCGGTCGCAGACGAGCGGTAGCGGTCGCGGTCGCGGAGGTGGCGAAGGACGTGAACGAGGCGGCAGCGCTCACGGACGAGCGACGGTGCTTGCGAAGGTGGCGAAAAGCGCGAACTAGGCGGTGGCGCTCGAGGACGAGGTGGCGGTTGTGGACGAGCGGCCGTGGTCGCGGACGAGGCGGGGGAGGGTGCGGACGAGGCGGCGGCGCTCGCGGAGATGGCGGATGGCACAGTGACGCCGTTCGCTCGTCCCAGGTGGGACGAGTTCGTCCGCGAGATTTTTACGGATCGGTTGGTCCCGGATCTGAGAGAAATATTTCTCTCCAGAGACTAACCCATCCCACTCACTTCTAAACCAAACATTCCTAAAAATAGGTTCACTCCATCTCATCCAATCCTTCATTGCAACCAAACACTACCTATCCTAATGGTTCACTTATGGTCAACTGCAATATTTTGACCATCCAAATTTTCTTTGTTTGATTTGGCGTCCGGCGTATGTGTAGTTGTGCCTACATAGAAAAGGAGATGCTTTCTTGCAATCGTTTAGAGAATTGGATGACCAAAATACTTTTGTTTTAGCCTTTGAGATCTAATATATGGGCCATTTCGGCTATCAGGAGTTAAAAAAAAATCATGGTCTTTCACTTGTTAATGATGAAATTTGTAACTGTATTTTTATTTTGAGTGTAATGCAGGAATTTTAACTTTTTACCATTGTAGTATTAACGTGAGGACTTTAAGGGGCCTCCAATTAGTAAAGATAAATATATTTATTGTGCTGATTTATCTTACCAGATTCAGCGGTATTTTTGCTTACCCTCAGTCCAAGCTTGCCAGTATTTTGCACTCCACTGAGTTGCAATTGGCACGAATTCTAAAGGTACTAGTGTTGTTATTTGCTTGGCGTGCTTATGCCTAAATTTCATATGTAATCTCTATTCGTATATGATTATATGTCAAATCAATGAATGCTAAGTTTGAAATGGTTAACTACAAATAGGGAGAGGGAGACGGTGTTAACATTTCGGCAAATGCAATAAATCCCGGTGTTGTTGAAACCAAAATGTTGACGCACAACAATATTGCTAATGGTACTTCGCATAACTTATAATATACCTATGTTTATACCATTATATTATTTTTAAACTGTTCTTATGCATCGGTTCTCTTGCAGCTCTAGTGTTCCCCATTGGAAGAATCGTACGTAAAACTATAGAGCAGGTGACTCTTTAAGAAGAAAATATTATGTCGTTTTTTATGTTCTTGCGTTATGTGTGTGTGTGGGGAACATATTATGTGCTTAACCTCATGGAATTATTGTTTAGGGTGCTGCAACGACATGTTATGTCGCACTACATCCTCAAGTCAAGGGGATAAGCGGAAAGTACTTCAGCAATTGCAATTTAGATAGCCCAAGCTCACATGCTTCAAATGCAGAGTTGGCAAAGAAACTATGGGAATTTAGCTCTAAGGTTGTGTCCTAATGTGGTTATTAAAGTATAGTTTGAGTTACACATATGAATACATATGCTATTTTATTTCATGTAAATTGAACACATAATTTTCACATACATTCTAAAAGCAAAACGAGTGTGGTTCCTCCAAAATACATCCAAATTAAATGTTTTAACTATAATATATACATCTGCCTCTAATTAGTCTAGAAGTTGGGTAAATAGACTTCAAGCAAAGTTCAGGTTCAAAAGTAGATTTTATAATCCATTTTTGAAGTCAACCTTTGCTCGAAGTCTATTTTTCACCCTGAATTTATGAAGGCGGTTTTTTGCGCATAGTACTCTTATGGTATATATTTTGTTAATGATGATCACCTAAGACCCCACTCAGTGTAGATGGACCAATAGGTTATTGATACGGAATATTTTCCCCATGTTTAAGAAAATAAAATTTGTCCAAAAACTTTATGCATTAACATTGCTTAGACCACTTGTTCTGAGTTATTTGTCTGTAAATAAGTAGATCATCCATTTAATAGCCTTCATCATATTTTATCTAATTAATCACTATCATATGTTAGTGAAAAATCACTATCATATCAATCTAAACTACCATGAAAAATAGTTTATAGTGTGGTTTGTCCTTTCTAAAATTGGAGATGAAAAATAACCGGTATTGTACTTCGACCAAAGATTAAGGGCGACATATGGATTTTACACTTACGAGTTATTCCTAGAGATGTAATATGCTTCATTCTTTAGTAATGTGGAGGCCCACCTCTTCTAAGCCTGATCACTTCATTGGCCGACATTTGAGTGAGTCTTCATTAAGTTATGGCCTCCATCGTTTCCTCTATACAAAATCAGCCGCTACCAAAAATTTAAATTTTGAAAGTTAATTTTCAAGTTGATATTAATTTTTTTTCATCGAAGTTTATCTTTTAGCATTAACATTTAAATCGCTAAGAACACATATATTATAAAAGTTTTACATACAATTTTTTTTGTTAATATGTCTGTCAGTGTTACATATAAGACATATTAGCAAATACAAGACCACCCGGGAGGATAGGCCAAGACAATCCAACATACGCCAACACAGATCTAAACAACTCCAATAATACAAGACAACTCCAATCTCACCGAGTTCATATTCGAGGAAATCGATTGTCGCTCGCCGTCAACCACATGTGAGGGCTTTATGACGCAAGGCTGACAGAGACTAGATTAGATCATCCTCAATATTGTAATCGTATGATATTGATATATAATGGCAATATTAGCTTTGGCCCGTAAGAAGGGGTCCGAACCTGTATAAAAAAATTCTCGTCTCTCGTCTCTTTTATCATATTCTCGTGTATGCCTTGGTATCAACGATGCACATACTATCAAATACCGTAAGTAGGAATAGCCCATCAACAATATCGTACAACGTATTTTTAGCATTTGGCCAAAAGATGAGGGCCTACACAAATTTGGGGTGAGTGCCCTTTTTACCTGACCCACTTGTGTACATCACCATTAATTCTTTCACGTCAAACTAGTTTGCTCGTGTCACTGCACTGATCATTCAGATAATTGTTTTACATATCTAGCTTGGGGTTAACCCGGCCTTTACATGAGAACTTTCCACTAGTAGAAGTAACATTTATTTATTACAGGAAAGATCATGTATACCAGACATGAAACTAACTTCTGGAGTGTGGATGTTTCAAGAGATGCATGCAGTGCCATGTAAAGTTAGCTAGCTACCCTCAAGTTAAATAGCTTTATTGTGGTGTAGTTAGCATACATGTCTAGTGATAAAAAGTGAGCATCAACAGCCAAAGCCCAAAAGCATTGCCTAGCTAGATGGAAAATTTGTTGTCACAATGCCATTGTGCAACCAATGGCAAAATGTCTTGTCAGGCAATTAAAAAACGGATTGATGGATGGCCATTGGACTGGCCAATACTATATCATCCTCAGCACATAGTGCAAGAGAATGATAATTGAAAATGAAGGGGAGAACCCTACACATTTGTTTTATTCAGAATATGATATAAATCTCGCTTTTCTCAACACCTTTTTCCTTAAAGTACGACATGAGATATATAGGGCATGTAATCAAAGATATTTCCTTTCCTTGCTTTTTGTTTTAAAGGAAGATTTTTTTTTCTTTGTTGAGATCATTGGTAAATTAGCTCAATGCACTTATTTTTGTGTAAGGAAAATCGAGCAATTTATTAATTTGTTTTGTGGCCGAGTTGCCACAAGTTCAGATGTATATCTTTCTTTTGAGAAGGTTGACAAATTGAGTTAAAAGTTAGATACTACTTGACTGAAAAATAAGGACAAATGGATTAAAGCAAGCACGATCTTTTTTTAAGAACACAAGAAAGATCTTATCACCGGCATATATGCTTGTAGTCCTCATTGCACATTCTATACTAAGATACCTGTGTATATGCATGCTTTTTGTAAAGGCTTAAATTGCCCCCAGTAGTTACTCTAAAATGATTACATTATTTCAAGTAGCAGATTCCCTACAATTTTCCTATGATACATCCGAATGCAATTTTTTTTTTTTTAGAATTCGTGAGGTTTAGCTTCCCATAGGATTGGAGTCTATAGCTATTTCTATTCCTCCTTTTTTTCTATTTCTATGGATGAAATTTTCTTCAAAATGAATAGCCCTTAGTATTTAGTATTTGCAATTTTTGGGAAAAAAGATGAACGGTTAATGTTTTAAAATGAATAGTGTCCAGCGTCAGTTATTTGAAAAATGGAGGGAATATTTAAGTTTCAGACTGGTCGAGCTTACCAGCTGGAACCGATGCAATTCCAATTAATCCTCTAATTGATTAAGATTCCTACCTAAATCCTCCATTTCAACAGCAGAGACTTATCAATTTATCACTTTCTTTATGTCACCTCACACATACCCTGCCATGGTTAAGCAAAACTACAACCGTACAAGGTCAAAATATCTAGTCTATATATCATTACTACCTGACTACATGAAGATCATTATATACATTAACAGCGATGTGTATACTATGGTTTGACAAGTACATTGCTAACAGGACGAATGTTGGACCAACACACTAGCTAGATGATGATCTTGACAAGTTTTTTTTTCTAAATTAAAGTTGTTTTTCAGTTATAAGAAAAATGCCAACTTTTTTATCGTTTCAACGCGGTTACATTGATCAAAGTAGCTAGCAGACAAGTATTGTCAATTTGTCATGGTTAGTGTACCGTACGGCTGTCAAAATTCCACCATCTTGATCTATCTATCCGACTAGGACACCACCAGGCACCAGCCATGGCTGCACCAGCAGGATAAGTTTTTCTGAACTGTACTGAGTGGCCAAGCGACTTGTTGGACACACATATTTGTAATGTTTTTATTTCTTTCACTTAGCATAAGAGTAATTACACAGTAAAGCTAAGCCACACAGCCACGCAATGTGCCAAGAACCTAACATATTTTGCCCAAACATATAAATATTCTTCACTGCATATACATCTTAGTTTGTTACTCGAATGAGTGTTCTTCTCCCTTTCCTTTCCTTTTTCCAGGGAATAGATTCTAAACTCTCCAGAGAAGATGTGCCCTCGTTTTCTTATACCATCCAAATAGTTATATTTCTTTTTTTTTTTTGAAAAAAATAACACAACAGATTCTATCTAGATTCGTAGTTCTATGTGGTGTCTAATTCAGTACTAGATTGTTATATTTTAAAACAGAGGAATATGTAATATATCACTCCACAAACATATAAATTTAAATTTGACCGCTACAATTAAGTTGTAAAAAAAGAACAAACTAAATTATTGCTAGTATGCGTATATTCACATTTATATTTATTTTGTTTTTTTTACTTGTAGAAATCAAATTTAAGCTTCCATGCATGTTTGTGGAGTGATGTATCATGTATTAATCTATTTTTTAATTTTTTTCATAACTATTTAGATGACATATAAGAAACAAGAGGACATCCTCTTAAGGGATTAAAATAGTATGCCCCTTTTTTCACCACCTTTTGTTTTAATTTCAATATATAAGGTGAGTACTTTTGTACTATAAAGAGCAGTAAGTACATTTACTTTTCAATTCCATATAACATTTGCTTTTCAATTTCATATGCTAATTGTCTAGCTAGTGTGTATATATAACTACATGGAGAAATATATAGGGAGTGGAATCAAGAGGGGACCAATGCACAACACTCTAGCTAGATAGTATAAGTCGCCATCTTTGATATATCTTTCTTATTCGTACAAGTGGCCAGCATAGGAGGTAGAGAGCTGTTACGTTGGTGTGACCCTGATTTAATCTGATCAATCTATCTCCACTGAGTGCACGCATGCATCATTAATCTCACTAAGATTAATTAGGAGACGTAATATGCGAATGAATTAACAAACGTACGGTCGGCAGAGGCCGAAGATGTAACCCATTTTCGTAACCATTGAAAGAAAATAATGTTAGAGAACAACATGCCTAGCTAACTTAAATGTGCAATCTAGCTACGTACGCACTAGGCAAGATCGGTTAAACAAAGAGGGAGCAAATTGACAAGTGCACAAAGCCAAATTAACTTTATTAAAAGTTCAAAACTGATTGCAAGTTTGGAGCAATGAGGTAATCCGGCATGCGTACTTGAGTCACTAGCTCATTCGCTAGTGCTAGCTTTGTTGCTATCAACTTCATTCAAACAGAGACCAGCTGGCAACAGGGATACAGTACATATATACATGCATTCTGCTGTTCATTTGCCTTATTACCATGCACCAATATAATGCATCCTCCTCTCTAGCTTATCATAAGTACTAATTAACTAATTATCCCAGAGCATGGCACCAATATAATTGATCCACTTGAGACCAAGCATAGTGTACACTTGAACACATGCATGCATTGGCATGCACATAGTACGGCTTGATCACAAACTTAATCATCATACTAGCTTCCTTGGATTAATATGATCATATCACATCCCTTGTAATTTGCATGAATTCTTGCATGCTCGATCATTCTGCCTTCTTCTGATCGTTGTAGATAGTAGCTAGCCGGATTATATTAATTAATTAATTTAATGAATACTAGATGTTGATCTTGCCGATGAGAGGGATGCCGATGGCGGTGACGACGAGGGTGGATGGGAGTCCGAAGATGACGTGGTTCCAGAAGGTGAGGTCGTAGGCGTTGCGCGTCGCCCGCCTCGCCTGCTCGCACACGATCAGGTTCGCCGCCGACCCCAGCAGCGACAGGTTCCCCGCCACCGTGCTCACCCACGCCAGCAGCAGCCACGACCGCGTCACCGCCGCCGGTGATATCGTCGCCGCCGCCGCCGCCACCTCATCCCCCATCAACAACACTACACCCACATATATAAATTAATTTACAATTACCACTCAAATAACATGTAAAAAATGAGTTGTTCTTTTTTAATTATGAGAGACAAAAAAAATTTTTTTCTTTTAATAATCATTCATCTTATTAAAAAATATAATTACATTTATTTTATTTTGACTTGATTTATTGTCTGATTTAATCTTTTTATATTTACAAAAGAAATTGAATAAGATCCATTCATCGATAAAAAAAAGTCAGATATCATGTATTAAAAGAAACTGATGTACTGTACAGTACAAATGTTAGTGCTGGGTGAGTCGGGACACATTGGGTACTAGCAATAGCATGGTGCGAGAAAGGTTGTGAGTAAGTACGTACCGGTGGGGACGTTGGAGGCGAGGTTGGAGAGGAGGAGGATGATGACGGAGAGGACGGTGACGCCGGTGACGTGGTTGATCTTTGAGTAGGGCGCCATCACGTTCCAGATGGCCCCGGGTAGCCCCGTCTTGTTGAACCCGCTCACCGTCACGAACATCCCCGAGAAGAACACCAGCAGCGAGTACGACACCTGCATCATCCATTCACATCCACGCACACGTGGCACCCAGTTCACATATTGCTTCTTGTCCGCATGGCCGCCACGTGTACTTGCTCGTGTGGCCTAGAGTTATAGTGATTTGGACGGATATGGGTTACCTTGTCGAGGCATGGCTCGGCGTCGCGGAAGTCGACGACGACGAGGGCGATGGCGGTCGTGATGGCGGTCCACGACATGTTGAGGCCGAGCATGTAGGCGACGAGCATGCCGACGGTGACCACGTACGCGAAGCTCTTGAGGAACAGCTTCCGCCGGTGCTCCGAGCACTGCATGAACCACCGGTGCTTCGTCGAGATGTTCTCCGACATCATCGACTCGGCGTCGCCGCCGTCGTCGTCCTCCGGCGATGCGGGGGTGGCGGCGTCGCCGTCGTCTTTCTTGTTGTTGTTGAGCGCCGTGCGGCGGCCCTCCTCGATGGCCTCCATCTGCTTGCCGGCGGCGACCTCGTCGGGGCTGCAGGCGCCGCCGTCGAGCTCCTTCCAGTACATGCAGAGCAGCATGAGCATGTTGATCCCCATGCCGGCGAGCATGGCGGGGAGGATGCCGAGGAGGAAGGAAATAAAGGAGATCTTGCTGTTGAAGGCGATGACCAGGTTCTGCGGGTTGCCGATGGGCGTCGCGCTGGAGCCGATGTTGGCGCTGGTGGCGAGCGCGAGCAGGAACGGCTTCGCCGGGAGGTTGCGCTCGGCGGCGAGCTCGAGCACGAACTCGGTGAGGACGACGCAGCAGGTGTCGTTGGTGAAGAGCGCGCTGGCGAGCGCGGTGACGACGCAGACGCGGCACATGAGGTCGCGCCCGCCCTGGCTCCGCCACGCCAGCAGCCGGCCCAGGTGCCTGAACATGCCGGCGTTCTTGAGGTAGCCGCCGACGACCATGGTGGCGAAGAGGAGGCCCAGGATGGGGAGGTCGATGGAGGCGTAGGCGTCGTCGGCGCTGATCACGTGGAACACGATCATCAGCACCGCGCCCAGCAGCGCCCCCGCCGTCCGCCCGATCGGCAGGAACGGCACCGACGGGAACACCGCCAGCATCCAGAACACACCGAACGCCACCGACCCCATCACCACCTTCGGCAGCGACGCCAGCGCCATGGCCGCCTCTCTCTCTCACTACAATGCAGCTAGCGTCTTGGAGTGGGAGGTGGTGGTGGCGATGAGAGTGAGGAAGAGAGGCGACTCCCCGTGGGCTTAAGTACTCCCAGCCAGGACGAACAGCTGGCATCAGTTGCAGCTGATGTCAGTGTCCAGCTAGGTAGGCAGATGATTACGATCCAGAGGCAAGGGCACGTACATCTAAGCACTTAATTTACATGCCATTCTTTTGCTAATTTTTTCCTTTTTATCTTCCAGATGGTAATCTTGTAACTTTTTCTACTATATCTATATAAACTTCTACTCCCTCCATAAAAAAAAGGCAAACCCTAAGTTTTCGTGTCCAATTTTAACTGTCCGTCTTATATGAAATTTTTTTATAATTCGTATTTTTATTGTTGTTAGATGATAAAACATGATTAATATTTTATGCGTGACTTATCTTTTTAATTTTTTTCATAATTTTTTTAAATAAGACGGACGGTTAAATGTTAGACACGAAAACCAACGTTTGTCTTTTTTGGTACGAAGGGAGTAGATTGTAATCTTATAATTTTTTTCTGCTATATCTATATAAACTTCGCCTGTATGGTGCGAGTAGTTAGTTTTTTACCTAATTGTTATAATGATGACATTAATTAGTGATAATGTTAATTATTATCTAATACTGTATTAAGTAAACTACAAAACAACATAATAGTATGCTGTTTGACTACTACTGCTACTCCATACTCCTTTTAAAGGAAATCGTCTTGGGAATAAGGGAGTACATTCATGTGCAGCAGCAATTCCGTAACATTTATGTGATACTACTAGCTACTATTCCGTACTACACATCTACACAGATGCATGTGTAACACATCATCTATGTAGGGTGGACACGTGTACGTGCAGGATTCATCCTTAGCCACGACTGGAGCTAAGCATCGATATGGGTCCATGGGTCAACGTGTCAGTGTCATCAAATGTTCCTGTCCGGTTCGTGTCTGCGAAGAGAATGTACTGTACGAAAAATGGCGGAGCACATGCACGCAGTGATCTCTCTCTTACCCGTTGCGAGTGCTAATTTCAGGTTAAGCCTTATCTAAATAATAAACAATACTGCCGTATAAATTAATTAGTTAAAAGTATTAACCAACTTGCTAAGCAAATTGTCCTTTATTTTACTTTATATAGGAGAGCATATCAACGTCGTCAGACAAGTTTTAGAGGGATTTATTTACCCGACTATATGTATTTAAATAAGGAGAAGAAGATAAATTTATGGCTTAAGAAAATACCTCAAGCTATTTGCTCCGTTCATTTTAATTATAAGTCGATTTGACTCTTGTCAAAGTCAAACTATAAGTTTGACTAATTTTGTAGACAAATATAATAATATTTACAACACCAAATTAAGTTTATTAAATCTATAATTAAATATATTTTCATAATATATTTGTCTTAAGATAAAATATAACTATTTTTTTTATAAATTTGGTCAAATTTAAAACAGCTTAACTTTGACTAAAGTCAAAACGACTTCTAATCTGAAACGGATGGGGTAGTAACCAAGGTTTACATAAAAAAATATACCTCCTAATACTTTCTTAAATATGATAAAATTAAAGTAGAATGCATGGAGAAAAAAGCCGTTGCTAGCTTAAGCGTGCACCGCCATGAGGCCATTAGGATGAACAAGTGATGATCATCTGATCAAAAGGTGGCAAATGCTTATTACATTTTAATTACTAGGGATATGTCATAAAGCATGATTAATTAGCTAGCTAGCTTCCTGTTCGATTAAACATGAAAGCCATACACCTATATGCTTTCGTAGCGGCGACCTGGTTGGATCGATGGATCTAGCCTTCACGACTAGAAAAAGCATTTTCGCCGATGTTGGGTATTAATTTTCACAAGTGGATATGATCCTTAGAATCAAATAGCCACCTACAAAAATATAAATTAGGGTGAAGTTCACTGTCTATTTTCGCAAACGGACCACTTAAGCCGTGCCTGCAAAAATGATTTTCGCAGGCGGACCACATGAGATGTGCCTGTGAAAATTAGCGTGGTATATATACAGTGACACATCGGCTGATATTTTTCTAAGTGTCATTTCTCCCCTCACTCACCTCTCCTCTCCCCTCCCCTTCACCTCCCCGACCGCCGGCGGAAGGGGCAGACGTGCACGGGACGGCCAGCGGCTGGCGGCGGCTCCCCTCCCCCCTCCCTCCCAGATCTAGCCAGAGGAGGGACGGGGGAGGCCGGCGGGGGCAACGGCGGCGACTACGGCACGGGGCGGCGGCGGCGACGACGGCGCAGGGCGGTGGCGGCTCCCCTCTCCCCCTCCCTCCTAGATCTATCCAGAGGAGGGAGGGGGGAGGCCAGCGGGGGCAGTGGCGGCGACTACGGCGCGGGGCAGCGGTGACTATGGCGCGGGGCGGCGGCGGCGACGACGACGTGCGGGGCCACGGCGGCAGCTCCCCTCCCCCCTTCCTCCAGATCTGGCCGGAGGAGGGAGGGGGGAGGCCGGCGGGGGCAGCGGCGGCAACTACGGCGCGGGGCGGCGGCGGCAACGACGGCGCAGGGCAGCGGCGGCGGCTCCCCTCCTCCATCCCTCCCAGATCTGGCCGGAGGAGGGAGGGGAGAGGCTAGCGAGGGCGCGACGGTGACTACGGCGCGAGGCAGCGGCGGTGACGACGACGACGGCGCGGGGCAGCGGCGACGGCGACGCCCGGCGCGGCTCCCCTCCCCTCCCCTCCCAGATCCGGTCGGGGGAGGGCGGCGGCGGCGGCAAGGCGCGGCCGCGTTTTTTTTTTTTCGTTCAATGGATTTTCGTAGGCGGGCCATTATCCCGACTGCGAAAATCGTTGGACTGCAGACGGTCCAACCCCCGCGTAAAAAAATCACTTTTGGTCGCCTGAAAAAAAATACTTTTTCTACTATTGCTTATGGCCAGATCCGGTGACCTCGCGTAGTAAGCAAGACGGTAACGGCGCGCGCAAAACAACGTCAGGCTTGTTGCCGGTGCCGAAGATCATGAGGCGCGACGTTGGATCTAAGGTCTAAGAGCCTCTTATTTTCTTTTGTTATTCCTCGGTTAAGTCTAAGTGTTTGCTACAACCTTTAGCTGTTTTATATCCACATATAGATCTAGACGCTGGATTTCTATCCATTTCTTTTTATAAAATACACCTGTGCGCTGCTGGGACAGCTTCAGACCATAGCTACCATTCCATGATCAACACGTATATATAAGAGCAGGATAAATTAGGTCACAGCCCTGTAAATTAATTAATTAATCTGCTCATTTTGCAGCCCTGTAAATTAATTAATTAATTTGCTCATTTTGCAGGATGCTTTGCTTTGTGATAAGTATATTATTATGTAAAAAATAAGTTGTCCAAGAGATCTTGTGGTTACACGTTCCTTTCTCGCGGCCTTTTGACTTAATGAAATTAAATTTCTAAGATCTTCTGGTCGATCACCGTTTCGTTCGTGTATGCATAGCTTAAGCAAAATTTCCACTTCAGTTTTACAGTCTGTTAGTTCTTGATGGCAACTTGCATTGTCATTGTTAATTTACACTGCTGGAAGACCAGCAGGTAAGTGTGTTGGTTCAAATAAAGTCTGGTGGAAAATGAACTTAAAACTGTATATTATTCATATCTATTACTCCCTCTATTTTAAAATGTACGACGCCGTTTGATTTTTTTATAACGTTTGATCAAAGGTCTGATTAAGAAAAAAATTAATATCATTTAACATGTTTATATTATAAATTTTTAATAAGATGAATGATCAAATGTTATAGAAAAACAATAACATTTTCAAAAGGAGGTTAGTACTAATAATTAACTTGATATATGTATATCAGCTATGTCTTAGATGGTGCCGCGAGATCGTGAGACTCACCACGGTCTCGCGGACCGAGGGTGCAAGGCCGCGACTTCACATCCGAACTAGTGCGATTAATCATTAATAGATTAATTAGCATCATTAGCAATTAATTAATTTATTGTTATTTCTTTAATTAGCATTATTAGTAATCAATTATTCACTAATCATGATAACGAATTACAATCATTAATCATTTCCAAAGGGGTGTCACTGTCATCGTTTGACCCTGTTGAGGTCTTGTTCGGTTACACAAGGATTCGTTCTGGGTCAGAAATGATATGTATAACAAGAAATTTATAATAGGTACAACAAGAGACCGAGATTTATTCCAGGTTAGGAATCAATTTAATCGTATTAGGTATAACAAAACATCCGGATTAGTTCCACACTTCTTGACTAGTGGATTGATTCCCGGTCTCTTATTCTCCCTATCATGAATAAATTGGTTCCTGGCCTGGAATAAATCCCAGTCTCTTCTCGTTGTATCTATCATAAATTTCTTACTATACTTGTCATTCCTAGCCCAGATCGAATCCTTGTGTAACCGAACAAGGCCTGAGACTGCTCGAACCGCAACACGTCGTCGTTTTTCTTAACGGTTCAGTGATATCGGGTCAATTTTACACTCCCATACAGCGACGGCAGTATATTTGTGAAAAAAAAATGTATCCCGGATATTTCTGAGAAAAAATAAACAGTATATTTTTAAATTTAATTCTTTTCTTGGCGGGTATTACTATGATCACAACCAATGTACGTGCTATTATAGTTGATAGATATAGATTGATCGTAGTGGTTTCGCGTTGTTACTTGAGGTAGGCACCGCTAATGGATGTCAATTTGCTCTTGAAAATCTGGATGCTAGTATCGATCAAATCTTTTCATTGAGCTGATCATATATACTGATCCAATCATATCTCGGCTAAGAAATATAATGCATGCTTGGTCATCCCTAAGGTTGGAGATATTTTATACAAGTCGGCACACATCAAGCTAGTCACTTCGGAAATGAACACAAAGGCTTCGTTCCGAACATGAGAATTCCATCATATACGATGAGAGGATTATAATTGTAGAGCATGATTCAAAAAGACGCTAGACGCTAATTAGACGACTAGCTAGGTGACACCTAGGCCAGACCAACAAGTTAAATTTAAGATATTAAGAACCATATCACATATATAATAACAACTAAACTATATATATAGCACGAAAATAGCAACGAAATATCAACAAAGGCAGTTTAGCCGTCTAATGCATCATCTAATGCCTAATTGTGTGGCTACCCGATGCCTAGCTAGCACCAACTTTTAAAACATTGTTGTAGAGAGCTTGTTTCAAGATCTACAAAATAATCCATGATTTTTTTATGGGCACAAACCACCAAGGATATAGCATCAAAGCCATCAAGTAATATATTTTGTCAGCCAACCGAGTAATACCCGCCAAGTCTAAAGAGCAAGGAAAATTTTATTTTCTTGACGGCTAACCATTATTTATGCCCAACTCTTATAGATGTCATGTGTCGATCTACGAAAAATGGTTAAACTTGTGCAAGCATGTATAATAGTCCTTGTCCCATAATATAGTTATCTTTATGTTTTTATATTGGGACTAAGAAAGTGTTTGGAATAAGGAGAACTATGTAAAAAAATAAATGAGATGATCGTGATTTATCGAAATGATCGAGAGAGTATACAAAGAAGTAACTGTTGTATTTTGAAACGAAAGAAGTAGGTGATAACTAGCCTTCCAATTTCCAACATAAAAGCTTGGGTGTGCAAATCCGTATTATCCTTAGCACTTTCCAGGGAAAAATGTTTTGTGTGTATATGTATAAAGGAGGGATTTACCCCAGGCCCCCAAAAAGCCTAATAAAACAAGATTCAAGGCCGAAAAGAACAGCACGCGTTGACGTATATGGTGCAAAAATTAGGTGAAAAACCTTAGCAACCAATTACATGTGTAGAACTGTATATGCGCTGATGTAGATAGATGGCAAAGAGAGCAGTGATGTGAAACAAACAAAAAATGATATGGCAAGGAGAGTGCTAGCTTTCCCATGCATGCTGCAAAGCTAGCTTATGTACGGTATATTAGTATGAGTGTGTGCACCATGCATGTATCCTATCTTTTGGGCGATTCTGTTTTGCCCCACTTGAGAAACCAGTGTAAAAGTAGCTAGTAAGCTATAGCTTCCACTTTCTGCACACCGATATATAATGCACTGTAGTCTATTCTATTGCTAGCTAGATAGGAGTTGATTAAGTGCTAGAAACATTATCTTGTTTGAGCTAGCTAGTGTGTGTGCATGTGTCATTTTCAAGTTTTCTCTTTCTGTCTTCTGGTCACTTTACAAGCACTGTATAATAATGCATTTTTTTCTATTACAAAAGTACAATATAGCAGTGAAAGAAAAATAAATAGCATTGGAAACATGTCTCTTTCTATATATGAAGGATACTCTTCCTATTTTTTAAGAGGAAACTAGTATGTTCTCACATGTATGGTATCCATCATTCATCAATTGAAGGATACACAAACTATCTTTGGTCGGTCGACCCAAATCCATAATAGTCCCGGTTCCATTAAAAACCGGGACTAAAAATGATTTTTAGTCCCGGTTAATAAGAGGAAGATCTTTAGTCCCGGTTGTTGTTACCAACCGGGACTAAAAATCATCTTTAGTCCCGGTTGGTAAGTTCATTTTTAGTCCCGGTTGATTCCATGTCAGGCCGTGTCAGGGCCCTAGGATCTTTAGTCCCGGTTTAATAACACCAACCGGGACTAAAAACCTATTTTTAGTCCCGGTTGGTGATACTAACCGGGAATAAAAATCAAAACACACTATATAATCCATAGTACCGATCCTCTTTTCCCGTCCACACAACAAACTCCTCCCTCTATCTCTTTTTTTTCCTCTCTAACTTCTTATCTCTAACTCCCCACCTCTCCTTCCTTTTTTCCTTCACCCACAGTGCAGAAGCGTGCGGCGCCGCGGCGGCAGCGGCGGGTGGCCGGCACGGAGGCGGCCTGCGCGGCGGCGGCGGCGGGCGGCCGGCGCGCCGGCGCGGGGGGCTGCGCGGCGGCGCCGGGGGACGCGCGGAGGCGGCCTGCGCGGCGGCGGGGGCGGCAGCGCGGCGCCGGCCGGCCAGCGCGGAGGGGAGGCGGCAGTGGCCGCCGGCCGGATTTTTTTTCTTTTTTTTTTGAGATGTGAATATGTGATGCATTTTTGTGTGAGATGTGAATCTGTGATGAATTTTTTAGAACCCTGTGATGTAATTTTTTTAAGAGTTTGTGATGTGTTTGGAGATGATTTGTTTGAGGATTTGAGGATTTGGAGATGTTCTGTGATATGTGATGATTTGGATATGGGAGGGGATGGTGTGAAATCAATATTCAATATTAAAAACAGAAAAAAAAAAGAAAAAATATCTTTAGTCCCGGTTGGTGTTGCCCCATATTTAGTAGATCGATTTTTAGTCCCGGTTATTTGAACCGGGACTAAAGATAGTGATCTTTAGTCCCGGATTCGTAGTCCCGGTTGGAAAACCGGGACTACAGGGGGGTTACGAACCGGGATTAAAAAGCACTTCTCCACCAGTGACAGTATGCACGCATGTTGTAAAGGATGTTCCATAGGGGATGTTTGGTTGCTAGTTACAATTTATCACGTGCACGATTAGATAAGTTTGATAAACTTGATAGTTGTTCGTTTGTAGCTGCAGTTGTAACAAGATTTTTTTCCCAATACTAGCAAAATACCCATAATTCACTATGGGTAAAAGAAAATATATTATAATATATCATACACAAAATATATTTTTTATCAGATATGTTAGCATCACTTGTTTGCTTATTTAAATATATGGTATTCACTTATTTGAAACAAATATTAGAGTATTCCATAAAATTAATGAATATCATAAGCTAATTTATAAAAACTATGAAAGAAGTGGTGGGTTTTGGTAGTGGCAAATTCACCGCCGCCACCACTAGTGCCTTAAAGGATAATAGAAATTGGGTCTCATACATCAATAACTCTTCAAGAGTAAAGTGTACAGGCGATCCTTAAACTTGTAGAGGTGTGTCATCTAGATCCCTAAACTCTCAAAATGCATATCCAAATCCTAGAACTTGTCATAGTGTGTCATCTAGGTCTCAAATCGCCACAACCCCTTCAGAATCCTACGTGGCGCTGGTGTGGCATGCCACATGGACATGACGTGGCATAATGTTGATTGACAAATGGGACCCATTTAACTTTTTTCCTTTTTCTTTTTTCTTCTCTTTTTTTCCCTTTCTTCTTCTTTCTCTGTGACCCGAGCAGAAGAAAGGAAAAAAAGAAGAATGAGAAGAAAATGAAAAAGAAAAAGAAAAAGAAAAGAAGAAGAAAAAAGAAAATGACACGTCATATCCATGTGGTATACCACATCAGTACCACTTAGGATTCTAGAGGGGATATGCCGATTTGGGACATAGATGATACGCTTTGACAAGTTCTAGGACCTAGATATGCATTTTGAGAGTTTAGGGACCTATATGACACAGCCCTATAAATTTAAGGACTGCCAATGCACTTTACTCCTCAAAAAAAGTACAACAAGATTTCCTTAGATTTGCTATGGTGTAGTAAAAAATTTGACAGTCTCAACTTAAATAAACGTGGTAATTTTTATTGGTAAGTGGTGGTGAAGTGGGTGAGAAACTATCTTCTGTTCCTCATTTGGAACGGAGGATTCCTAGAAATTTTGGAAGAAATAAACTAGTTCATGTGAAAATCCTATAAATTACTGTATTTCAAAGAACCCTTAATTGACTGTAGCGGCCAATGTAGAAACACAAATAATGATAGATGAACCCAGACTTATCAAATATATAAAGTTGTAGCTTTTTATCAAATCGTATATTATTATTGCAATTAGTTAAAATATTAGTTAAAATTGTAGCAAAATTGATAGTTTTGATAAAATAATCGTAGATTTTTTAAATAAACCATATACGCATTTGTTCGACCGATGTAAGACTAAAACGACAGAATGACGCAATATGTGAAGCGTGAGATGGCAGTATGACTTGGTCCTGTATATATAGTCATTGACATCACACACACATTACGGTCATCCTATAATTAATCGGACGTGTTGGTCGTGTGTATAATATTTTCCTTTTGAAATTTACTCTTTAAAATATAGAATAATCTAGGTTGGCATAAGCCCATTAATTAAACAGTGTATTTTCTGAACAATGTGATCGATGCGATGCACAGTCCAGCCAGCGTGCACGAGAGCAGTCTAGCACACGAAAGCTTCTCAAACATATTCCTTCAGTGCGGAGAGCGAAGTCGAATCCCTCCCGCCAGAATCAAAGCACAAACCGAAAGCAAAAGAAGAGCACGACTTTTCCCGCCAAAAAAAAAAGAAGCCAACGACGCGGCCTCTCTAGTAGAGTAGTAGTCTCTACAAAGCAGAGCATGCAGTAGTAGCCGTCATAGCATCGATCGCCAGTTCGCCACAGCACAATGCCGACGAGGAGGCGAGGGATCGCGGAGGGGGGGCACGCCACCCGGGCGGCCGTGGTCCGGTGCATCGTCGCCGCGATACTCGCCGCCATCGTCGTCGCCGGCCTCGTCGCGCTCGTGTTCTGGCTCGTCGTCCGCCCCAAGCCCATCGAGTACACCGTCACCAGCGCCGCCGTGCGCCACCTCAACGTCACGCCGCGCGACCGCGGCCCGGGCTGCAGCGCCCCCACCGTCAACGCCACCTTCTACCTCAACGTCACGCCGCGCGACCGCCGCCCGGGCTGCAGCGGCCCCACCGTCAACGCCACCTTCTACCTCGCCCTCGCCATCGACAACCCCAACCGCCGCGTCTCCATGCGCTACGAAGACAGCGTCGCGCTCCGCGTGCTCTACGGCGGCTCCGAGCTGGAGCTCGCCGCCGGCTACGTCGTGCCGGGGTTCCACCAGCCCCACCGCAACGAGACGACGCTGCCGGTGCGCGCCGTGGCGCGCTCGGCGCCGTTCCCGGTCCCGGTCACGGACCTGGTCGCCTGGGAGCTGGAGCACGACCTCGCCGCCGGCGAGCTGAGCGTGGACGTTGAGGTGACCACGGGCGTCCGGTTCATAGTCGGCGGCGTCGCCTCCAGGTACTACCAAGTCAATGTGACCTGCTCGCCGGTGAACATCGGCTTGTCGCCGTCGGCGGCGCGGTCCTTCAACAGCGTGCCGTGCGACGTCGAGATCTCGTGAGGCAACCAAATGCATGCATGTTTCCGTGTCCGACCAAAGTGATCGTTTAGTTTGGATTGGATTTGTTTATATTTTACAGCACACGATCTACTATACTTTTGATACGTACTACCTCCGTTCCAGGTTATAAGACTTTCTAATATTATCCACATTCATATATATGTTAATGAATCTAGGCATATATATGTGGGTAATGCTAAAAAGTCTTATAATATGAAACGGATGAAGTATTTGCGAGGTTGTAAATTTAGCTCTAGTTGGAGTGGCCTTCTTTTCTTCATCATCTCTTTTAGGGGATTATTTATTTATTTATTACGCGATATGCCATTATATTGTGCTGTGATTTTACATGTTTGACACATATAACCTCTATTTTTTTTTCATATATGACACAATTGATTTTTTTCTCGAACTTTGATCAATAATATTTATTTATTTAGTTGCGTACGGGTTCCAATACTAACATTGCCTAGAGATGCCATAGCTTTTCTTTTTAAGATTGCCTAAAGTTAGATAGTCAAATTTGATACCACACTTTTGCTAGCAAACTACAATCTTTTTTTTAGACAATGAGGTGCGGATTTAAGACGTTGAAAAGAAAATATTGTCATAAATGTGACAATAAATCAAACGTATGGATAACTTAGTCAAAACTACGTAAGTTAAGATACGTCAAAGTGTAACCATATACCACATGTAAATTGGAAAAGGGTATGACTAGATCTTTTATCGAAAGTATTTTAAACATATTTAATATGTTTGTCCATTTGTACAAAAACTTTTAGAAAAATACGAATAGTTAAATAAATTAGAAAAATTCAAGTACATTGTGTATTAAAAAAAAGGAGGTGGTATATATACTGTCATGCTCGTTTGCTGAGAGTGGCGCTCCCATTTGGGAGAGTTGATCCTCCTATTCAATGCCTTATCCCAAAAAATGGCATTTTTTACATATATTTATTCAGATCAAACTCATCTCCTTTTGTTTTTGCTTCTACTATATTGAAGGTATTGCGCCTTTTTTTTTTGTCAATTTGTTCTGGACTTCTAGCTAGCCATTGTCCTTGGTCAGCTGACCTTACAGCTACATATATTCTTTGAGTGTGGCTTTCATTTCCTAATTCCTCAAGTGAACAGAATATATAGAGTAATAGCTAGTAGCTCTTTCTAATCCTTTCCACTTTATTACCTTATTACCTTTGTCTTTTTGGTCTTTTTCATTGAACACAGTGACCACCATGCTAGCTAGCTCGTCAGTGGGGGCAAAAACAAGTAGCCTCTCTTCTTCATCCAGAATGTCCTGCAGGTAGCCGTTGATTCAGGGAGACATTTGATGTAATGCCACTAACTAATTATTACCACAATAAATTATCATTGCTTGAGTATCGTAATTAACTTCTACTTTGGACATGTGGACACAGCAAAACGTACATAGATACTCTGTCTGCTGAACTACGTACACAGATGGAAGCTTCTAGTATGCGATCATGCTAATTAATCAACTGATCACTTTGCTTTGTGTGAAGAAGGGAGAGTCCATCAGATTATGCAAACTGATGAACTGATGTAATAATCTTCCTCGACCACATGATACATGGTCCGTTTGACATTTTGCAGCTAGCATTGTGATGAATATCATCTCTGAATCTTCAATGGGTTCTTACGCACACGGCACTGATGCAGAGTTAACATAACTAGCTAGCTAGTTCCATCATGCTGGAGAGTGTGTCAGCACTAACGTTTCCTTCTCTGACCGGCTTTCTTTCTTTCTTCTCTGTCAACTAATTTCTCTCTTGCAAGATAGGATTATATCGCGCCGTCAGTTCAGATTTCAGAGGTCAGTCTATCTTCCATTATGCTTCCAAGAGACTCGAATTTCTTTCTCGCAAGTTGAAAATGAAATAAAGGGCGACAAGTTGTCCTGAAGTTAGAATAATGGTCACGGCCTATATGAAGTCTAGTGGTATATCGGTGAAGTCTGAACTCTGAAGACTTTCAGAAGCTACAGGTAATGATGCACATGGAGCCTGAAGATGTTGGAATGTGGCCTGGATAGATGATGGCAATCGTAACTTTGTTTGGATTACGCGATGTGTGGGTTGAGATGACAGTAAAGTAGTGCGATGCGGTGTGGTGCGTTTCAGTGCCCATTCGTTCAGTTTGAAATGATGAGATGAACTGACGACCATAGAGAAACATGAAGGCGTTATGCTTGCTTTCAGTCTCCACTATGCGTTTTTGGCAAAAGGAGAGTTTTTGATTCTATACACCGATACGTTGTTCAATGTGCTAAATTAATCTTTATAATTATGCATTTGTGGAGCGAATTCTTCTGAAGTAGTGAATGAGACGACTCTCCTCTCCACACATTGTGCACATACCTTTGGATGTTTGCTTGTATTGCTAATATAAATTCTGGGACATTCTCAGATCAGTGCAGCTTTCTGAGGAGCCTGACTCGCTGACATAGAGATGGGAGTCCTCAGCGGAGTATTCTCTCTGTCAGGGGAGTTCTCAGATCAGTGTCTTGTTCTTGGGAAGAATTCGCTTCTAGCACAAGCCAATTTGAAAGTCTTTGATGTCTCCTAGGTGCCGCTACTTTCTATGGTTGGTCGCTCTGAATAGGTGCTGGATGGCAGACCATCTTCGGAGCCACGGCCTGTCGCACCCTGATTGTTGTGTTCTCTATGATCAATGCGAGAAGACTATCGATCATCTTTTGGTCGCATGTGCAGAGTCTCATCAGCTGTGGTGGATTGCTCTTAGAGCGATTGGGCATTCAGACTGCTTGCTGATCAATGAATCCTCCTTTCACCTGTGGCTTTGCGACAGCCGGAGAAAGATGATCAAGGAACTCCATCAGGGGTTCGATACCATTGCAACCTTGGTAGCGTGGACAGTTTGGAAGAAAATAAACAATAGAGTCTTTAATCAGCAGAGCAGAACTTGGGCGGAGGTTGTAAGGGCCATGGCAGGCGAATCAGAACTCTGGCGTTTGGCCAAAGCAGTAATTCCTCCATTGATAGTTCCAACGGATGGAGCGGGGTCGCCAAATTTATCTAGAGAATAGGCTTTTGATCTTTGGTTTTCTTTATGTACTCTACCTCCCTGTTGTTTTCTTTTTTCGGTCTGCTTTGTACATAAACTTTATTCCTTCTTAATAAAATGGCACGCTCCTTACGTATTCCAAAAATTAAATTGCTAATATAAATTCAGTCTACATTTCACACGGAACAAAATCTGTCCCTTAATTAAAAGATTGCCTCCATTTCTTCAGGTCAGATGATGCAATCTTTAGATGTGATTTTAAAGTTCGGTTTGAATCAAAATCTCCATGATCTCTCCTAGTATATCTACCTACAGCTACTTCCTCAAGAGTCAAGCCACGACCAGAGATCGTGCATACGTTGATAGCTATATCTGACAGGGTTGAATCTAAGAGGATATAGATATAGATGAAGGTCGAACAGGTGGAGATGGAGGTGTTATCGCAGGATTGGCCGATTGGGTTACTGATGGATGTGACGGCGAGCACAGCCCGGCCCGGCCGGGTCGCCGTCGCCGGTCGTCACAGGTGGTTCAATTCTCCCCTGTCGCCTACTCTCTCCGTGTAAAAAAAAAAAAAAGACAAACCCCTTCCGTGTTCAACATTTGACCGTCCCTCTTATTTAAAAAAATATAAAAAAGTAAAAAGACAAGTCACGCATAAAGTATTAATCATGTTTTATCATCTAATAATAATGAAAATACTAATTATAAAAAAACTCATATAAGACGGACAGTCAAACGTTGGACACAAAAATTTAGGGTTTGTTTTTTTTTTTTTATAGAATGGAGGGAGTACGAGGCGAGGCTACGGATGATGACGCAGCGCGCGTGGCGCAGTGGGAGCGATTGCGGCGGTCACCCGGTGCGCCCCAACGCCCGACACTCGGCGCGTCGCTGAGATAGTATGATCTTGGCGTGTCATCGCCGGGGATCTGCCCTACCTAGCTCGCTTTGCCGATATGGCAAGTGTGGGATGTAACTAATAACTACCCAATTGTTTCCTAGCTAGCAGAAGTTACTGGCTAAATGCAGATAATGTTTTTGTGTTTTGGTTACTTCTAGATGTAAGATATTTTTGTCTGATAAAGTAGTACATGTTCTCTTATTTTCACTGTTTGTCCTAATAAAATATAAAACGTGTTTTTTTTACACAGTGCAGGGAGTAAATAAAGCACAACATATCGAGTTATTTGATTGTTTTTCTGGCCCATCCGTCTCCAGAAAAAAAAATCCCATTTTATAAGAAAGACAACTCGTCCACGTATATATAATCCATTAAGTGATAAAATAAACCTGACCTCTGCATCAACTAAACATATATTCAAAGGAAAAAGAAAGGGAAGAAACATAAGATAATATGAATGTATCACGCCCTGAAACAACGCCTTCAATAAGGATCCAAAGTTTGTTCGCTGATATTGTTCGAACCTACCAGAACAATTGGTATTGAATTTTTATCTAGTGACATATCTAGAATAACGGCTTCAACAAATAATTGACAAACGCTTACATTGTCAAAGCTAGATATATAAACCAGATAAGGGATTGATCACCTCGAAGATTCTTGCCAATGGATCACGATGCAACCTACCGCAAAATACTCCCTCCATCCTAAATATTTAACGCCGTTGATTTTTTTAAACATGTTTGACCATTCGTCTTATTCAAAAAATTTAAGTAATTATTAATTTTTTTCTATCATTTGATTAATTGTTATATATACTTTTATGTATACATATAGTTTTACATATTTCACAAAAGTTTTTGAATAAGACGAATGGTCAAACATATTTAAAAAAGTTAATGACGTCAAACATTTAGAGAAGAAGGAAGTATATAGCAATTGGTCACAACATATGCCCATCGTCTTCTGCCCACCAAAATATAACCAGAGAAGGACCACACTTGTGATCAGTCACAATTGCCAAGCCACCTTGAACCATCCTCGACCGATCTTCTCGATCGCAACGAATGTCATCCCCCGTGTGACTACCTTCGAATGATTGTCATTAGCTTATAGTAGGATTGGAGTTGAGTCATCCATCTAGAGAGGCACCATCCCTTCACTAACCTGTCACAATTGGATATATGCATGAGGCATGTCGTTAATAACTACTCATCCCTTTCATATTATAAGTCTGTCAGAGTTATGAATACCACATATCAAATAGTAGTTGACTAAATTTCGGCAGGACCCACCACATATCATATCTTATATGAAAACAACCTTCGGATATAGAAGGAGTTCCACATAAGGAAAGATAAATAGAGTTCTACATGGAAACGACAAGGATTACTCAGATTGTATCCATATTGGTTTCCCTAGTTCTACTTGGAAAAGGGAACACATATGGGTATAAATACAAGACCCTCTAGGAGGAGAGGGGGACGGAACAATAGATCAAGACACGAAACAATAAATCAACATACAAGCCAACATATGCCAAGACAAGACGCCGGATATCGACTTCAGAGATAAGCATGGCTAGTCCCCTACGGTGTCTATGGATATTGATAGGAGAGACATAGTGTTGTCTTTGATCTTGCCGGATGCGGATTCGAGGAGGAAGGCTACCCTGTTGTCGACTACGAGTCAGCACTTCAGACCGCCAAGTCGACAACAATTAAATAGGCTACCCCAAATATTGTGCTGGCGTGATTATGATGAATAAGAGCAACGACCGGCCTCGGCCAACAGGAGTAGGGTTATTACCTGACAATTCAGGGGTCCGAACCTATATAAAAATCCTCATCCCCATATTTTTTATTACAATCTCGCATATATCCTAGTACCAACGATCCCCATACTATGCAAATACCGGAATCGCGACATCAAACGTCGACAGTGGCGCGCCAGGTAGAAAAATAACAACACTTATAACACCAAATTAGTCTCATTACATCTAACATTGAACATATTTTGACAGTTTTCTTATTATGTGATAAAAATATTACTATGTTTTTCTATAAATTTAGTCAAACCTAATGAAATTTGAACAATATTGTAGATTGTTTGAAGTAGGGAGCAGATCATAGCGGCTAGGCTAAAAAATGCCTTTCTTTCAACAAACTAGATCCACTAACGTCAAGTAGGTGTAGAAAAAAAAAGGCCATATCACGAATAATGCCTGATGCATGTTATTTAAAACGGGAATGCTAGAGGACGGGATATCATCCCCCAACGGAATAGCTCTTCTCCAGAACGCGATTCTTATCCATACACTCACTCGCCGCCGTCGCCGTCCCCCGCCGCTGCCGCGCCCGTCCCCTGTCGCCTTCGCAGCCGCTGCCACCGCCACCGCCGCTGTGCCCGTCCCCCGTCGACGCCGCCACCGCCGCCGCGCCCATCCCCCACCGCCGCGGCGTCCGTCCCCCATCGACGCCGCCGCTGCCGCCGTGCCCATCCCCTATCGCCGCCGCACCCGTCCCCCGCTACCGCCGCCGTCGCCGCGCCCGTCCTCTGCCGCCGTTGTCGCCATCCTCGTTTGCAGGGGGCGACCGCGCGTGTCGGGGTGCTCCTCCCCCAACGGGATGCCCAGCTATATCCAGTAGGAATCACCTGATACCTGGTAGGTATCATCCGTTACCTTGCAAGTATCATGTGATACATGGTAGAAATCATCTGATACCTCGCGAGTATCACGCGATACGTGGTAGAAATCGTCTGATAAATGACAGGTATACCTCGTGAGTATCACGTGATACGTGGTTGAAATCATCTGATACCTAACAGGTTTCACATGATATCGAGATCATCTTGTTGTGTAGAATCGTCTGATACCTGATAGGTATCACACCTGATACCTACTCGAGATCAACCCGTTCGAAAACGGGATTCCGTTATATAGCAGCCCCCTATTTAAAAAGGAGAGAATTATGCACACAAATGTAAAACGAATTGTGTTTAGAGTCAACGGGAGTGATTATAACCTTTGCTCATTTTCTTTTGGCTAAGTAGTAGGACCTGTAAAAAGTACTCGTAACAAAAGCTGTAACGCGTGTCACCTAGCGTTGGGTAGAAAGTTGCAAACTTGCAAATGCACTGAGACGTTGTCGATGAGCAAAGGATCCGAATATTCGATCACTGCGCGATATGTGTAAAGAGCCAAAGATCAAATTAAGAGTAGCACTTCATAGTTCAGGTAATGGAATCCAAGTCCTTTCCTAAAGTTTCTCATTGCAATTTGAAAAGCAGAGGAGTGGCAAATGCAGTGGTAGTAGTACATGCCAAATAAACTGGATAAGGCAATATCGCCGAAGTGAACAAACACAAACAAAACTAACTACCAAAAAAAATCAAAATAAAAAAAACAAATGTTAATATTGGAGGAGAGAGAGAGGGGGGAAAATACTGCCCAAAAATGGGGAAGCGAAAACGAGGAGTTCGCGGCTCATTTGCTAAAAAAAGATGCCAACATCCTCACCGCCTCCTACGATTTCCTCGCCTCGGCGCCCCAATTCAATCCTCGGCTCCGCCTCGTCTCCGCATTCGCAGCTTGGCGGCCATGAATCGATGATCCGCACCGCACCGCGCCGCCGCGCGCGCGGAGGAGGGCGATCCGGGCGGCCCCGCTTTGGGGACGGGGGGTGATTCGGTGTCCGTTTGGGCGCGAATAGGTTTGGGGAATTGAGAGAGGGAGGGCGAGATGTCGACGGAGCTCGATCGTCGCGGCTCATCGGATCGGCTCCGCGAGCGGGTCAAGTTCAGGTTCTCCGGCTTCCGCGCCGTTCAGGTCAAATGTTTTTTTCTCTTTTCTTTTTTTTCCGCATTGAGCAGCGCTGCATTGTTGAGCGATTCGTAGGAGATCAGTCTATCCGGGGAATAGCGATGAATGTACGACCCTATGTCGTGGTCTGTTGCGAGATTGAGCATTTTACTATCGATAATGGTCAATTGTTGTGTGAAATTTACTAGAAAAAAATCAATGTTGTGACTGGTGCTAATGCGTTGAACAGTTTTATTACAACACGCATTGCTTGTAAGTAAAAGAAATGTATATGGAATACTTTCCCTCCTTAGCCATGCTGTTTTGTTTTGATTCGGCAAGAGAATGCGACGATATTTGTTTTAGATGAAAGGTCAGTGTAATGATGATCGTGGAAAGTTGGGATGGACCTTTAATCTGATTATGCATCATGGGGTGTTCTCAAGAAAATATGTATCGCGAGGTTGTGGGAGGTTAAATTAGTACGATGTGGGAGGCAAGTTACTTTATGAGCATTTTTTGCAGGCTCCAAATATGTAAGGTCATCTTTGGTAAGTGGTGACAATTCTTTTCTCAAATATGATATTCCTAATGTAACTATGATAGTTTGAATAGAAAAGGGACATCCAGGTTTCAACATTTCTGCTAAGTTCATGTAACTATTTTTCTAGTAGCAATTTCATCGAGTGTGACTTGGTGTGCACAACAATGAGTGTACTTGAGTACCGGTGCAAAATGGAAGACATATGTTTCTTTCCCGATGACATTTCTTATTCCCGATTTGTCAGCAGGTTCCAGTAGTATCAGACAGGCTGATGCTTTCAATAGTTGCAGTGGACACTGGAAAAACAATTGCCAAGTCCACTAAAGCCGCTGCACTTAGTGGAGCCTGTCAATGGCCTGATTCCATCCTGGAATCAATTTGGTTTTCCCAAGATCAAGTGTCTGAAGAATTTCAGGAGTGTCAGTGCAGGTTTGTTGTTTCCATGGTATGGCTATTGTTCGCATGAACTTGCCTTCCCGATTTGCATTTATGCACTGTACTGTTGTTTTACTAATAACAAATCTTATGTTATAGGGATCAACAAACAGTGGTATCCTCGGGGAAGTTTTCCTAAATCTGACTAACTATCTTAGTTCATTAGAATCTACTGCTATCTCTTTGCCACTGAAGAGATGCGATTCTGGAACAATTCTACAGGTAGATTTTAGTTAACCATACTTGTTTTCTTCTAGATATTTCTAATTACATCTTTCCCCATATGATTATTTTGTTTTATTCCTAGTAGTAACATAATGCCAGCTCATTTGGATTTTCCCAAAAGAGAAGTTTTTCACATGATCCTCTCTTTCAGATATGCTTTTTAGTCCATCTAACTGTAATTCAAACTAAACCATGTGAAGTTCCCTACAGTTGATAGTTCTCTAATAAAGCTCCTTTCATGTTCTGTACTTCTGTTTGTTGACCTAGCATATAAGCTATTTGGTTGTTGGATTTTCAAAAATGGGACTGCTATTGGGCAGTCGTGTATGTGTTGTACATACCTGTGAGTTTTCTTCTTTTGTTTCTAACAAGAAAGTTGCAATGCAAAACATTTTGGCTTTTGAGATGCTCACTTCATGTGCTAGCTGACTGGTATGAACCACCTATTGTTATATGAGATGCCACAAGTTCTACTGCCATCGGGGTGCTGGGTTTGAGGGACTTTCTAATGGCAGCTTATATACTATATTTCGTTTCTTGCTTGAATCACCCACCCACAACCAACCCCCCAAAAGGTGGTTGACAAGTAATTTTCCCCATGTGTACCACTTATGATGATCTCCAATGTTTCTCATGTGCAGCTTAACATTCAATGTCTTGGAGCAAAGTCTAAAACAAGGTAACTGAATCTCTTTTATATTCTTTTAGGGGATGTTAGTAATGCCTTTTATTACTCCAGTTGATTCAGCAAACATCTGTATCTTAGGTCTTTAGTGGTCACTAAGTTGATAGCCTTAACTGTCACTATTTCTTGTTTATTGACAGCTCATAAAACTTGTTTTTCTGTTTCATCTTGGCATTATATGGCAATGTGAAATAATGGAATGAACTATCTCCTCGTTTTGATGATTGTAGTCGAACCAATGATGATACAGAGTGCACATCAGATGGCTTTGACAGCATGCTGAATAGGACTACTCATTCTTTGTCAGGAAATGACTTAGGTGGTTCTTATCAAGATGAAGCTGGAAATAGGGTATAATTCCCTTACTCAAAACTCATTAATGCCAATTCTTTTTAAGCAATATTATGTTGGGGGACAACTAAAGCTTACATGTTTTGTGTGAGTTAGTCCAGATATACTAGAAACTAGAAGAGCCACAAAATGTAGTGATAATGTTTGGATGAGACTCTACATAGCACAGATTGCAGGAGCTCCCGGTGTGGTGCTCAACAGCCCGCATTTGATTCTCTCCAAAGTCCAAACTAAGTCTTTATACACCAAATCAATACCCTTCTTAAAAAAGCCATCGACACTAAGTCCCTCCTTAATGTCCCACTTTTTATACACTGTTTAGATGCCCTAAAAATATATTATTTTTTTGCTTGAACAGTCATATCCATTGATGAGCAGCAGGTTTGACCAAAATAGTTTTTTTTTATAAGCTGAAAATAAGAGCTAGTCTTGTTATAGCTAATATGCTGCTCTTTATCTGTCCCATCTTCGAATGCGGATAGAAAGGATCTATTACAAAATTTGCATCCATAATCTTCTTACATCTTACATTTTCAAAGCACACTTTCATTAGACTTAGTGATAGCTTCGATTGTCAGCTATCTTGTTATTGGATTTCAGTGCCTGCCTGCCGCTATGCTTTCCATATTATCTTTATAATGTAACTACTTCCGTATGTTCAAAAGAGCCTATTGTGTTTTGTACTCTTCTTTCTTACGTACTATGTGTAAATGGCTAAATGTGGACTGCATACATGATTTCAGGATGCAAGTTTGTCAGCATCAAGGTCTTATTCTGGAGATAGTACCACTGATAGAACAAACATGCCTCCTAGTGACAACTTGAATGATGAATTGAATACGCAGAGGCATAATTTTGCTAGTCCAGATGCCATCCATGTTAGTGCAGATCATGTTGACGAGGCCAGTAGATCAAACAATTCATCATTCAGTTCTCAAACTCCATCTCGAAACATGCTGCAGGGTAATAATGCACAACCATCTGCAAGTGATCTTTCTCAGTTATCATCAGGGGTATCTCATGCATCCAAAGATGTCCTTGAAAATGCTGAAGAGACAATTGATGAACTACGTGGTGAGGCAAAAATGTGGCAGAGGAAAACTCGCAAACTCAAACAAGGTCTAGAGACATTGAAGAAAGTAAGTACTGACAAATCTAAGCAACGTTCTGAGCAAGATCTGGAAAAAATGTGGCAGAGAAAAACTCGCAAACTGAAACAAGGTCTAGAGACATTGAAGAAAGAATGTGCTGACAAATCTAAGCAACAGTCTGAGCTAGAGCTGGAACTTTCTATTTCAATTTCTGAGCGAGATTCCCTAAGGCAAGAAATTGAAGAACTGAAACGTTCTTTGGAAGAGGTAACTGCACGCCAAACTATTTCACGAAGTCCCAGATCTGGGGATGCGATTGAGCTCCAGAAAGAAGTGGAAGATGATGTGCAGTTTCTGAAAGAATCGAATGCAAGCTTAGCAACCCAACTGAATAAGGCCCAAGAGGCCAACATAGAGCTTGTTTCTATCCTTCAAGAATTGGAAGAAACAATAGAAGTTCAGAGAGCGGAGATTTCTAACCTTTCTCATACAAGTGATTTGATAGATCATGAGGTCTCCCCAAATAATCTGTTAATTCAAGAAGATGTGGAATGGGCTAGAAAAGTGTCACTAAAAGAAGATGAAATTCTGATGTTGAGGGAAAAAATAGATCGTATGCTTCATGTAGAAAATCCAAACGGTGAAGGTTCTGGTGCTATTTATCTTGAATTGGAAAAGGAAAATGATTTCTTGAAGGTCAAAATACAAGAACTCGAGAAGGACTGTTCTGAATTAACTGATGAAAATCTGGAGCTTATATACAAGTTGAAAGAAGTAAGTGAAGTAGCCAAAGGAGAGGATCCTTCTGTTCCTAACAGTGAGGAAGTGTCCAGTGAGGGTGATCTTTCTGACAGATTGACATCTAAGGTAAAATATCTAGAGACAAAATGTGCTGATCTTGAGTTGAAGTTGATTAGTTTTAGGTCTGAGTCGAGTGAACTAGAAGAAAAGCTCCAAAAAAGCCAAGAGGAGCTAAAAGACAGAATTCTTGAACTATCTGATCTGAGAGATAAGCTTAGTGGTTTTCACGCCTTGGAGATGGAGGAAGGAGACACTGATAGTGCAAAATCTTACAAATTGAAAAGTGAAAAACTCGATGAAAATGATAACAAAACCGAATTAGATGCTCTGAGGAGTACAGTTCTACTAAAAGAACAGGAAATAGAGAGCTTGCAGCATTCTAAAAAGGAAATGGAGAGCTTCATATCTGAAATTATGAACGAGAAGAATAAATTGGAGGAACTTTTAGAAGAATCACTTAAAGAATGTAGCATCACTGCAGCTTGCTTGGATGAAATGCGAGAAGAACTCCTCCTTCTCACCAGCAGCATAGATTCCCATGTTTCCACCAACAACGTTCTCGAAACAAAGATTACGGAGCTTGAAAGCTGCAAAGTTAATCTAGAGTTGCATATATCAAAGCTGGAACATGAAAATGTAGAGCTGTCAGAGTTCATATCTGGACTAGAGTCTCAGTTGACCTATCTGGCAAATGAAAAGGAGTTAAGCATGCTACAAATGGATGAGTCTAGATCACTTATCACAAACCTTAAAGATGAACTAGAACAAGTGGAAGCTCAAAAGGTGGAACTGAAGCTACAAATGGATGAGTCTAGATCACTTATCACAAACCTTAAAGACGAACTAGAACAAGTGGAAGCTCAAAAGGTGGAACTGAAGCTACAAATGGATGAGTCTAGATCACTTATCACAAACCTTAAAGATGAACTAGAACAAGTGGAAGCTCAAAAGGTGGAATTGAAGGAAAACCAGCTAGAATCACACAGAAGGTTGTCAGAAGTACAAGAGGATTCAGAGGCCCTAAGAAGGTCAAATGCAAAACTGCAGGCTACAGTTGATCATGTTGTTGAAGAATGCAAATCTCTGCAGACTCTGACAGCTGATCTAAAGAAGCAGAAGCTGGAAGTGCATGGGTATGCTTCACATCTGGAGCAGGAATTGGAGCAGTCAAAAAGAAAGACCATGGATTTCTGCAAAACGTTGGAGTCCCTAGAGGCAAAACTTTCTTCACTTCAGGAAGACATATCTTTGAAAGAGCAATCGTTGCTTTCAGAGCTGGAGAATATATTCCAAGAGCACAAGGAGCATGAAGAAAGGATAGATCGTGTACATTTACTTTTAAACAAGATTGAGAAAGAAAAGACTGTTGAATTAAGCAATCTTGAGAGGGAGGTTATTAGTCTTACTGCACAGTTATCTTCAACAGAAGAGGAGCGAGAAAGTTCCACATTGGATACCATCCGTGAGGTTTCCATCCTTCGAGCAGACAAGGCTAAACTTGAGGCTAATCTTGAAGATGTCAATGCACAGATGATACATTACGAGTCTCAATTGGAAGATCTGCGGGAGTCTAAAACCAAGATTAAAGACCTAGTTGACTCACTTAATGCATCCAAACAGAATGAGGAAATGCTCACTACAGATGTTGACAATATGAGAAGATCGATAGAAGCTGCTAGATCCAATGAAGATAACTTAAGGAAAACTTTGTGTGAACTAGAATTGAAATCCAAATCCAGTGATTATGAGAAACAGCAGATAATTGAAGAAATTTCTGTACTGAAAATCCAGGTCCACAAAATAGCAGGCCTCCAAGATGAAGTTCTTACATTACAAAGTTCTCTTGATGAAGCTAAGTTTGAGAAAGGGAAGTTGGAAGGGCTGATTCAATCATTGTCTGAAGAATGTGAAGAACTAAAGGCACAAAAGGGGATGTTAACAGACAAGGTCTCATGTATGCAGGACACTTTGAATGCTGCCAATGAAGGAAAACAAATTGAAATCTCTGCACAAACAAAGCTTGTGATGCTAGGAGATGAACCACCAGTTAAGGAAACATCAGATGTACTTGAAGCTGAGCTAAAAAGTGAACTAAGTATTATCAGGGGAGCTAACAGTGAATACCAACAAAAAATATATTCTCTTCAAGAGGAAAATGAGGATCTCACAAGGAGAAATCAGCTTATGGAGAAGGAGCTTGACCTGAAGACAAGCCAAAACAAAGATGAAAATACCAATAAACAGGTGAGCCTCCAAGATGAAGTTCTTATGTTACAAAGTTCTCTTGATGAAGCTAAGTTTGAAAACGGGAAGTTGGAAGGGCTACTTCAATCATTATCTGAAGAATGTGAAGAACTAAAGGCACAAAAGGGGATGTTAACAGACAAGGTCTCATGTATGCAGGACACTTTGAATGCTGCCAATGAAGGAAAACAAATTGAAATCTCTGCACAAACAAAGCTTGTGATGCTAGGAGATGAACCACCAGTTAAGGAAACATCAGATGTACTTGAAGCTGAGCTAAAAAGTGAACTAAGTATTATCAGGGGAGCTAACAGTGAATACCAACAAAAAATACATTCTCTTCAAAAGGAAAATGAGGATCTCACAAGGAGAAATCAGCTTATGGAGAAGGAGCTTGACCTGAAGACAAGCCAAAACAAAGATGAAAATACCAATAAACAGGTGAGCCATTTAAATATAATCAACTGTGGAAATCTCTATGCCTGTAGAGAACCAGTTTTAAAACAGGGTAAAGTACATCAAATGTGATAAACTCAATCAGCTGTTTTCTTATTGTTTTAGGGTAATGATGCTAATGAAAATGGAGATTCTCCAGTTAATGAGGTCCCAGAGCTTCAGTCAAAGATCCAATTACTGGAAACTAGGCTTGCTGAGGCACTGGAGGAAAATAAATTGTATAGAGGACAACTGAAGAGGTACAGTGATTCATCATATCTACACGCCTTGTCCTTCTGACAATTTTTACTAGCAAAATGCGTTGTCCACCAGATATCATTTGCTATCCCTTGCATACCAAAGTCCTGTTTAGGCCCCAGGTTCTGACTCATCAGAGCTATGGGCTGTCGTCCTTAATAATAACAGCAATGATACTTTATGGAGTAGTATGTGTCATACAAACTAAGGACTATGTCAACAAATAGTTTTTGGATCTGAAGTCAGTATGGATCAGTAAACACTGGCGGATAAGTCATATCTAAATCTTTGGCTAGAATAAATAAAGAAGTACTGTCGAGAAGATAAACTAATTAGTGCTAAGCAACAGCTCTAAAGAAATTGAAGCTTTACTCTTGTGAAAAAAGAAGATACATTTTTCTCAGCATCATGATTTAACAAGTCCATGTATGAACTTGAAACATAACCTTTATGATCCGTAAGCATAGCTGAAACAATGTGTGTAGCTATATTTTTTAGAAGACCAGAAGAACTCTCTCCGTTCCATTAAGGTTGTGTGCAACAATATATGCAATTATATTCTTTAGAAGTGGGGGCAGGATTACTCCCTCCATTCCATTAAGGTTGTGTGCAACTATATGTGTACAACATCACATGAGCAAAATTACACGTGAACTATACGTGCTTTTTTTTTTTGGTTTCATGATGATTCATAATCTGGCTCATGTGTTATTATACTTGCTGTAAGTATCTTTTCGAGTTCAGGCAATATAGAACATAGCCATGACATGCTGTAGAATTGAATTGTGAGCACGTGCTGAAATGATAGTACTTATTGTTGACCACGAATGACCATCCAATCCGTGAAGATCTTTTTGGGGGACTAATTCTAATGCCTAATTACTCCTGTATTGTTCTACCCCTAGTAACAAATTCTTATAGCTCACCAAAATGAATTATTTTAATTGATTCTTAAGAACAACAGATGGAGATTTCGTAATAAGCTGAGAGCTGCTTCAATCTTTTACAGAAACTCTTGTTTGTTGTAATCTTGTTTTCAATCTGCTATGCACAGACTTGATTTAATAAGATTATGGCTTTGTGCATCTTTTGATGCAGAGCCTGTGAGATTTTCTTCTATATCTAAATAATATCTCACCAAAATGTTTCAATGACCCGATTAGTGATATTGCGACCTTCCAAAGGATCATTTTCTCTTTTTCTTTATCATCTACAGTCCAATGCCAGAGGGGAAATCTGCTAGTAAGGATGGCAAAGAGAATGATGATGACAAGATATCACAACTAGAGTCAGAGCTGAAAGATATGCAAGAACGGTTACTCAACGTGAGCTTGCAGTATGCAGAAGTAGAGGCGCAGCGTGAAGAATTAGTAATGGAGCTCAAAACAGCAAATGCAAAAAAGGGACGGTGGTTCTAGTGAGATAGGGAACTACTGCGTGCCATAATCGTAAGGCCCACACAGTACAGGTACTCCATGTATTCTCTAGCTTCTCACTTCTCAGAAATCTGAATATGTGCAATTACAATTTGGAAAGATAGCATTAACATGAATGTTCAATGTAAGTTTATGACTGATGAATATTTTCCACCATTTAACATGTACCTTATATTGTGCTATCAAACATATCTCAGCAGATGCAGTATTTGAAGGATAGCATCAATGTGGGTGCATGATACAGTGTTGATACAATTTAAACATAATTTTGCAAAGATGTATTATGCATCACCTAAAATGAGCCAAGTCATTATCAGGATTTGCAGGCCGGCTTACAACTTATTCATGAACTGTATGTCTGTACATGAGGAAGTTACCCCTACAAATTACTCTTGTAGCATAGCACTATGAATATATGGACCCATAATTTAGTGATTCATCCCATATTATTATGTTGACCTTGGAAAGCTAGTAGATTTTCTCAAATAATTCGTAGCCATAGATTTACACCATTAATCAGCTCAACAATATCATGAATGCTGGTGGTAAGGAAATCCCTTGTCCATGCAGGAAACACTGTTAATTCTGTACTTATCCACCCAAATAGGTGAGTACTGCAAGACAGTATTATGTGACCCTGTCCATTTAACAACACGGTTGTGTAATTTTCAGGAAGAATGAAATCAATTTGGCGGCTACAAATTGCAAGAAGCTGAATAATTGCAAGCAAGTGCAGAACTAAATGATGTCCCCTGACTGTACTAAAGGCTCTACCCCAAAGAGTAGAGGACTGTAAATTTGGCTGAGGCCCTGGTGAACAGTGGAGATTCTCACTGCAAGGTTAAGAAATAACTCATTTTTGACCAATCACTGTAAGTTAGAGTAAAATTATTGGTTCATATGACCACTGGAATCACCCTGGCCTTTATGCAGGTCCAACCTAATATCCTAATTGTTGATAAGTGTAGCTTTTTTTTGGGTGAATTATGTGTAAGAAGTAGGTAGCATATAGTTCATCTCACTCTACACTTTGTAGGCTATTGTTTTTTTCACGTATATATACACACTCGATTCTTTGTTCCAGCAATTACTGATCTTCTGGCCAAGGATATAGCGACTGAATAAAAGCTACCAATTTTCTTGTTCTTGTGCTCAAGTAAAGCATGGTTCATCCGTTATTGGAGAGCATGAATAATCAGTCTCATGTGCGCCTGGGTTTTTTCTAAACCGTTGTTTAAACGCAGGAATTTTACATGAATATAGTATGAAGTTTACATATAATATCTAGTTCCTGCAAGAATTTTACCTCTCATGGTAATTTTAGACAAAGCAGTTCAATCATTGTATAGCCCAAACTACGATTTTTATTATTGTTATCATCATTTGTGATGCCAAACAACGACAGTTGTGGATGTTGCCATGTTGAGAACATCGCAATCTGCAGAAGGAATCGAATGCTCTGTATTTGCCTGGACTGGATGTCACCTGGTTTGCTTGCAGAAAATATCGACCGTGCTGGGAGAAAAGGATTGTCTTTTGTCTTTGGTTTATTATGCTAGTACTAGTACTATTTCTCAATTTTGTCAGTGATGGCCGTGACGGCGATCGTTGTCGCCTGGCCCTTCTTGGCATTGTGCATTCCTGCTCCTGTCAACGGCTGACCATGTGGTGCCTGATCCATTTGAAGTACAAAGGATGTGGGAATTTGTCATTCGTGCAAATATGTAGCAGTAATGAACACAAATTGAGTTTGTTGGTTAGAATTCTGAAAGTCTGCCTCAATTTCAATATACATTTGATGACATTTAACGGTTGTATGGACCTTAAATGCACATGGATGTTTTGCCTCCTTTTGCATATCAACATTGAACAGCAACATGACGAGCAAGGTAGGGAACGGTGGTTTGTTGGTAGGTCGTGTCATCGTGCCTAGTACGCTAAACTCCAGCCTCCAGGCTGTAGGTAGGCTCATTTAAGCAACCGAAACAATTTGTGGGTAAAACTTACTCTAAAATTATGTTTCAAAATTTGAATTTTGGCTACAGCTGATAAGCCAATAATCAGATGATAAAAGCCTTGATACTTTGCCCACTGCTACATTTTGCAATGAAATAGTGGAGCCTCTAGCATTGATCTTGCAAAAGCTTGACGTTTAACAGATGGTGGTTATAATACACAAATCATTTTTGACGGAGACAGGAAATACATGAAACTGAAGATGAATCGGTCGTGTAAGTGACGAAAGATGAAATAAGATGGCTCAAATTGGGTTTGCTTCCTTTTTTTTGCGAACGCGCAAAAGAATTGCACGTCAATATATTATCAGGAAAAGAGTTTTTGTTGCACAAAGCAATCAGCCAGACTGGCTTATGCCTAAAGGGGGTGGGGAACTTGAAGCTAGGAACTACTACGACGGTTAAAAACGCAACTCCAAATAGCGGGACGGGGCAGAGCCACGCTACACTCCCAAGAAATCCCAAAAAAAGTAACGCCGGCTAAAGACCACAGCTGGCCCTCCGAGCGGATGGACTCCAGAACCACTGCGATCAAAGCGAGCGCGGAGTTGAAAATCCTGGAGTTCCGTTCCTTCCACAGCTGCCAGGAGACTAGGAGTACCAAGGAGTCGAAGCCGCTGCGGAGGTGCTCAGGTAAACATACCCTGGAGGATGACCACCAATCCTAGAGCCAGCTGCCACGAGGGGGAGAGAGGGCAGCCCAGAAATTGGGTTTGCTTCCATTGGAGCTGTCACTGTCCACCATCTTGAATATTTTGCAAATGACAAATTGGCAAATCCTATAACTGGACTTGTGATGTTATGGAAATGTAGTAATCCAATCAACCACCAAACCCTCTATCCAATTAACTTGACAATTTGATTATATTATAATCTGGAGGGGCAGGTGGGGAAGAAGGCAATGATTCTTGCCCCCTTTTGCCACCAGAGGAGGAGACTTCTTTCTCAATTTCAGGTTTGCTGTCTCTAACTGCATATTTGTGTCATATATATAGACAAATCCTAATGATGATGTACTTGGGAATAATACTTAGCTGGACTTATAATTTCTCCAGCTAAAGTTGGTGGTTGATTATATTCCCCCAGCTTGATTACAACGAAGTTTTAAATTTGATCCCTTTTTCTGATGCTTCCCTCTAATTTTGCCTCTTAACCTACCATGCTGGAATTAACAACGTGCAAGGCGTGTTTTAGAGAAATGAAATAACAAGATGCCTCGCAACCATTTCTTGATCAAAGAGCCAAGTTGTTCTTGCTGCAGAATTTTGATTATAAGGAGCATTTGGATATATTTCAAAACGAATTTACACAAACCAGCACAAAAATGCTGCAAAAACATGGGGTAATTTTAATCCCTTCTATCTCTCTAATGTCAGTGTGCCACACCAAAGCTACAAACCGAACTCACCTAGTGAAGTTAGCTGCACCTGCACAACCCAGGGATGCGTGCGTCATCATGACGTCATCAACCCCTCGCCTCCCCCGCCATCGCTCGCCGGCGCGCGCCTCGCCGCCGCCTCCTCTTCCCTCTGTTCTTCTCGTATCGCCTCGATCATCGCAACCACGCGCTCCAGGACGACCTCCTGGTCGTCGTCGTCGTCGTCGACCACCACCGCCGTGTCCCTCGCGCGGTCGGCGTAGTAGCAGACGACGGCGCAGCGGCAGACGGGGCAGGAGTTCCGCACGGCGAGCCACTGGTCGATGCAGGCGGCGTGGAACACGTGGCCGCACGCGGGGACGACCTTGACGCCGTCGTCGCCGGCGAAGGCCTCGAGGCAGACGGGGCAGTCCTCGACGAGCGGCCCCTTCTTGGCGCCCGCGGCGGCGGCGGCGGCGGAGTAGGGGAGGACGGGCAGCGCGGCGGCGGCGGCGGCGGGGCGGAGGAGGAGGACGCCCGGGACGCGCTCCCGGATCTCGCGCATGACGCGGCTGCGCGCGCCGGCGATGGCGCGCTGCCTGGCGCAGCGGCAGTAGGTGCAGAGCAGGATGAAGCAGAGGACGATGGAGACGAATACCACGGCGGTGGCCGCGCCCGACGAGAGGTTGAACTGGGGCCGCCCGCCGGACGCTGGGCCGACCGCCGGCGTGGCCGGCTGCACGTCGGCGGCGGCCAGGCGCCTCGCGCGCGGCGCCGTGGCCATGCTCTGGCCGCCCTGTGTGCGCGACGCCGACGCGCTCTGGGTGCAGCTTCCTGCGGGCGTTTGGGCTTTGGGAATGCGAGGAGGCGGAGGAGAGTTTTTATCTTGGGTATAGGTGGCATTTGCGCAGTTGATAGCCTCGTTTTGCTTGTGGCATTTGCTAACCATGCAAATTTGAATTGAAGCAAAATTCTAATAATTTCTTTTTAGATAATGAAACTTATCTTGGCCTCTATTTTAAAGAAGTTATAGCGATATATTTTTCTTAGATAATGAAACTTATTCCGACTTTTGTTTCAAAGAAGTTATACCCAGTTATCACAAAAGTTACAGGACGAATGAATGCGGAATATATATTCACGGCTTGATTACAACGACAAAACTACTGAAGAGACTATTTCTCGTAAAAATATTGTTTCATATTCGGAAAAGTTCCATATTATATCGCTCAATAATGATCTTGGTCTAGTTTTCGTCTTAACGTGAAAATCGTCTCAATTTGATGATTTGTCACTCACTACGGAGATTTGATGATCTGTCATTCTGATTTTGATGTCGTTCACTCGAGGATCCTACGTGTTATTGTCAGGGGATGGCATGTAGTAGTAGCAAAGAGACACGAATCATCAAATTTGACTTTCTAACTTGTTAACGGAAGATCAAACGGCAAGTTTTGCAACTTATCAAGGCATTGTAGATACTATTGGAGGTAGTGACATGACTTGCATGAAGAAGTTTACGTTACCAGCTGGCCATAAGTCAATTGGTATGAAATTCAACGTAGGATACTGTTGTAGGGTAGACAAGAAAATACTAAAATAATTACATGTGTAATTTATTTTCCAAATTTCCAAATCTTTTTAACCAATGTCGGTGTGCATGAGTTTGTCGACAAATCCAACTCGTTTGTAGCTTTGCTGCTTGGTTTTCGACTATACGTCTACTATCCAGGATCTAATAATTGACTTTGTATTACGAATTGTGATGCCAGTTCACGTGTTGAATATTAACTTGTACTGATTTGAAATAAAATTGAAATATCTTGTGATAAATACTAGCATATAGCCGGTTAGTAGCGAATTAGTGTCTAGTTAGCGGATTGCGGATAGCGGGCACTAAATTCCAATAGCGGATTTTTTTCAAATAACTATAAATTTACATTGTACATCAAGTTTAACTAAAAATTTATAATTTATACTGAAGCGCTATAGCGAGATGCTATTGCAGTGGTGAAACGTTGTAACAGCCTCTAAGTTCGAACACGCTATCTTCGATCTGCTCTCTTGTAGCGGTAGCGGCAAAGGTGAAGCATCTAGGCCCCCATTGTTAATTTTGGTAATTAATGACAAGCACTAATTGTGGATTAACTATTGTCTTTGAGCTATATATTTTAAGTTAGGACCAAGTCATATGTGCGCATGGATGATTATCAATGGATTAAAATTGACGGCGCAAAGCAAAGAGAAAGAAGACGGTAAAACTAGTGCTTTAATTTAGAATTGATCGAGGTGTAGGGCGATCAAATTTGCTAGTTTATTTGTTAGTTTCGCCGTACTATCAAGGGGGGTAATGACCTAGCAAAGAGATGATTAAATTGCCACATTAGGTCATTGCATTTTCACTTTGCTATCTTTTTCATCACACACACACAATCATTTGCCCTTTCACTGGGCTCGGCCTGACCAAGGGCGGTCAGACCGGCCACATTGTGGCGGTCTGACCGGCGCCACAACGGCGGTCTGACCGGCGCATAAGGCCGATCTGACCGGCGGCACATGCGCGGTCAGACCGGCCCCCTGGAGGCCGGGATGGTGCTGCTCGGAGTGGCCGATACAAAGCCGACGGAGCCGTATTCGGTCAGACCGAGCCGATGGCGGTCAGACCGGCCTCGGCTCGGTCTGACCGCCCACTCAACGCCAGTCTAACCGGCCAGGCCGATGGGGCCCTCTGACAGCGCTAGCCGTTGTAGAGTAGCACGGTCTGGCCGGCCGCATACCCCCGGTCAGACCGGCAGAACACAAAGTTGGAGGATTTCGCCCCCAACGGCTAGTTTTGGTTGGTGGGAGTATAAATACTCCCCCTCCAGCAGCAAAGGGGCTCTCTTGGCACCCAATTCAATTGCATACACCCCTTGCACCTCTCTCACACCCACTTGAGCTTTGTGTTCATCCATCTAGTGTGTTAGAGGTTTGATCTAGCCAAGAGTCAAGTGCATTGCTTCCATTGTAGAGCTAGTGTGGCACTTGATTGATCATCTCCATGCCGGGTCATTGCTTATTACTCTTGGAAGTTGCCGCCTTCTAGACGGCTTGTGGAGGAGTTGCCCGGTGACCTCTCTGAGAAGATTGTGGAGGAGGCCCGGCGCCGGTTTGTGAGTGGTTTGGAGTTCACCACCTTCGGAGTGAAGGAAGAACTACCCTAGTGATCGAGGCTTGGGTAGTCCTCTCCGTGGGCCGGCTCCCGCCTTGCCCACCCCTTGACGAAGGGGGCGTGCGGTAGCTTCGTGGTTGAGTGGTGGAGTTGGGCTCGCCTCAACAGGAAGTAGGAAACCGGCGAGTTTCCGAACCTCGGTGAAAAATCTCTTGTCTCCTAGTCTCATTTGATTGTCGCATTTATATTTGTGCAATTTACATTTCTAGAGACAAACTTGAGATCATATCACCCTAGGATTGCTAAACATTGACATAGGAGTGTGATTTACTTTCCTAGAGATATAATTGAGCCACTATCACCCTAGGTTTGCAAAACATAACTTAGTTGCTTAGTTCTTAGTTAGAGTTGACCCTCACCAAGCCTAGCAACTTAGGTTAGTTTTGATTAGGTGTCATTTAGTTTTAAATCGCCTATTCACCCCCCCCCCCTCTAGTTGACATCTCGATCCTACAAAAGGCCGCTAACGCTATTTATTAGCTTGCTTGTAAATCTTGGCATAGCTATCACCAGGGTTTACATTATCGGTTGACCACTAAATTTCGAGCTCCATCGGTATCACGGTTTTCGATAAATTTCGACTGAATTTTGACCAATGCCGTGTTTAGTTGTTTAGGTGTAAAAATTTTGAAGTATACGGACACACATTTGAAGTATTAAATGTAGACTAATAACAAAACAAATTACAGATTCCGCCCGTAAACTGCAAGACGAATCTATTAAGCCTAATTAATTCGTCATTAGCAAATGTTTACTATAGCACCACATTGTCAAATCATGGCGTAATTAGGCTCAAAAGATTCATCTCGCAATTTACATGTAAATTGTGCAATTGGTTTTTTGTCCACATTTAATGCTACATGTATGTGTCCAAACATTTGATGTGACAGAATTTTTGGAAGTTTGAAGGAAACTAAACACAACCCAAATCTACTATTTAACATTCGAAATTACAATCGAAACTTAATACCGAGCCATGTTGAAACATCGAAAATTCGTAGAATTCGACTGGTTTTGGTCGGGATTGTAAACCCTGGCTATCACTTTATCAACCAAAAAACTAGGGCATCAGCCTTCACTCGCGTTCTCTGTGGGCCCAAGCAATGGAGAGCCATGGGTGTGCGACTGCCACTGGGCCCAGGTAGCACTGTCAACAGCGGCGTGCCTTTATCCACCTCTGACCTCTGCAATGGAATGAAACGTTGCCACCCCACCTACAAATCAAAAACGCGAAGGCGATGGATATATACACAAGCTTTGCTGCATTGGTTCTAGTTAGAACAAAGAACAAAAAGAAGAAAAAAAAGGAGGTAGAAACACTGACATACACATCAGCTTCCATGTCAAGTTTTTGTATTTTGATGTAAAAAATCCATCGTTCGAATGCGACGTGGTTCTTTTCCTCCTCCTTTTTTCGATGATGTGTTCACAAGCTGGACAAGGACTTTACACGGCCGCACGCACACCTGAATGAGACGTTCAAATTTATTTTTCGAAAGGCCAGTTCAATTTCCTTTTGACGCGATGGAAGTGATAACTTCTGGTCTCTGCACATCGTAAACTAAAACAAAGTTTATGTTAACATCTTGGTCTAATTAACTTGATCTTGGTTACTTGAAGTGGAGATTCCATTAGGCATTCAACAATTGATAACTTAAGACATTTTTCTCTTGACTCTGACTCTACTTTTATGCGTGATCATGATGAACTGACATGTCGTTGTCGCTGGCATATCTAAAATACTCCAGTGGACGTATGGAATCTCAGAATTCTATAGAGAAGAGTAGTGGAGTGCTAAGGTTTAATACTAAATCCTTTGAATCTTTTTTTTATATATGGTCCAGAAGGCACTTTCATGATCTTCTCCAGCTTGTTTTCTTTTTTTTCTCTCTATACATATGTTTTCTCTGTTGTTTTACTCTTGTCCATCTTAATGTAAATACACCCCTACAAGAAAGACTTTATTATATACTCTATTCATTATGGCCTCATGATATCGGAGATTGCAAACTAATGCACATGTTACCTTAGCGCGCACTCTTTTTTTGAAACACAATACAAACGTAGGGCCCACAAATCGCACGCACTTACCCCTATGAATGCACACACGCACACCTCGCATACTCTGATAGGCTGGTTCCATCACAAGAAACCTAATCAGTTGAGCTACACTCACCTCGTAGCGCACACTTTTTTTTGTTCTTTCTTTTAGTAGTATTTTCACAGAACTTTCAACTCACATCATACACGCCATAGCCTAAAAAACTTTCATCTTGAATTACAATTTACAAAAGGTTCAATTCAAAATTCGAAACTTTAACTTGAAAGCTACAAAACTTTATAATCAAATCATACAACTTTTAACTCAAGATCATATGAAACTTTCAATTGCGTCCTCAAACATTCATATTGAACTATAAAAAAGTTCATTCAATCCAAAATCCCAAAAACTTTCAACTAACATATCTATGGGCCGAAATAACACCTCCCTTTAGCCCTTTAGATAGGTTTCGGCCCATATGCTTCCTAGCTTCTAGAACGGGATTCCGCGTTGCCCCCCGTAGCATTCAAAACTCGCGCCCTGTGCCATGCGCTTCCGCCGCTTACAGGTGGGTCCCACTCCGCACTGCAATCCCTTCCCTTCCGCTTCCTCTCTCAATCTCTTCTTGCCTCGTCTCTTCCCCCAAATCGGGCGAATCCCAAATCAACCAAACCCTAGCCCGCGGCGGCCACCGCGATGGCCACCTCCACGCGGCTGCGGCGGCGACGGCCGCCTCCGCCCCTTGCATGCCTCCCCCACCGAGGAGCGGTGTGCCAGTGCCAGAGGCGGCGGCGGCGGCGACCGGATCATGGCGCTTCTCCTGTCGGTGGACGGCCGCATAAGGTGTGGGGGTGACATCGCGTCGGTCGAGCTCGACGGCGTGCGGTGACCTCCTCGGCGGCGCGTTCTCCCTCCTCCCTCTCCTCGAGTGGGGCCGCGCGGTTTCGTCGTCGTCCGCGACCACGCCGTTTCCAGGCACGTGCTATGCGAGAAAGGGGCTCGTCGCCGAGGTATCCGAGTTCCTCTTCGGTTCCGGGTTTTCCACCGCCTAGGACGCGCTCTGGAAGGTGCTCTACCTCCCCTCGCCCTCTCTCTCAATTCAGGATCTGTGGATTTTACGGTGTTTCCTGAGCGAATGGCAAAGTGAGTATTCTATAGTTCGGTGAAATCATCGGTATTGGATTTAGCCTGCAAATTTTCATGTGAATTATGTGCTTGTGTTTTAGAGTTTTCTGAAGGATATGGACCATTCAATCATGTGTTAAGCGGTAATTTTGAGTTAGGGATAAGATATTCTTATGTACTTAGTTTCATAGGGTATCATGGATTTCTAGGGTTTTGGAGATAAACAAGATACTTTGACGCCCACCCAAAAAATGCCTCTGATCTTTACTTGAAAGTTGTAGAAACATACATTTGGGGTGAATTTTCTGTAGTTTTGTGATTTGGTTGTTTTAAGCTGTTTGAAGTCGTTATTTAGTTTCTCATATTCGTGGAGGAAGCTTTTTTGCGTTTTGATTTGGATAGGATTGTACAACGGTACTGTCTTGCAAAGCAATGTCAATAGATTTTGTGTTTAGTATTTAGTATTAGTGTTGTATAGGAGTACTAGTATACTTCTCGTTGTGTAGCTTCTCGGAAGGAGTAAACAGATTACAGATGCCACTTTTCAAATCAAAGTGCCGAGGATCATGATTCCATATTGGAGTAGTATTCCATGTTGTGTAGCTGGAACTAGTATAACAGATTAACTACCGCTTTCCTTGCAGATTAACTACTGATCTCTAGGCTTCTTAATAATTATGAAAACAAACCAACGCTTGTTGTGGCTTCTGAAATCTTCTTGTATAATTCACATGGCTAGCCGTTTTCTTACAATTCCTTGTTTTTTCTTGTTCCTTTTTATGTGCTATCGACTAATCATTAATTTCTTCTTGAACTTACACTTGTTTTGGTATCTGTTTGTGTGAGATGTTGATTGCACCATCTCTAGACAAGAAATTTCTAGTGTTTTGGAAATGCGCACCAGATAGAGTTTACCACTGGTCTTCAATTGAAAGTGAGAAATTTTTATCTGCGGTGAAATTTCTGTCATTTGGTGATTAACAGTTTTACTCTATTTTGGTACTTTGGTTGTTTAAAGCTATTTGGAGTAGTTTTTACAACATTCTGTTTGCTAAAGAAATTTTCATTCATACATTCAAAGGATTATGCAGTGGCCTTGTCTAATATGATTTGATTTTGTGTTGTTTTAGTATTTGGTAATATAGTACCGCTTCTTTTGAGTATCTCCTCCAAGGTTGTAAGTAGCCCTTCTTGAATTATGATCCAGATTCTGCACCAGAATAGTGTTTTATGTTGTGCTCTAGAACTAGTATAACATACTGATGTGCACTAGGGTTCCCGATCTTCCGAAAGGTTCTGATAAACAACGATTTGGGCGGAGTAGCGACACAAATCGATCCGGCTTCTTGAACGCGCACGCTCTTGAGCCCCGCAATCGCAGCACCATGTCTCCTCTGGTTATCACCCGTGTCGAAACGCAGATGACCTCGCCGAGAAGGCTAATCCCTGTTTGCCAATCGAAGAACACAAACAAGAACGAGATAGAAAACAACCAAAATTGCAGATGAATGATTAAGCTCACGAGTTGGGGTCTTACAAACCGATCTAGCTGCGAAACTGTTCTCGACAGATTAATCTAAGCAAAACCCAAAAACCTAAAGATGGTGGCGGGTACTGATATATAGAGTTTAGGGTCGTGCAAACCCCTCTCGACGCAACCCTAATGGGTTCCAACACGATACACGGGCCAAAGGCCCAAATACGGTGACGCAGCACTGGGACAGATTCTGGACGCCAACTTGTTCGGTCAATTCCCATTGACTCGGAAAGAATTTGGACGTGGGACCAAAACCATTGGAAAGGTATCTTCTTAGCTTTCCATCCATATAAAGAACGCCCCAATCCGAGCATGTATGCGACCTGGGCACCCGTTTTAGTGCAGACTGGTCCTGGACTCCGAATTGCACCCGACGTCGACTTGGTTTGGGCCTCCACCTTGACTTGGACGTCCTCGATGATCTTCCATGGCTCTAAGTCCTCCTCCAAGTGTCTCCTTGTCCCCTCCATTGTTCCTAATCACAATATAATCATTAGGTAGCAATCTATTCTCGAATTCATACAAAGAAGAACATAGGAACGAGCTCACCTCTAAATTTAATTGTCGCGCACGAGCTCTTGTTATCGGTCCTTGAATGACCGTTGGAGGATTGTTGTGTGTATCCGAGGTAGTGATGTCCGCATCACATACTCCCTCCATACTCGTAAAGGAAGTCATTTAGGACAATGTTTAAGTCAAACCTTGGGAATATAAATCATGAATAACTCTCAAGTTGTTGAGTTTGAAAATGTAAAAATTATATGAATATATTTGTCTTGAAAAATACTTTCATAAAAGTATACATATATCAATTTTCAATAAATATTTTTATAGAAACAAGGAGTCAATGCTGTATTTTGGAGACCGTGTCGCTGTCCTAAACGACTTCCTTTACGAGTACGGAGGGAGTATTATCAATTGGTTTCTATGATGTTCAGAATTATGAAAAAAGTGTGATGCTTGTGGGTTTTGGTCTTTTGGAAGCCCGGAACGTCAATGTCAAGAGTGTCATAGAGATGAAGCTAGAGAGAGGTTTTATGCCCTCTTGCTCATTGTCCTTTTTCCTTTTTGGATTTATTCTCTATTATGTGATGAGGAATGGTGATTTGATGCGATCGGAATCAAGCTTATATTATATTTTCTGAATTGTCACTTACCATTTAGTTAATTACTTGCTCAGTTAAAAAAATATAAGGCGTATTCTGTTTTGTTAAGACAAGACTTTGACCAACAATTACTCTATTAGGATATAATCTTTGTGACACAAAATTGATGTTATTAGATATTCACATTGAAAGTACCTACTAGTTAATGCCTTATCCCAACGAAACAAAATACGCCCTATATTTTTTAACAGATTACTTGCTATCGTAATTACATCTATATCTTAACTTCACAGCTAATCATCTAGTGAGCAGAGCACAACAGTTCAGTCACTCTGTATTGTCTGCATAAACTTGTGTTATACTATTTCATTCAGCAGTCCTGCATATTCAATAGTCCATTTCATATTCAATACTCGATTGAAATGCTATAGTTTATTTAGTTAGTTTACTTGCTTTCCATTATGCTAACTGTAAGCGGTATTCTATGGCCTAATATTCATGTTATTGTAGTGACGGTCTGACGATCTGTGGACCTATTAAATTAGCTGAGTTACTGTAAGAGGCTGATACTGAATTTTGCTGAGTTAGTCATTTTGCTTTAGGTTTTATACTGATGTTATATACTTCCCAGACTTGTTTGCTTTTACTCTGTTTGTTGTCGTAGTATTTAATTTGTGTACACTCATTGCCTGAAAGGGGAGCTCATATTATACACCTTGACCCCCACCTTGTTTTAAACTTTTAATCCTTCCTCCATATATATGTAAGCCTTATCTGATTCAAGTAGCAACTGGTGTGTTTTGTGTATGTTTTATGCTTCTTCTGGTGTATAGGGTAGGGTATGGCATCCAATAGTTCATTCATGCCAAACTAACACTAGGTGTATAGGGTATGGTATGGCATCCAATAGTTCATTCATGCCAAACTAACACTAAAGATCAAAGATGACAATAAGTGCAATTTTTTGTTCTTTTCTTCTTCATTAATACAACATGCATATTTTCTAGTTATTCTCATGTATTTGATTTTTTTCTGTTGCATTATTCACATGGCTAATGTCTTGTTATACAATGACCATACTACATGCATCTCTGTTTCAGTGAATAGATGAAAGTACTACGTCAAGCTACAAAACCAATTCAAGGCTAAGTAAGGTTAATATGGAGTACTGACAACTGGTCAAATATACTATGGTGGCGCTTACTTTGCTGTATCATAGCCATCTATTCAGAGCATGAGAATGTTGGGCAATGTCAGCTGGCTGCTGTCAGAGCAATGAGGCCTTTCCAAAGCAAGCAATTTAGCGACCAAAGAAGAGTCTTATTCTCAATGATTAGCACCTCAGTAGGTAACCAAAGCAAGCAACAAAAAAACAGAACAAAGAGTGCAGTAAAGGTAGAAGTTTCTTTTTTTTTTATGGTCTACAATTTGGGCTTGGTTCGGGGCTTCGAGTGATTTATACTCTGGAGATGAGGATGCAAATTGACTTCTTTTTCTTTTGTTTGTGGGAAGTCAGCACCTGGAGATGAGGATGTACCCGTTGCAGTTCTCGTTCAAAACTTTGACTATACAGAGAAAAAGATATCAATGAATGATCACCTACAAAGGTTTGCTTCAACTGCTCAGAATGGTTCAATGAAATATTCAAGATCAGATAGTTGAGGCAAGAAAATACAAGTGCTTTTGATTACTCTGAATATGAGCATGACTGCTGTCTTTAGTGGGTAAAAACTGCGGTGGCAGAGGTAGAGGACACAATGATGACCAAGGAGAAGCTTGCAAGTAAGATGGGGACTGGCTTTTGTCCAAATACAAAGGTCAACTGCAACCGGTGAGCAAACATCTCTGCCACTTCATTTGTCTTGTTGACTAGAAATGTTTTTCCAGCATAATTTTTCTTGTCCCAGTCCTGGCAATTTAAATTTTGCATGTGGTGTTTGTAACCAGCGCGGAACACTGGAACTGATTGACCTTCTGATGTTTTGGAATAGGTACTGCCGTCCTGGAACTGGCAGTAGGGGTGGAGACCTTGGCAGAATTGATTCATGGAGAAGTCACTTCCCCCTGTGCTGTTTGGAACAAATGATCAACCATGTCCAATGCAGTGAAGTGAGAGCACCTTGGTAATTGCTACTGTTGTTCTCTTTTCCAACACAAGTACATATGATTTAACACAGGTATCTCTAAGTTTCTTGGTGCAAACTTTGCATTGTTTTTTCAGAGAATCTCTTTTATTTTAGACGTGGCAAACTTTGCACTGTTTATTTAGAGAATTTCTATCATTTTTAGAGAATATGGAGAACTACGTATCTTGGCACTAAAGAAGGAGCAAGCTTGCAACTGATGTTGCGAACTAAAGCTATATATAACCTATTCAGCCACCCATAGGTGCTCCGGCAAGTTTCTAGGTCAACTTTGCATTGTTTATTTCCTTGAAACCATCTTCACATTAGCTTTTGGTCTTGTTTATGAGCAAAACTGGACACATAATTGAAATCACACTACTTTGGCCATTATGTCTCATGCAAACTTATGCTAAATGTCAGGCCATATTAACACAATATAAGTGGAATTTTTGCAAGAAGCTAAACACTTGCTAGCTTGTTATTCTTTTCAATTGCATTCTCTATAGAGATGACATTTCCTTTTATCAATTGTAAGGTGATGTTCATCCGAGGGAAAGGCAGGAGCAGAGAAGACGGAGTCAGGGACCTTGGAATAGAAAGGGGAATGTATGGGGGGGGGGGGTGGAATAGGAGATGGAGTACATGATTTATTATTTTAGAACTTCAAGTATTTTGCTTGGTGATGTATTTGTTAGGACTTGAGATTTTTCACAATAACCATTGTACATGGACTGTTGTCGGACTTTGTGCTGTTAATTTGGTTTCAATATTTGTTTACCGCATGCATGACCCGTTTTCACAACATTTGGCTGCAGCAGATTGAGCAAATTGATACAGGATGTACATTAAACTTGCACTGGTCAACCGACTGTACAGTATTAGTGTATTTTATGTCGTCTTACGGCATATATTTCAGGAAAACTATATTGGACCGATCTAAGGCAAGTTCGTAAACATGGACGGTTAGTAGGCCCAATATGATGAGATAATCGGCCATTAATGGGCCTTTTCTAACCGCAAAGGAATAAGATCACTTTGACTCCCTCAACTGACCACCGAATCTAAATCGTATACCTCAACCGCAATACCTGAAATCTTGACCCTCGAACTTGCAAAACCGGTGCAATGTGACTCCCTTGGTGGTTTTGGATGGTGGTTTCGCTGATGTGGTGCACACGTGGTAGTGTTGACTTGGTCTTTGTTCTACGTGGCATTGACGTGGTGCTTATGTGGCATTAAAATAAAAAAATATATGCGGGACCCATTTGTCATTCACACAAAAAAAAAATTGTGGGACCCACTTGACATGTGGATCCCATAGGTCACCCTCTCCTATCCCTTCTTCCTCCTCCCCCTCCTCCCTTCTCTATCTCTCGCTCTTTCTCTTCGTGAGTGGGGAGCGGCGGCGGCGGGCGATGGACGGAGTGGCAGCCGACGGTCTTCGCGCCGCCGCCACCGACATAGTAGCAAGGATTCGGCTTCGGCAGGTCCGGGACTGGAGCGGCGCTAGCGCCACGGGAGATGGGGATGGTGGCGGGGCGAGGGCATGGCGGCGAGGGCACCTTGAGCGCCCGCTCAGCGAGGGCATGGCGGCGAGGGCACAACAGCAACGAGCAGGATGATTCCGGCGACGATGGCGCGAGGCAGCCGCGGCGGGGAGGGAGCGAGCCGGGCACGGTGGCACGAAGGAATGTGCGCGGCGGAGGACACTGAGCGCACCAAGGAAGAGGTGGAGGAGCGCGAGAACGCTGCCACCCTGGCGGCCACCGAGCCCCCTGCTCTTGCCGCCAACTTCTCGAGCCTCCGTGAGGCCGCCGCGGGCACGGCTGGCGGCAAGTCCAAGAGGAAGAAGGGGGCGGTCTCGCGGCGGACGTGGTCGGGGAGGGGCACGTGTCGGAGGAGGAGGAGCTCCAGTCGCTGCTCCGCATCATGGCCAGGTCGACGCTGGAGCGCTCAAGGCCAGTCTGCCGCCGCGCGTTGGGGCGTGCGAGCTATTGCTCCCTTTCCACTGCGGCCACCGCCCACCTCACCGTCGACGCCGCGGCCGCTGCCCACCTCATTGCCCTCGACACAGAGTGGGGACGAGGAGCGGTGGCTGGGAGCGTGCTCCCATCTCCCCCGACGCATTCCGTCGCACGTCGCCCGAGGTCCACCGCCCACCGCAGCCACCACTCCGGCACCCACTCGCTGATGCCGCCACCGAGCCCTCGCCTGCCATCGGCTCTTGTCAAGGGGAGAGAGAGAGAGAAATAAGGGAGAGAGGAGGAAGAAGGATAGTGAGAGAGAAGATGACATGTGGGACCCACATGTCAGTGGGTCCCACAATTTTTTTTGTGTGAATGATAAATGGGCCCCGCATATATTTTTTTATTTTAATGCCACATAAACGCCACGTCAATGCCACGTGGAACAAAGACCAGGTCAACACTGCCACGTGTGCGCCACGTCAGCGAAACCGCCATCCAAAACCACCAAGGGAGTCAGATTGCACCGGTTTTACAAGTTCGGGGGGTCAAGATTTCTGGTATTGCGGTTGAGGGATACGATTTAGATTCGGTGGTCAGTTGAGGGAGTCAAAGTGATCTTATTCCAACCGCAAAACAGTCGTACAAAACTCTGTTAATGGGCCTACATATTCCAACACACCGCCAATGGGCCGTAAGTGGGCCTAAACGCTCCAATATGGGCCGGAAATGGGTTATCAACATGGGCCTACTTCGGTGAATATATGGGTTTGAACGGATCATAAATGGGCCAAATGTGGGTCTCTGATTTCCATAATGGGCTTCTTCTTCAAATATAAGGGCCAAAGTTGGGCCCATGATGGGCTTGTAGTTCGAATATACAGGGCCATAACGGGCCTGATGATTGTAAAACGGACTGTGGATGGTGCTGATTTTGCTTGAGTGGGCCGTTCTTTATGGGCTATACGTGGGCTCACCTGATACCGGCCATGAGCCCATGACAAGATCATTTAAATGGGTTGCTTAAAGGCCTGGTCTTTAGTTTAGTTCGTTAAGCCCACGCAACAGCTTATGCGCGCAGTACCAGCCTAAAGTAACCGAAATGATATTACTCACATATATATATAGGCCTTTTGTGGCCGAAAGTTCTATGCGCCTAACTTTCTCTTGATGAAATTGTTCACGCAATTGGGCCTCTTAAATATCGGCTTTCTACGCTATAGAACGGGCATTGCGGACCAGATTCTCGGGGATATATAAGCATACAACGTATATCCATAAACAATAAACGAATTATATCCATGCTTTCGAGCTTCGTCAACCTGTACGCCGATATTTACCACCTGTGCACAAAAAGGCAGATATTCAGACAGCTAAACTAGACAAGCAATAAATTTAAACTTGTAGATTACATCTCATGTGTGTCGATGTACATCTTTTGCTTTTCTGCTTTGAAGCTGTTTCCTTCCGTTCATCTGGACCCACTGAAAGAGGAAAATGATAGTATGTTAAACTATGGAAAGTATGTACAACGACCACCTAGTAAAATTTGGGCTTGAAACGGATTAACTGATACATTAAAGCAACATTCATGAATCATCATGGTGCATATGTACCTGAGTGCAAAATCAGGTTCCCTGTCAACTTTACGCAGACTTACATTCATATACAGGCCCTGCGAGAAAGAAGAGTATTTTAGTGTATTTTTCAGATCTGAATAAGATGGGAGGATTGAGTTCTGCTGTCAATTGAAGCAAATATTTCTTCATTTCCAGCATCCCGTCTGCCCATTCAGGTAGAAGCTGGCAACTTACAGTGACTATATGCAATAGTTCCAATTGCAACATGACCAGATTTTCCAATTTCCTCGACCAAGTTTCAACTAGTTTTTATATATTTATTTATTTATTTTGGGCGAGGAGTGGTATGGTGAAATATGCAGGAAAAGTGACTACTTCTAAACTCTAAAGCTGATCTAGACAAATTATAAACTCAGATCATGTGCCCTTTACAAGTGTGACGATAATTATCTCGTTCTAGGTTCTTTCCTACTTCCTCCGTTTTACAATGTAAGTCATTCTAGCATTTTCCACATTCATATTGATGTTAATGAATCTTGTCATCATTTCCCACATTCATATTAATGTTAATGAATCTAGACAGGATTCATTAACATCAATATGAATGTGAAAAATGCTAGAATGACTTACATTGTGAAACGGAGGGAGTAGTAGACAGGTAAGTGGTTTAGTATTTGTTATATTTCAACATTTAATGCCATCTGCTAGCAGTCATAAGCATTGACAGTGGAACACTTACATTGGTTGTATGAATTGTGGCCCCAGTAGTCATGTTAATTTTTTGATCTGGCACAAGCTCAATGTCCATCTTCTGCAACACAACAGCAAGTGCCACAATTGCTTCCAAGAGAGCAAACTGATCTCCAACACATTTCCGAGGACCTCCACTGAATGGGATAAATCTGAAAAAGAGAAGTGACAGAAAGGCAGCATAGTTTAATTTGTGTGTGTGTGTGTGTGTGTGTGTGTGTGTGTGTGTGTGTGTCCAGATGATTTAAAGTCAGTTCGATGATAAGTGGACACGTTGTAAAAACAGGTTAAAAAAATATCTCAAGATGACCTGTATTCAGTGTTTGTCTCATTTGGAACAGGTCCCTCTAAATCAAATCTCTCAGGAATAAAATCATCAGCTCTGTCCCAAACCTTTGCATAAGGAACAAACAATCAATTGTAACAATGTATAATGTTATGGTCGTTCAGACATTGCTAAGAGGATGACAATATCATAAAGACAGCAGAATGATTGCTTATTCACTGTGACATAAATTTCATTGCCAGTCACACCATTTCAACTAGTGAGCAGATAACCCTGCAATGCGCTGCTAAAGAAAATCTACATTTCACAAATATGCTGGACATAGATATGGTACTTTCTCTAAACAATTGGCATAAAGAGCTTAAAAAACGCCAATCAATAATGCATGTGCTCCAATATTCAGATGGAAAACGTACCTCAGGTGACCTGTGTATATTGTACACTGAAATCATAATATCTTGACCAGCTTTGATCTTATAGTTTCCGGGAAGCACATCATCAACTATGGCTCGCCGTATCAACACCTGTTAACAAGAAGCCCTTGAGTAACCTAAACTAACTCTGAAGTTGGTTGACTAAGCACAAGGAATGTACAGGTGGGTGTGGATAAAGCCGCATAGACTCATTTATACAGCGCATCAAGTACTTCAGCTCTTTTAGATCTTCATATCTGGGGAGTCTACCTTGTAGAACACGGTCAACCTCTGCTTGAGCTCTCCTCAGCGCTGCTGGATCCTTCAGTAGTGCAATACTGAGTAGTCAACATATAGTTAAGGGATAGCTTATCTTAAGTAACGTTTTACTTGTTAAATCATTAGCGCAAGGCGCAAGCAATAAGGGAGTACCTTACTGAGAAGATAAATAGTCCACGTCAGTACAGAGCCTGTTGTTTCATGACCAGCAACTAACATTGACAATAGATCATCACGTAACTGCACACTGGTTACCTGGACCGCATAAAGAAAAGCATGTTAGGTAACGGCAGTAAAACAAGTCAAAAGCAAGATGCATGCATGTGAGATAGTGAAAAAGAGTATTAATAGGAAGTTCCATTCAAATGCATCATTAGTTTGAAACAAAAGCTTTGTGGATTCCGTGAAAGTATTACCCACAAAAACAAAGGAACTGTGCATGGAAACTGTCTTATAAGATTCAAAAATCAATAATAAGTCCATGTCACAAAATTCTATGAAATGAGGGAATAGCTTCCTACTAGTACAAAAATCAATGAAGACTACAATTGCTGTAAAACAACATCAAGGCTTTAGATTAGTCAAAGTACCTCTTCACGGCTAGCAAGTAGGAATCGCAGGATGCTAGGGTCTGCCTCATTTACATATTCCTCACCCTCAATTTGTTCATTCTCAGCATCTACAATCTTCTTGCATTTGGTAATTAGGTCCTCAACGGTATTCCTGATGATGTTAACTGCCTTTTCTGCTTTTATTTGTCTAGGAACAATCTTGCACAGCAAATCAATCTATCAAGAACAAACAAGGGCTACATCAGACATCAGTCAGCGACATCAGTCAGCAATTTCGTCTCACTAGAAGTTAGATAGGCCAACCATAATTGGATTTTTTAGAAAATAACATGGCAAAAGGAACATTACCTTCCAGTATGGTAAAAGATCTGTAGAACGAAGTTCTGCTTCCTTGAGTGCAGTGTAAACAGCATCAATAACAGGGCTATCTGATGTGAGGGAATCAAAATTGTAATTGAACAAGGACAAACCAATCACATCTAAAGTCATTTGAGAGAACCTTGCTTCCATATTTACAGGTTTGCCACTTAAAGCAGATGTCTCAAGCTTCTCCACTAATCTCTCAGCACATTTACAAAAAACTCTGTCAACCATCACCGAGAGAAATCGTTTGTGTAGAGATGGTACAACTGATCGACGTCTCACCTGAACAGATACCAAAACAAGTGTAAGTTGAACAAGAGATTATCAATTAGGTAAGTAGCACATAAAAAGGTAAGGGGCAAACAAGGGATTGTAAGAAAACACCAAACCATGTGAATTAGATATAGGAACCTTTCACCTTTCAGAACCAACCCACAATCACCTTTTTGTTTTCATATTTTTTTATACTAGTTTCACTGTTCCAGCTACAAAATGAAATACTACTCTAGTACACTACAGAATATCCTCATGTCCACAGGAGCACCTATATTCTGTTAATAGCTTGTGAGAAGCTACTGTAATACTAAATGGGTAATAACATTGACTTCTGATAACATTACATAAGATCTAATAACATTGCAAGGCAATACCTTCGTGTGTCCTATCCAATTCAAAATGCAGGGAAATTTCTTCAACACATACGAGAAACTAAATGGCTACATCAAACAGCTTAAAACAACCAAATTACAAAGTTAGAGGAAAACTGTTAACTTCACCTAACTATGCAAAATTCACTCCATACCTAAATTTCTATCCTTATCAAGTGAGGACCAGAGGCAATATCTTCTGGGAGCGGTAAAAAGTTAGGTATTTATTTCCAAATCCCTAGGATGCTATGCTATGAACCACCAGCACATCAATACAGAATAGATTATCCAGAAAAAAAAAGGACAGCCATAAAGGAATCACGGGGTAATGTCAAAAACTCTAACTACTCCACAATTACCGCTTAACAAACAATCGAATGGCCCACATCCTTTGGTAACTCAATCTAAAAATAACCAAATTCTAAGGATTTACTACAACGACATAATCCGCTATAATTTTTGCAGGTTTAAGCCAATCAGGAACATTTCACAGCACTATACTACTATAGGATAGTCACTTAGCCATCCCCTCAAAAACAGCATTAGTCCAGAACACGAAGAGAGACAGAGAGAGAGAGAGAGAGCACCGTCCAGAGAGCGCCCTCGGCGATGGCGAACCCGGAGCCGAAGAGGAACTCGGAAACCTCGGCGACGAGCCCCTTCTCGTACCTCGAACCGTACCCACGCAGCACGTGCCTGGCAACGGCGGGATCGCTGACGACGACGAGATCCCGCGGCCCCGCCGCGAGGCGGTAGACGGGGCCTTCCTCGCGGAACCACTTGAAGAGAGGGAGGAAGAGCGCGCCGCCGAGGAGGTCCCGCACGTCGTCGAGCTTGGCGGAGGCGACGGGGATCCCCGAGTCGTCGCCCCCGCCGAGGCGGGTTGCCACCGAGCGGGAGAGCGCCGTGAGCCAGTCGGGGCTCACCCACGAGGTGGTGATGGGCGGCTCGTCTCCCCCCGCTCCGCCTCCGCCTCCACCGCCGCTGCTCCTTGGCGGCCGCAGGCGGAGGCGGACGTGGCCACGGCGGAGACGCGGCGAGACCAATGGCGGAGGAGGCGGGCACAGGAATGGTACGCACGGGACGGCGGCGGCGGCGGCGGCGGCCATCGCACTGGCCGCCCGCGAGCTAGGGATTCGAGATGGATTTTGGGGAATTGGGGTCGCCGGATTGGGGGGAGAGAGAGACGAGACGAGATGAGCAGTTGGCAGTTGGGCGCGGGGATGGATGGGAGGGGGAGGAAGGGGATGAGGTGGGACCCAGCTGTAAGTGGCGGAAGCAGCACGGCACAAAGCGCGTGAGTTTTGAATGCTGCGACTCTCGTGGTAGGAAGTTCTTGGGCCGGTGGGCCGTTACAGGCTTACAGCAATCGGTTACATACCAAGAAGGAAAAAGTATACTTAAGGTCCCTCAACTAGTCATCGGGATAAAAAACGTTCTCGAACCACAAAACCAGATATGCGGGGCCCTTAACTATACAAAACGGGTCACCCGAGATCCTTCGGTGGTTTTGACCCCGATTTTAGTCTACGTGACGACTGAGTCAGCATGGACCCCACATGTCAGCTGGCCACGTCATCACCCTCTCTCCTCCTCACCCTTTCTCCTCTCTCTCTCACTGTCTCACACTCTTCTCGTTTGGGTAGGCAGCTGGGGAGGATGTCGGAGGGCTGTTGCCTTCAACGGGGCTAGGTGGGACGAGGGCGTCGGCGGCCGGCGACGGGCGACACGACGGCGGCGGCTGGCAACTGGCGACGCACCGCCGTTGCAGAGGCCGCAGGAGCGGAGGTGGGCCGCCGTCGAGGGAGGAGGTAGGCAAGCAAGGGGGGCGGGGAGGCCGGCGATGACCTCCTCACCGGCTGCGAGGGGGAGCAAGGCGTCGGCGGCAACGAGGCGGTTCTTAGCCGCGGCCAGCTCGACCCGTAGTCTCTCAAGCTCCTCGCCGAGCGGCATGGAGGGACGACACGGCGGCGGCAAGCCAGTCGCATCGTCGGGTTTGATTTCCGACAGCAAATTTCCCTGCGCAAACATCAGATCGGGATGGCTGCGGCGATCAGGATGCATGATTCGGAAGAAGGTCACTACAGTTTTCACTCAATTTTGTCCAGGTCGTTCACTCAATTCGGAATGAAATTCATTTTCAGTAGCACTGGCACATGATTTTTCAAAAACATCAAGTTGTCTCAACTCTTCGGATCGAACAACTGCTTTCTTGGATCAACATCAACAAAATAGGATTATAGGAGCGCTGGCCGCTGCACATGATTTTTTTGGTTGGATGCGGCAGATTTGGCAACGCTGAGGAGCTCCGCGGTGTGCAGGAACGTGTCGCCGCGAGCGTCGTGGTGTGCGGAGAAGGAGAACAGCGGGCAGCGTGACGCGGCGGCGAGGACGACGACGCCCAAGCCCGCTCTTTGCGCGGAGAAGGAGAGCTACCGTCTGGGCAGAGAGCTACCGTCTAGATTTTTTTTATGTTTGCGTGTGATCAAGGCTAGACAAAGAGCTAGATGGTAGCTCTCTGCCTAGGGCCCAACCTCAGCGCCAAGAAAAATGGTGTTGAGACTTAAGACCTCGGCGCCAAATCAAGTGGCGCCGAGCTCTGTAACTTAACCGTGTGCTTGCGGCCGACCCAACATCCCTTTTGTGTTGGCCGTCAACTTGGCGCTGAGCCTACAAACGTCAGTGCCAGGAGTAATGGCGCTGAGGTCCTCAATGCCAAGGCAACGCCCAACATAGGAGCTATGTTGGGCGGGCAGGCCTCGCGCGGCTGTTGACAGAAAATACGAGGCCTGGGAGATCTGCTTAACTCCAGTGCAGGTCCAAAGCTCGCCTTCGGATGTATGAGCGTGCCATTTGATTTGATATTGCAATCAACAAGAAATAGAACAAAGAAACCACAATTAATCCTATAAATGATAACCGATCGGCTAGGTGCCGATGACACATCATTTATTTCAAGCCGGTGTCATGTGTACATCGATCGACAAATATCAATAAGCAAACCAGAACTAAATCTACTCGATCGGCTGTAGATATTAATGATATATAATCCTTATATCGATATATACTTAAATCAAATGATTGGGATAGATCGGTCGCCTTGCCGAGACAGTATAAATCACTTATATCGAAATATATATTAATAGTAGGATTATATACATTCATAGCATAGCCGATCAGGTGGATCTAGCATGTATCTGCTAATACTCCGATACTACTCTATACTAAGATTTTAAAGTAAGTAGAATATACTAAACATAAGCTTAATATACTTAGATGCGACAAAATCTTAACATAAAGGGCAGATTTAACATATAGATCAAGCATATAGAATAAAAGTAGTTAAATCAGATAAGATCGGCTGAAACTCTGATACTACCCTAATCAGCAACCAGAAAGCAGGCTAGAGATTGCAATTTTAAGCACGACTTAATAGATCAAACTCAACTGATGCAGCATTAAGTATGAAAAGAAAAACAATATCTGGACAATCAAGCCACTGGAAGTTTCATAGAGTGGTAGATATATCACATAGTCTAAGTTAACATCATTGTCTAACCTAATCGGCTGCCTTCCATTAACAGATGTTAGCCGATTACAGATTAGATGAAGATATTATCGAAGATTATGTGAGATATATGATAACTCGACGAATTATATAGACAAGATTAGAGTGTCATAAAGATGGAAGCACTAATCTTGAGAACATAAGTCGTCATGACAAGCTTTACCTCTTGTTGAAGATCGAAACCGATGCAGCTCAACCCGAGAGCACGAACTCGTCGAAATAAAAGTAAAGCATAAAGGGTGGCGATGCGCCGAGATTGTATTGGATGTCTTGTTTTTTTTACATAGGACTCGGGTCTATTTATACCCGAGAATTACAAGATACGTTCATAACAGACACGACTATTATCTCTAACAAACTCTAAGATACCATAAGTATTTACGGCAGACTTTTACCCAAACATATCTCTAAGGAAATTAAATAGAATATCCTAATTAATAGATACAATTGCCTTCCCAGGACTCTATCCATGCATGGCAATCATCTTGAAGCACATCAACTTGAACCCGATGACGTACACCGAGTCATATTATCAGAATCGGTTGTATCGGCTAACCCCGTCCGACTTGAACTATGCCGACCTGACCTTAGCCGATTTGGACTGCAGCCGATTCTTACTCTATTTCCGCAACGATCTTCATCTTGGATTCCACTTCGATCTGATCTTTACCTCCGATGCCAATAGTGATAGAATTTACCAAATTTGGTTGTTAACAGCGGCTAAGTCCGAAACCTCAGCGCCAATGTACATGGCGCTGAGGTTTGTAGGCTCAGTGACAATCTCAATGGCGTTGAGATTTGCCGGCTCAACGCGTCCTTGCGGCCGAACACAGGAGCGATGTTGAGCGGCAAGGACGCGAGCGTCTAAGTCCCAAATCTCAGCGCCAAGCAAGCTGGTGCTGAGCTTAGTGGTTTAGCGCCAATGAGACTGGCGTTGACATCCTGCCACGTAAGCGTGAGGATTGGTAGGGGGATGGTTGGCGCTGACCCCGTGGCCTATTTTTGGTTGAAGTTTTTAGCAAGTACTAGTTTTGAAATAAGTTTTCCCCAAGGACCAATTTGTCAAAAACTCCCGAGGACCAGGTGCCAGTTGGAGAAGTCAGATGACGAGACTTTTCCGATCCTATCCAACCCATCCGTCCCGCCCCGTTGCTACTCCCTCCGGTTTGATAATACTTGTCATTTTGGACAAGGATACGGTCTTCAAAAAATAATTTTGACTATTATTTTTTATTATAATATGTATAAAAGTATTAACAAATATATGATTTTATTAAAGTATTTTTAAGACTAATCTATACATGTTTGAAAGATAAATATTTTAAAAATGATTTAAATCAAATATTCTAAAATTTAATCTCACCCTTATCTAAAACGATAAGTATTATCAGCCCGGAGATGGGAAGAGCATTTGTTCTCCAACGATTGTGCTGAAGAGAGACTGATTTGTACAAGTGTGAATGCCGCACGTGTGTCTATGTAATGGACTTGAGTAATTAGTCTTAAGCATCCCTAATTCGTGGACAAGAAACTTAAATCAAGCGATCCAAGACGAAGACAGCCGATCCCGGGACAGGAGGGCATGTCTGACACAGCAACTCTCTCTCTCACACACACAGGACAGTATGGCACACCATGACCACCGATGACGCAGCCGCGAGATCAGTTTGGGGAGATGCAGCGCAGCTAGCTAGGAGTAGCGATGTTCGGTAGCAGAACAGACAGAAGGCAACCGTGGGCAACCAACCAGCAGAGCCCGCGTTTGCGGATGACCATCCAGCTGCACTGCATGTACGACCGATTCGCGCCGCGGAATTATAAACCGGATCCGATCCTAGTCCATTCATTCACAACACACGTGTGTTCTTGATCTTGGATAGGGGTAGTACCTGGGTTCAAACAACGAACCAGCGAAAGCACAAAACAACGCAGTGTCGATCGAGCCATATGAGTGGAGTTGGGATCCTATCCTGTAAATGTACGTGCAGTAAGTCACTGACATATGGGTCTAAAATTTAGGTGGGACCCACATGTCAGTGACACATACCACAGGTACAGTAATGTACAACAGTGGATTTGCATCCGAGTGACCATTTTAATTTTAATAACCACCCAAGATGGATCGGACCGGTTCCATCTCACTTTTTTTTTAACCTTTACCGACCTCATCTCACCTCAGTTGTATGACTGTATCTCCTCCATTCGAGTCATGTTACTGTTCACAGATCCCCACACGATGCTGTAGGGCCTCTGCATTTCGCCAGGCCCGTCAATAAAATATGAGTGTCGTATGATAAACACACTCTCTTCCTCTCACGACAGTAGATACTACTACTCCTATATCCTACCAATGGATCAAAAGGAGACAGAAAAAAACGGACGCGGAGGAAAAAAACAAGGAGCAGCACGCATGGTCGTTCGTACTCCCCCAAGCTGTTAATTATTCAAAATACTTACTGCTACCACCACCAGTTCGTCCCGTACCTGTAGTAACGAATAGATCAGTTTAACTGTCAGACACTCATGTTCACCCAAAGGAATACAAGGCGGAGTAGGATTCTCTCGCCGATGCGTCGCGGCGGGAGAGGACACGTCGGCACTCGGTCGGCAGCGGGAGAGATCACGACAGGACGACGAGCGCGGTGCGTGGCGTGGCCTACTGGAGTATACTACTGCTCCATCTATCGTAGGGTGTGTTTAGTTCAAAATAAAATTAGAAGTTTGGTTGAATTGGAACGGTGTGACGGAAAAATGGAAAGTTTATAGCTCCTATCGTTTAGCTTTTTCCCTGATAAGTCAAAATGGTTTATTAGGGAACAAAAATAAATTTTTAGATAAAAATTTTATATATGTGTTCTTGTTAACTTAAAAGCCAATGCTGAAAAAGAAACTACGTTGAAAATATCAAAATCAATCTCAAAATTAAGTTTGAAAATTTAAATTTTATCTTATTATTTGGCTGTTTAGGCCATCCGATGGGAGCATGTGTATAGAAAAATTTTGATGTGATGGAAAAGTTGGAAGTTTGAAAAAAAGTTCGAAACTAACCAGACCCTATAAGTACACTCCAATCTTAAGTACGGTTGTGGGTCTTTTTACTAACGTTCATTTTATTTAAAATTATTTTATAATAATTATTTTTATTTTTATTAGATGATAAAATATAAATAGTATTTTATATATGACTTGTTTTTTATTTTTAATTATGTTTTAAAATGAAATGGACGATTAAACGTTTAACATAAACTTGGAATGAGACGGATGAGTAATATACTGCGAGTTTAGGCGCACGGGCGGCGGGGGTGGGCATCCGATGCGGTGGGGTTGGGGGTGGGGGGCAAGCAAAGACTGGGGCAAGTACAGTGGTGTGGCGCCGCTCCGGAAATTCGCTTCGCTTCGCGGCGCGGCGGCTGAGGATCAGCGTCAGCCGGATGGGAATCCCAGGCGTGGAAGCGCGATTTTTAATTTGGGCGGCCCCCGAGGCGGTATCCGATGATCTCCTTGTCGGCTACCCGCGTCAAACACACTGGTATAGTGCGGCTAGGTACCCAACTTTTCTGCTGTTTTACACAACGGTCCTTCCTCTATTTGACTATGCCTACCCGTATGGTAGCAACTTATTTCCTCCTATTGTAGTAATTCTTAACATTTTCAATAATGATACTGTCTCTAAAATATATCTTTAACAAATTTTCTATTATTACAGTACTTTGTAAAATAAATTTATATGTTGTTCTAGTACCTTTCAACTATATATTTTTCAAAGTTATTTATAGTAAAGTTATAAAATTTTAACCTCAACTTTGGGTGTGTTTAGTTCACGTAAAAATTGGAAGTTTGATTGAAATTGAAACGATGTGACGGAAAAATTAAAAGTTTATGTGTGTAGGAAAATTTTGATGTGTCAGAAAAGTTGAAAGTTTGAAGAAAAAGTTAGGAACTAAACCAGGCCTTTGTATAAAACATCAAGAATTATAGATTTGGAGGGAGTACTCCATATCCGTTTTATATTGTGAAAAATTTTGGGTTTCATGCTGTGAAACACTTCAAAATGTTGATGCATTTCTTTTATTGAACTTGGACAAGACCAAAATAACTTATATAATATACTAGAATAGAGTGAAAACTGTTTCTACGCAAACATTATTAGGTACCAAGATGTGTACAATGTGGAAAGCTATGGTATGTATTAATAATTCATCCATTTCATATGTAATTATCGCTTTTCCGTGATTATCTTTCATGCAACTTTTTTTGTTATTATGTGGAAAGTTAGCTTTAAGGGCCTGTTCACTTTGATGTCATTTTCAACCTTACCAAATTTCGGTAAAGTTACCAAAAAGAGTGGCTACATTTAGTTTGTTGTTAAATTTTGGTAACTATGTAAGAAATCCTGCCCAAATTTTGGTAAGGTATTTTTTTTATTAAAGTGAACAGGCCTTAAAAGAAAAAAGGCTTGCTTATATCTTGGAACAAATTTATACTCCAGCAAAGTCAAATACACATGGATCGACCTAGCTAGCCTTTTCATACTGTGCACTCAAAACCATACCTTTAGTGTGGAGGATAACATAGTATCCCACTACAATTCCACTGCTATAAAACCCCTAGTTTATTGAAATAACAAAACAAAGTTCTACAATTAGCAAGCCTTAACTAGGGAAGGCAATGAAAACAAAAATCAAACTACATTAGACTAGGTCAAAATGCACCCACAACCACAACGGTTATGTGCTCGAGCCAGTATCTCATACTACCAATACTACACCAACACCAACACTACATACTACTACTAGCGGCACTGTACATACAAGGGGAATAATACAAGCTAAAATAAAGCTACTCCACTCCTAGAGAAGGAGGACCTAAACGCAATAACCAAGTCAATTAAACACGGTTGGTACAAAAAGGACACCCGCCCAATACAAAAACGCCACTACAAATGCAACCGCAAATGCACGGCCCTTTCCCCCAAAACCCCCACTGCATTCCCCCCCAAACCCACAAACCCCGCCGCTGGATCAACACCACCTCAAGCTCGAAGTGAGCCACTGTCCCAAGCAACCTTCCTTCTTCTCCCCACCTCGTTTTCTCCAAATCGCCATTCACAACCCATACACACTCTGTGCGCGTGTGTGTCTCTATGATGTCGGCGTCGCCGGAGTTCTACAAGCCGGCGCCGGTGTTCTCGCCGTGCAGCTCGCCGCTGCGGCTGCTGCAGCAGCAGCACGGGGAGGATCATCAGGAGGAGTACGGCTACGGCAGCAGCGGCGGCTGCTGCAGGACGCCGACGGGAGGGGAGAGCAACCTGAAGGCGCCAGGGACGTGCCCGCCGGCGCCGAGGAAGCCGCGCGCGCCCGCCGCGCCGTGCCGGAAGCGGCTGTTCGAGGTCGAGGTGTTAAGCCTCCGCCTCGAGGAGCTCGAGCGCCTCTTCTGGCGCCCTCCGCCGCCGCCGCCGACGACGCAGCCGCAGCCGCAGCCGCAGCAGCCGCCGCAGAAGCGCCGGAGGGTGGCCAAGCTCGGCAGCTAGCTAGCTCGCCGGAGTAGCACACGTGTGCGTGGATGGCCATAAGTGGTGTTGGTTGGGTTAGTTACTAGAGCTAAAGCTAGAGTAGTTCGGAGTTGGTAGGATTTAGGCGTACTGGCGTTTTTACTGCTGTACTTGCACTATATTTCTACTGCTCAAATTATCTCCATGGCTAGTATAGCTGGTTGTACACTTTGTACTATACCTGCCTAGCTAAGGTTGCTACTACTACTACTGTAGCGTATCAGTGCAGTTTATACTAGTATCTGTGTATGTGATGGCATTGGGGGTGTGTACTCCTGGTACGTATTAGCAATCAATAGGAGCTTAGCTTGAATTTGCTTCCATGCATATATGGCAGTTGCAGTGCAGCCTGTGAAGTAATGACAAGTTGTATGATCCGTGTATACATCCATCAATGTATCAGTGAATCAATCCTTGCAACGAATACAATGAGAAGCAGCTCAATCCTCATATGTTCTACTATTGCTTCCGTCCTAAAATATAGCTACTTCCTATTACATGTTTTCTCTACTTTGTGCAACAGATAGGAGTAGTTCTCGAAAGTATGGAGATACTGATCCATCTGCGTAGCAACTGGCAAGAACGCAAGATGGATGGATTCAGTTTCAGAGTGAGCTGCACCTCCCAGGCACAGCACGCAGCTGGGCTGCAGGAGGTGCAGGGGGAGAGGAATCATTCAGGAATGTGAGACGAGAGCAGAAGGCCAAAGCATCGAGTGGTAGTAGCAAGCAGTAATGATGTGTGTCGCTGCTGTGGCTGGCTTTGTAGTAGTAGTAGTACCGAAAATTTTTCTGCAGGCTTGGCACCCGGCAAGGCTGCAGCAGGGGAGCCTGTGCTGGAGGTACGAGAAGGAATAATTTTGGCCACCGGTGCCAGTAAATGTGAGGACGTGTGGTGTTGGGGGTCTTGGTTGGGGATCCGAGTCCATCTATCATCACAGGAGCATCGCAAGCAGCAGCTGTCCATGTGTTCTGGACTTCTGGTGCGCTCGCAGATAGAGCAGCGAGGAATACGGTGATGGCGAAATGCATATGAACATCAGGCTAAAGCATGAATTGAAAAAAAAATAATACTGTCACTCCATATGCAAATGCAATCGTAATTTTACGGTATGAATTTATTATAGCATCATTAGTTATTATTACTACAGTAGGAGTGAGGTTTAAAGCTGCAGTGAATACGGCAATTTAAGCATCTATGACGCATCTGTACACTACAGTCATTTAAGACATCTGGAGCGAGTTTGCAGGGTAGTACACACTCCTATTGAAACAGTTGCTCCGTTGCCCCTTTGTTTATGAGTTTTGAGGACATATGGGACACGTAGAAAAAGATTGGTATTTATTGAGCCAATGCTCCATGTATGGTGTACATACATACTGTTATTTTTGCTGTTGAGTACTTACCCCAGTAATATGATACAAAGATCGACGCTTCAATATACACCAAGGGTGAATCATGGGGTTAGCTTCAAAATGAGCCGAAAGGTGAAAGAATCGACAAGAAAAAAAAGAAATAATAAGAAAAGGAAAAAAAATAAGGGAGCAAAACACAACAGCTCTATATGCAGCTGAAGAAAACAAAAACAATTACAGCCGTTTTCGCCTATGGTCCTGCCTCAATCCTCTCGATGGTTTCTAACCTCGTTTTCCGTTTCCATCCTTTCATAGTCGCAACCAGGTTAACCAACCCGACAACCTGACTTTTGCTGTATTCCTGTAAGATCAGACAACAAAAACATAAATCATTTTGTAGAAGTATCATTACCAAAAGTGAAAATTTACTCAAAAAAATATATAGATTAACAGGGTTCTTACTGGATGAGACCGTGCCCAATGAACATACTCGGTCTCTGGCAAATAATAAGCCTGTAAAGAGTAAAAGGCTTTGTCAGGTTCTTATAAATGAAAAGGCCAAATGAAGCATACAAAGGCACTCGGTCTCTAGCAGATAGTACGTGGTTGGCATAGCGGGAGTACTCCAAGCCAATTACTACTGCAGAAGCGTGGTGTAAATGAAGCCTTGACTGGTGCATGCAACGTACCTTTATGAAAGTATCCACAATTTGCAGCTTTGGCCTAACATTTGCGGATACAATGTGCAGCAGCCCATTAATTAGTACCTGAAGGAGCAGAGAAAATCTTTATGAGTATTCATCCATGCCTTTCAATCTAGATAAGCTACTGGGTAAGAATAAAAAAGATTACAACCTGAAGGTCCAGTGACATCAAAGCCCGTCCTTCATCTGTGCACCGTTTTACCCTAGAGAGACCTTCAACTAAAACTTCTGCGATGCTATCTATGCCATACTCCAGCAAGAGGTCTTGGAGCTGGGAAGAAAATTTACAAGTTCAATCACCTTTAACATCAGTATAACATCGATATATAGGCTGTGTTTAGTTCACACTGAAGTTTGGAAGTTTGGTTGAAATTGGTACGATGTGATAGAAAAGTTGTGTGTGTATGAAATGTTTGATGTGACGGAAAGTTGGAAGTTTGGAAAAAAACTTTGGAACTAAACAGGGCCATAGTTTGAAAACCGAAGAACTATCTTAATGACGAAGCAGAATGAAGTACTCCCTCCGTCCCAAAAAAAACTCAACCTAAGAGGGGTGACCCCTCCTAGGACAACGAATCTAGACTAAGGGTAATCCAGATTCATTGTACTAGGGGTCAAATTCCCTCCTAGGTTGAATTTTTTTGGGACGGAGGGAGTAGGTCCGAAAACATTGTATTGCTCGCCACATAAAGAACACAAACAAAGCACATTAACCAAAAAGGGAGGAGGGGGTGCCCTTGGCTTGTACTAACCTCCTTGGAAATTCCTCCATGGTCCAATCTAGTTTTGTAGTGCTTGAATTCACCCAATAACAAATCAACATAGCTGTAATAAAAGGTGCAAACAACATCATCAGTGGCACTCCAGGTCACAATTAAAAAACACCACTATCAACCATAATCCTTTAACTATGCAATTTGTAATCAGATCCCTAACTATGATACTAAGAATTAAACACATTCAATGCAGCCCTGAATTATTCCAAATGCATGTACAAGTTACAGATTTTTTGATATATCACAGCATGGCGAATTTTGATATGTTGGCTTCAAAGTACAAGGACCTAATACTCCACCCAATTTTTTTAGCACACTGCGAAAGGAAAGGTGTGGTTTTTCTTTTCTGTAAGAGTAAATTCAACAAGACCCAATATTTCCAAATGATCAGTAGTAACACATTTCCATAGAATACCTACCGATATTGCACTCATAAAAAAATGATGGAGTACAACATAAATAACAAAGAAAAAATTGCTAGACATCAAATGACCACAAATTACTATTGAATCAGTCACCAAAGACATCAATATAATGCATACTTTAGACATAGACAATTCAAATTACTAGAAAAAAATAGTGGCTAAATGAGATGAGGTGCTGAAAGAGGGTTCAAAAGAAGCGTAGAAAAAATAACCAAAGGAGCAAAAATAGGGACTCAAAACAGGACTATTCAAATTGTTCATGCTAAGATGGCTTAAATAAAAGCATACCCATTATGCTCCATGCCAAGCTCCTTGACCTCCCATTTGGCATTTGCAATCTTATCTGGATACCTGAAAACATGGTAGGTGATCCAATTGAGCATAAATGGCTGAGCAAGATACTTTTTGCCCTAACTTCTACGCTTCTACCTATACCGATGCAAATGGCCATGAGAAATAAGAAACCTAGAAAGGAGATTCGTAATGCACGTGAAAGATTTCATTGAACATACCCATTGATATGCAAAAGCATCCTTGCACTTGTTCTATGAATGTGCTCAGCCAAATCTGGAACAGAGTCAACCTATCACAAAAAATAAAATAAGGGCATCCAAGTTATCAATTGTATCTTTGCAATCTACAAACTGAAAAATGGACTTATTGACTGCACATGCACACTACAAGAAAAATATCAAGTTATGTAAAACCTCTAAGTTGGAATTTACCATTGTCCCAAAGAATTCTTCAAGAATGGAAGTGTTACTTTGAGACAGAACGGAATGTAGATGTGCTCGAGATCTGTTCAAAACTCGAGCAACCAATGATATTGTTTCAGCAGCTGCACAGCGCTCCTGAAAAGAGAGAGAGAGATAGAGAAAAGCTTCACATATGGATCTATTTGGTATATGATATTTTGTAGCATTGTATAAGCACCATCTTGTAAAACCAGTAGATATACCTTCAAACCATACAAGGTGAACATTGAGCTGGGAGGCGCAGTAGGCATCACATCCATTGATACGGGTGATGAAGGTGAATATGAAATACTCTGTGGTTTGATCCACTGGTCAGAGTCTTGTGTTATTTTTGACAAAGCCACTCTAAGCCGAACTGAATACATCACAAGCGTCACAAAGGATATTTAAGACTCAAAAGTATAATTGCATTTGTGCAGCAATAGAAAAGAATCATAAAAAACTGCACAGAGCAAACCTAATTCTTACACGATTGATGATCAGGTAAAGACTTGCCACTTTGACCCCTGTCCTGGTTCCCAAATGTCTCGTATATGTAGTGATAAAAGATGCCAAACAGTTGGCATATACCCTGAAAATTTTGTCTAGCATGAACAATAGGAAATATTCTACATGTCGAATATCTTACGATGGGTGACTTAAACTAACCTTAAAAAGCTCAACATTGACAATTTCCAGCTTTTGCATTAATCTGGCATATTTATCCATCATCCTGATTCCAGTGAAGAAATCACACCTTAGCATAGGAAGTTATGTTACAGGAACAATCTGAAAGTTATGGCATATTTGATACCTTAATAAAGAAAGCGATGATCCTGTCTGTGATGAAATGTCCCCATCCTTCCAATGGGAAGAATTGCCTTTCACAATTTTTGTTTTTGCTAACCTACTAGGCAACTGACTATCTTCATCAATAAAATCTGCAAGAAGGTCTTCATTCTCTTCGTCAAGAGGTGCTTTATTTCCATTGCCATTGTTAGTACTTCCATGGGCAGAACTATTGTCAACTGAGTTGAACATCATATTGGACTTCGGGGATTCCGTGGTGCCATTTTCTACCTTGTAAAAAAATGGGTTTTCAATCTTAGTCCAAGCAGCAAATCCATTTTTTTCCTTCCCTGTATCAGACATAGTAGAACCATGTATTGGCAAGGTGGAGATACGACTGGTTGGTGAGATTAGAGCAGCACCATCACCGGTAAGGCCTGCTAAACTAATTATCCGTGATGCTTCAGCAGACATTATTGTCCAAGATTCCCTTTCCAGTACCATCTTTAGTGCCTGCAAAAGCAAAAGGGAAAAAAACTTCTGCATCAAAAGAAAGGGTCAACCATGGCCTTGCCAAATCAAGAGTAAAGCATAATACTAACTAGAGCAAACAATGTTTGCCTTGTAACTCTTTGCTACAAAGTACAAATTTAAACTAACACAGAAAAGTATCATA